AGGTTTCAGGGGCTTCTTCGAAAACCGACCAGACTTCCTCTCAGAGCCAAGTCCGAGTTGTACTTAAGCAGGAGTCCTATCGAGGACACTCTGTCTCAATGTCCGCCCATCAGCGAGTGACACCCTCCCTTCTGTGCTGGGGCGGGGGGGGGGGGGGGGGACCCGGCCCTCCCAGTGCTTTTCTGGCCAAGTTGTCCTGAGGAGTTGCATAGGCTGTTTGATTTTCTGGCTTTTCTAGGCAATTCTACATGCATCCACCTGTTGGGAAACAGTTATCCCCAACATGCCCGGACACGTTGCACACCGGGTCTGGACAGGAACCTGACTGAGGGACGAAGGAGAATGAATGTGCGGAGAAACCCCTCCAGGAGCCGTTGATCACAGCTCACTTTACTGCCAAATACACACTTTTTTTTTTTTTGCTTTTTTGAGTCACACCCAGCAATGCTCAGGGCTATCCTGGCTCTGCACTCAGGAATGACTCCTGGAGGTGCTCAGGGGACCATCTGGGATACCAGGGATTGAACCTGGGTCAGCTGCGTGCAAGGCAAAGCCCTACCCACTGTACTATCGCCCCTACCCTAATACATGCTATTTTACAGAGTGTCTTGGCTTGCAGGAGGCCCAATCACATAGAACTTAACACGATTGGCCTATCACTTTTTCCTTCTCTGCTTTGGTCCAATCCCTTTCAAGGCTATATGTTGCAGTTAGAATGACTTGCTAAAGGCGTACGTGACGGTTTCTGCATTTCAGGTATACATGACCAGGGGGTCAAGTGAGACTCAAGGCCGGACACATGATGCAGGCACCCTGTTTTGCTAACTTTGCCCAGTTACTCCCTCTTTCGAGGTTTCACTTCAGGGTCACTTTGCAAGGTCGGGTTTTTTCTGCTCCAGAGCAACTGCCTTGTGCAAACACTGTCCTTCACTCAACTCCTCCTGCACAGCCCCTTGCTGGGGCCCCATGGGGGTTGGGGTACAGGGTGCTGGCCGCCCACCCCTCCCCACTCAAGGCTGAGCTGAGCGGACGGGGCTGCTTCGCAGGTGCTTTCAGAACCCCTGGACTTCCCGCTGGCTGTGTTCAAAGGAGGGGCACATGCTTTCGGAAGAGCTCAAATTCTGCAGGACCCTCAGCTTTGCCTGAACCTGAGGCCACAAGCTCTACCGAGTTGGCCATAGGCACAGGGCACCCCAGCTGCCGGCTGCCGAACTCCCCCCAGAAGCCCTGTCCCACCGGAGTCTGGTTCCAGCCGAGAGGGGCCCTGGCTGCCTTGACTTTGGGGCTGTGTTCCAGAAGCGCACATTCCAGATTCCTGGGGGCTCAGGGCCCTGCCAGTTTGTCACCAGTGCAGGAAGAATCAGGAGCGACATCCATGAAGGCGCCACTGAACGCTGAGTTGGTTGAGGGACCTGGACAATCCTGGGGTGGCAGGTAGTGGAGACCCCTCCTCCATCCCATGTGGTCCCCAAGGCAGTGCCAGGGCAGAGTGGTACTAAAGTTTGACCTAGGGGCAGAGTTTTAGGCAAACGGTAACTTGGACATACCCCAACCCATTCATGGGCTCTGGAGTCTGACCCCAGGTGATGCTCAGAGACCTGACACATGGTGGACAACCCCTCTCCCCCACTGGACCTATCACTGGGGCAGCAGCCAGTTGCTCCACTCAGGGTCCCTATCCCCTGCTGCCCCGTGGGATCCCTGCCACTATTGCCCAGATCACTCCACATGGGGCCACCATCACCATGAATGCCCAGGAAGCTCTGACTTTTAATGGTCAAATGTGTTGTGTTTCTGGGGCTGGAACGATAGCACAGTAGGTAGGGCATTTGCCTTTGCATTTGTCAACCCAGGTTCGATTCCCAGCATCCCATAAGGTCCCCTGAGCACCGCCAGGAGTAATTCCTGAGTGCATGAGCCAGGAGTAACCCCATATCACCAAAAGGAAAAAAAAAAAACAAACCAAAAAACAAAACCAACCAACAAACAAAATGTGTTATGTTTCCTGTGGGGTTTTGTGTAAGAAATCCCATCCCCCCCCCCCACACACACATACCACCACAGACATAAGCCAAGGTTATGAATTACTTTCTACACATTTTCAGTTGTCACATGTAGGTCCGTGAGACGCTGTAAATACCTAAGCCACATGTAATTAATTTAACATTTCTAGTGACCTGCACTGTAGCACTGTCCTCCCATTGTTCATCGATTTGCTCGAGTGGGCACCAGTAATGTCTCCATTGTGATACTTGTTGCTACTGTGTGTGGCATATTGAATACATCATAGGAAATTTGCCAGGCTTTGCCGTGCGGGCGAGATACTCTCAGTAGCTTTCCAGGCTCTCCGAGAGGGGCGGAGGAATTGAACCCGGGTCGGCTGGGTCAGCCGCGTGCAAGGCAAATACCCTACCCGCTCTGCTATCGCTCCTGCCCTTCTAGGGGCCACATATTTTTAAAGAGAAAAGAGGAAAAAAAAGAGAAAGAATTCCAATATCATTTAATCTAATCTGTGCAAAATGATATTTTAACCTCTGACAGCATACCATCAGTGAGGGATCTAATTTTTCTCAGATTAAATCTTCAAAACCTGCCTCTGCTTAGAACCCAGTCAGATGCTAGTTCTTTGGTCTGAAACAGTCACGACTTGTTTAAACTTCATGAGACTGACAGTTGAACGCTAGGTTTCACACAAACCCTGCTCCAGGTTCTGGCTGGCAGCTGATGAACTGCACCGGCCACTGGCATCTCTGGGCCTGGGTCCCGGTTCCCTGTGAGCCTGGCCCCATCAGCATCATAGCTGCGGGTGGTCCTCTAGTTCTCATCACGCTGCTCGGGGATACCTCAGCAACACACCCCCATACTTCGACTGCACAGAGACCGTCACTAGAGTTCCCCACTCCCCTGAGCATCCAACAGTCAGTGTTCTGTGGAGGACGTTGTTGGAAAGGGGTGTGCGTGGCAGGGGGACTCTCAGAGGCTGAGGAAAGGGGTCACTACTAGGCCTCCATCCCCTGGATCTCGGGTGTGAGTCAGTGGGAGAAGCGAGCATCTCTCACCTGCACGCCCTTCGGCACGGGGTCCCGCTTTCCCGGGAGGTGTTTCGGGCGCTACCCGAGACTGCAGGGACCTCCTGAGTTCCCGGGCTGGTTTCACGGTGGTTTGCCTCGGCTTCCCCATAATGCCAGCAGGCCTTTTCCAGCATCATGACCGGGGGAGGGCAGACCTGAGTGCTGCTCAGATTAGAGCTGTGCAGCTTGTTGGAGGGCAGGGACCTCCCTGCCTCCCTCCCCCGCAGTACCGGCTTTCCGGGGGGCCAGTGGGGAGCCCTCCCCTGCTGCGGCTGAGCTCCTCCTCAGCTTACACACCTCTCTGCCTTCACAAATACTGTCCTTTCCCCAGAGCCCAAGGCCTTCCTCTTTCTCCCCAAAGCTTGTCCGGTCTGTCCTCCGTGCTCCTCAGCGGCCCTGGGCTCTAATCTGCCAGGGCCAGAGAGGTAGCACGGTGGTTAACGGCGCTTACCTTGCGCGTGGCTGACCCTGGTTCAACTCCCAGCACCGCATGGGGTCCTTGAGCACCACCAGAGCACAGAGACGGCAGCAAGCCCTGAGCACTGAGAGCTCTGGCCCCCAAGCCACCCAACAGGCGGCCGTGGCGCCCTACGACTCCACGTCCCACCTCTTCCTGTGGGTGTGGCCCAGGGGCCACCCGCCCGCCCATGCACACCTGCAATGTGCACCACAGCAGAAACGTACAAACGTCTACTTCTAATCGGAACCACATGGGCTTCTAAAAGGCAGAAAAAGGGGGGCAATAGGCATTGCTCTCACAGACTCGCCACTCCAAGTATGAGGCCAGGGGTTCATGGGGCTGCAGACACCTACAGCCAGTCTCCAGGTCCTTGGAAGCTGGCATGAAATCCCCTCAACTAACGTCAAAGTTATCTTTTTTTTTTTTAATGTTATTAGTGAAACACCATGAGGTACAGTTGTAGACTTACAAGATTTTGTGCTTGGGTTTCAGTTATACAGTGATCGAGTACCCATCCCTCCACCAGTTCCCTTTCTCCACCACCAATGATCCCAGTAGCCCTCCTACTCCCCCACCCCCCATCCTATCCCGCCTCTGTGGCAGGGCATTCCCTTTTGTTCTCTCTCTCTCCTTTTGGGTGCTGAGGTTGCAAAAGAGGCATTGAGTGGCAATCATGTCCGGCGTCAAAGTTATCTTGCTAGGTCCTTTATCAGGGTCCTTTGACTGCTGAGTGCACTGAAATAAAAGTGAAATAACTAAAATTTTTCTCTCTCAGCTTGCCACCCAACAAACACAGACCACGTGACCAAGGAATGATGCTGAGGCCTATCTGTCCCCCTGAAATAATGTGGGGCTCGGCCACGAGGCGTCCTCAGAGCAGGGGTCCTAGAAGTTGACTGTCTGCCTATGTCCCCACACTCTTCCAATGTGCCAGGGACCAGTTTAGCTGGTAGCACTGTCAGGACATCCATACATGGTCCTACAGGCAGGGATCCTCTCTCTGAGGGGTCATTGAGGGGATCAGAATGGCAGCCCATGACATCCCCGGAGGGGGAGGGGGCAGGGAGGGGATTAGCTGTGAAGCAGGGAACCTGCCTTGGTGCTCCAAGTCAGGGAGCTCAGGGCTGGAGGGAGACTGTGGCACAGAAGATGCCCTTCCCTCTGCGCAGCAGGCAAAGCAGGCTCTGGGCAGCTCAATGGGACAAGAGTAGCCGTGCCTTGATTAGACCAACCTATCAAATGCCACCCAGAGCTAAAGCCGAGATCCTGCCGCTGCCACCCACAGGCTCAGCAATGAGCCACATTAACTTATGGCCCAGGATGGACCACATTCCTCTCCCCCGAGGATGAACTGCAGTCCTCTCCCCTCCAGGATGAACTGCATTCCTTTCAGATGCCCCGTGGCCATGTGGCCAGAGCACCTGTGCTGGCTGAGATACGTTACGTTTAAGCAAAACATAAGGAATGCATGAGTTTCAAAACGGTTTATTTCTTCCTTGCCCAGAGGTGGGGGAAGCTTGCCGCATCCTGTCCTGGGTTAGCCCAGGGGAGTCTCAGGCCAGAGCCTCTCGCCCTGGAGAGTCTACGGGTCCTAGTGGCAGGGCAGGAGGTGGCTTCATGTCGCAGTAGCTAAAGCCGAAGCCGTCCAGCTGGTCTCCTGGAGAAAGGCTCTCGGCGCAGAGTACCTCCAGAGCTTGGCTGTCCCACAGGCTTCTCCTCTCCAGTGCATCCTGGAGAAGCTTCCGGATTCTCAGGTTTTCCTTGGAGGTGGCCTCCCAAACAACCTCAAGTTCACCTTCCATATCTCTGACAGAAATAAAGGAAAAGTTTAAAATAGTTACAAGTGGATGGATAGGGGGAGTATTATGCTAAGTGAAATGAGTCAGAAAGAGAGGGACAGACAGAATGACTGCACTCATTTGTGGAATATAAAGTAACATAGTATGAGACTGATACTCAAGAACAGTAGAGATAAGGGCCAGGAAGTTTGTTCCATGGTTGGAGGCCTGCCCCAAGGGCTGGGGGAGAAGGCAGTTGGGATAGAGAAGGTACCATTAAATAAGCGATGGTTGAAAGGATCCCTCGGGATGGTAGATGCGTACTGAAAGTAGACAAAGGACCAAACAAGGTGGGTCTCTCTCAGTACCTGTATTGCAAATCCTAATGCCACAAAGTAGAGAGAGAATAACCGGGGACACTGATGGTGAAAAATGTACGCTGGTGGAGGGATGGGGGTCTGATCATTGTATGACTGAAACTCAAACATGAGAGCTTTGTAACTGTAGCTCATGGTGATCCAATAAAAAACAAACAAAACCCTAAAGACTCCATTAAAAAAAATCTTAGAATCTGACAGAGATCTATGACGGAGATCTGAGAGCAGTTCATGAAGCCAAGCTTCTTAATCATCCTAGTGGCACCACGCAACATCTCCAAAGTTCAAGCACTGACAGTCCCGCAGGAATAAGAAAACTTAGATGGGAAAGTTGTATAAAAGCCCCCTACGCTCAACAAGTGAAAACAAGAGCACAAGAAGGCTCGACTAGCACCTAAGAGCTCACATTTACGAGATCTATGTTTTTAAAAGCAGTATAAATTATTTTGTACCTGCTAAGGGGGTGGATGGGTAGGTAACTTGGGACATTGGTGGAGAGAAGGTCACACTGGTGGTGGGGTTGGTGTTGAAATACTGAATACCTGAAATGACTATATTATGAACAACTTTATGAATCAGGGTATTGTTTAAATAAAGGTTCGAATGGAAAAATTAAAAAAAAAACTCTTAGAAAAAACAAAGGGCAAGCCCTTTGTGGAAAACCTGCCACAGTGAGGGCAGTGGTGGGGGTGGTGGGTTAGGATGAGGAAGGGACCATTGCGACAATGATAGGAGGAAGTGGTCAATTTGGATGAGAACTGGCGCTGGAAGGAGGTACAGTCATATGTATGCTATGTCTTCAGTAAGAGTACTGCAAACCCTGGTTCCTTAAAGGAAAAAATGAAAAGGGAAACATCTCACCATAGAGGCAGGTTAGGAAGGGGTTGGGACTGGGGACACCGTGGAGGGAAGGGGGCACTGGTGAAGGGACTGGTGTCAGAACAATGAATGCTGAAACTCAATCATGAGTAACTGTGGAACCTGGCAACTTACAGTGATTCAATACACAACAAATAAAATTAAAAAAAAAAGTAATCTTTAGTAAAATAAAATAACTCTTAGGGATAATAGACCAATATAGCAAAACAGTATGCCATATTATCAGTTCCAAAAATAGATGTTGCTTTTTTATGTGCCAACAGCGAACTAAAAAAGGATTAAAAAGACAAGTCCAGGAGGCTGGAGCGATAGCACAGTGGATAGGGCGTTCGCCTTGCATGCGCTGACCCTGGTTCAATTCCTAGCATTCCATATGGTGCCCTGAGCACTGTCAGGAGTAATTCCTGAGTGCAATGCCAGAAGTAACCCCCTGTGCATCGTCAGGTGTGATCCAAAAAGCAAAAAAGAAAAAAAAAGACAAGTCCACTTAAAATAGTGTCCCAAAACATCATATACCTAGGAACCAACCTGACAAAGCATATCAAAAACCATAAGTCACTATTGAAATTTAAAAAAGTCCATGTTCATAGATTGGAAGAGTTAGCCATTGTTAAAATACCAATGACATTTTTTAATTAATGCAGAGCAAATGCTACTAAAAATTTTCTGGAATCATAAAATTACTGAATAGCCACAGCAAATTTGAGGGGGGAAAAAAAGAGAAGAGAAGTACTGTATTCCGGATTCTAAATCATAACAATAACAATAACAATAACGGGTCTCATTCCCCTGACCCTCAAAGAGCCTCCAATAAGGCAGAGTTGGGAAGGACGAGAGGAGAGGCTGCTAAAATCTCAGGGCTAGGACGAATGGAGACATTACAGGCACCCACTCGAGCAAATTGATGAACAACGGGATGACAGTGGTACAGTACTTTGTACTATACAGCTACAGTAATCAAAACTGTGGGGTACTGGAATAAAGACAAACTCTCAGAACACTGGAGTAGAACTGAAAGCCCAAAGGTAAAGCCTTGATTTATAGACAATTAATCAATGACGAATTGGGTGCATGAAATCCCTCATAAACAATCTATGATAGGAAAACTGGATATCCATATGCAAAATAATAATAATAATTAATAATAATAATAATGAGTTGGACCTAGATAAAAAGCAAAAGTTAATCAAAAGTGCATTAAAGATTTCAGAACCTATCAGATACACAGAGAAAAACAGGCAGAACTCCAGGGGATGTGGACTTCAGAAATGGCTTCCCTGACTTGAGTTCAGTGGTAAAGATAACAAAACAAAAATCAACATCAAATTAGAAATAGTACTTTGTATATCTTGAATATTAGTGATGTATCTGCTATATGTGTGCAAAATACTTTCTATCCTACTGATGGCAGAAAATATTTGCACACCATGGATCAGAAAAAAGTACTGATATTTAAGATAAATAAAATACAAAGTTCGGCCTTAAAATATATCAATGACCCCATCAAAAAATGGGAAGAGATGAATAGATACTTCCTGAGGACGGCGGGTAGGCATATGAAAAGTATTTACCATCCCTTATTACCAGGGAAATACAAATCAAAATGACAATGAAGGATCAGATCACTCCAGTGAGAATAGGTTATAACACAAATACTGGAAACAACCAGTGCTGACAGGGATGTGGGGAAAGCCATTCCTTTTTTCACCAATCCACTAATGGTGAGAGACAGAGCCCGTCAGTGTAATCATCTGCTTTGGCCTCTGTGGAAAACAGTATAGAGACTGTTTGGAAAACTAAGAATAGGGCCAGAATGATAGGATGGTGAGTAAGGAGCTTGCCTTGCAAACGGCTGACTCGGGTTCAATTCCTGACACCCCATCTGGTGTCCCACGCCTTGCCAGGAGTGATCCTTAAGCACAGAGATAGGAATAAAACCTAAGGACCACCTGGGTGTGGTGCAAAAAGTCAAACAACAACAACAACAACAACAATAAAATGCTAAGAATAAAGTTTCCATGCTAGTGGATGGAACTTGCCTGGCATCTATCCCAAGAAAACAAACATTAATCTGGAAAGATAGACGCATAACCACTGTGGGGGTGGGGTGGAGTAGAAAAGTTTATTGGAAAGTCGGAGAGAGATTAAAAAGTAACTTCTCATGTGGAAAGGAACTGAGTATAGGACAAATAAAAAAAAAAGTTCTTTATAACCATTTTCAGTGCAGTGCTAAGCACAATAGCCAGGATATGGACCCCCACCCCCAAATGTCCAATGACACAGGAATGCACAAAGGAATTGTGGGAGAGGCAGGCACCTCTGTGACATGGGAACAGGGGTGGAGGATCTTTGGGACTTCTGTGGTGGTGAGATGTAGTAATTAAGCACACCAAAACCATAAAAGTTAGCACAACCATATTCCAGACTACAATAAGTACAATAAATAAAAAAAAATTACTCAAAATTTAAACAAGAAAACCAAGGAGATGGAAAAATTTAAATGCAGTTGCATTAAGGATTAAGTAGGTTTCACATACATTTAATCTGAGACCCAGAAGGAAATTTTAAAAGACTTATTAGATAATGGCTGAGAATTTCTAAACTAAGGATAAACACAAAACCGCAGAAATAGAGGATGTTCTACAAGGAGTTAAAAGGGAGTTTATAAGTTTAGCACTTAACAGTAAAATGGTCAAATAGAGGAGATGGGGGAGCTCGAGAGAAATGATGGACCACCCGCTTTTAAAAACGGTGAAGATTTCTTAATTAGCAGTCATGAAAGAGAACACAAAGCTGAGAGAAAAAGATTGTCAAAGTAAAATTCTATACCCAGTAAAAATGATCTTTTAAGGATGAGGCAAAATTCAGATAAATTTCAGATAAACCTAAGAAAGCTTATTCCCAACACAGTCTCAGTAAAGAAGTTTCTAAAAAAAAAAAAATGTAGTTACAAGAAGGAAAATAAAGATAAACTGGCATGTACAAATTTAAGTGTTTATCTGTGGGCCTGAGGAGATAGTGCAGTGGGCTGGGAGCTTGCCTTGCATGCGGCTGACTCAGGTCCGATCCCCGGCACCCCAGATGGTTCCCCCTGACCCCCCAGCCCCACCATCGCCAGGAGTGAGTGAATCCTGGGCTCTGGGCCAGGAGTAAGCCCAGTAAGGAAGCTCTCAATCTAGTGGCTAGAGAGGCGCTCTGTCGGTGTCCAAGATGCTGCTGAAAGGCAGAGAGCAGAGTAATACGACATTATAGTAGGAAAAGAGAGTTGTTATTGCAAGGGAGCTTTTCTTGAGGGTAGCCAGGGGCTATACGCAGAGGGATAGATAATACAGCAGGCAGAGCGTTTGCCTTGCATGTGGCTCACCAGGGTTTGATCCCTGGCACCCCATATGGTCCTCGGAGCCCCATCAGGAGAAAGCCCAGAGCACCACTGGGAGTGGCCCCAAAACAAACAAACAAAAAGATGATCTCATAGTGCTGATCAGGCAATGGCTAATTGATGGCATAAGTCCCCTCTTTTGGTGATAGGGTCTAGCATAAAAATCTCCATTTGGGGGGTGGGTGGGAGTGACAGAACAGCAGGTTGGGCATTTGCCTGGCACAGGACCAACCCAGGTTCAATCCCTGAGCGCTGCCAGGGGTGATTCCTGAGTGCAGAGCCAAGAATACAAATCAAAACAAACAGAAAACCCCACCTCCACTTGGGGCCTGCTGTCTAGTTTTTGTTTGTTTTGGAGTTTCTCCTGCTGGGGATCCCTAGACAGTGGGGTTCCCAGGGATGTCTTGGGACATAGCCCAGCATCCGGCCTTGAGCTGGCAGCCTGACATTTGCTGCAAAGTACTTTACACCACTGAGTCATCTTCCCAGTCTCAGATGTCTGGATCGTCTTTCTCATACTTAGCTGTTCACTGCAAAATGTCAAGGTCAATCACTAAAAGAAAAAAATGGAATGTGTAGTTTTCAAAACATTAGAGGGTAAAGAAACTGGTAAATGGTAGGTAGGTAAATTTAAAAACAAAACAACCTGGGGCTGGAGAGACAGTACAGAGGGTAGGGTTACTTGTCGGGTGCACAGCTGACCTGGGTTCAATCCTCCGCACCCTGTCGGTCCCTCATGCGCTGCCAGGAGTAATCCTGAACATCTCTTGGGCGTGACCCAAGGACAAAACCCCAAAACAAACAAAAAACCCTACGGGGTCAGAATGATATCTGAGTGCAGCATTTTCTTGCTTGGGGGCGGGGGGCACACTCAGCTATACTCAGGGCTTACTCCCAGCTCTGATCTCAGGAATGACTCCTGGCGGAGATTGGAGGGTACTAGGAATTGAATCCATTGAATCCTAGTTGGTTGTGTACAAGGCACACTAGTGCCTTACCTGCTGTACTATCTCCTCTGACCACTTAAAAAAAATAATAAACTGGAGTTGGGATGGGAGTAGTTACTCCGAGGATGGGGCTGGGGCTTGGGGATCACCCCTGGTGGTACTCAGAGGACTAGTCCATAGCAGGTACTAGAAAAAAAAAAAACACCATCATGCACTACAGATTCTGAGTCATCCTCCTGGAGCTGGGCCCATTTTTCACAGTGACTGATGATGGTAAGAACGTCTGTGACCAGAGAAACTGGTCTTTGACCCCCCCCAGCCCCCTCCCCCCTTCCCCATTTAATTCATTTTGTCTGACAATAAGAAGCATAGGCAGATGGAACACTGACACTCGCATCCCACAATGCAATACAGATGTACATCAAACCATCACGTTGAACATCTTAAGCGTATTAGATCATACTGTCAACTGTGAAAAAACCCGTACAAAGCTGGAGAACCATTTTTTAAAAGGTGGAAAGCAAACAAGAAGATCACTATTAAAGTCAGTTACAACGAAAATGTAAAAGCAGAAACAAGCGGCTAAGCGAGAGTGATCCAAGGGTTCTGCCGACCCTCCGACCCACAGTTTAGGAAACGGGGACCGGCACGGGGCCGTGGCACCCCACCTTTTCTGCTGCAGGGCCGCATCCAGGACCTCCTGCTTGTCCTGCAGAACCCGTTGGAGGTGCCTCATCTCCTGCTGGTACTGGGCCGTCCTGCTACTGAAGTCCTCCTGCTGCTCTGTCAGGCGGTGACTGATGTCCCCCACCTTCAGGGCCGTCCGCTTCCTGTACCCCTGAGCGATAGGACAGACACTGATGAGGAGGTGCTACCGCCTATGGGTCCGGTGGCCAGCACATCCATAGTCTATTCCATTCAGGCATGTTCTCTGGCTCCCCACGGAAAGGACTAAGACATCACACAGTAGGTCTGCACACTCCAAACTCGAGTAACACGCCTTTCCTCACTCTTGCTTTACATTAATATGCTAACTCTCTTACTTCTTGCTTTTTCAGCGAGGAATGATATCCCCTGACTCTTAGTTACTACATCGGACAAAAATTAGTAAGTCTATTCTGCCTTCCACCTTCCTTTCAACTTCTCCTTTATTATATATATTTTTAAAGATAGAAATATTTTATTTAATGTTTTTTTAGCTTTTTATTTTAATGAGTCATTGTGAGATACATTTGCAGACTTAAAGACTTTCATGACTGCGTTTCAGTCCAATAATGTTCAAGTACCCACCCCTCCACCAGTGCCCATTCTCCACCCCCAATATTCCCAGTATCCCTCCCCTGCCTTCACTCCTTCCCACCCCCTCCCTCTGTGGCAGGCACAATCCCTCTTACTCTCTCTGTCCTTTTGGTTGCTATAGTTTGCAATACTGGTAATAAGCAACCTTCATGCTTGGTCCATAGTCTATTTTCAACATTCATCTACTATCCTGAGCAATCCCTCCAACCATCACTTATTTAGTCTTACTCTCTCCATCCTAGCTACCTTTCCCCCTAGCACATGAGATCAGCTATCAAGCCATAGGGCATCCCTCCTGACCCTTTTTTTAACTGTCCTTAGGTGTTAGTCTCCTACTATGTTACTTTATATTCCACCAATGAGTACAGTCCTTTTATGTCTGTCCCTCTCTTTCTGACTCATTTCACTTAACATGATACTCTCCATGCTGATCCACTTGTATGCAAACTTCATGACTTCATTTTTTCCCTAACAGCTGCATAGTGCTCCACTGTGTAGATATACCAAAGTTTCTTTAACCAGTCATCTGTTCTCGGGCACTCGGCTTTTTCCCCAGAACAAAAACAACCGGTGTTGGCATGGATGTGGGGAGAAAGGGGCCCTCCTTCACTGCGGGTGGGAATGCTGACTGGTCTAGCCTTTTAGGAAAACAACATGGACGTTTCTCAAAAAACTGGAAATCGAGCTCCCTTTCAGCATCTCCTGTCATTGCTGTCTTCGTTGTACTATTTCCACACTGTAAGAAAACATTCATGTTTTATTTCATCTGCCTATCCCTTGCTTTATAAGTCATAGTTGGCAGTTAAATAGATGCTTTGCTTATTATGACCAGCGATTTGCTGCAGCTTGCCCAATCCTTTTTTGGCTGGTTCAACTGAGGTTGAATAACCCACAGGATGGCTTGGCGGGTAAATGTTTACATTTACATTTACTCAGTCAGAACTATCTGAGGAGCAGCTTTGTTGGACGAAACTGCTGGCTTGTACTGTTTTCCCTTGAGTCTTTGCAGATAGCATTCTACTCCTCTTTGGCGCCAGTGTCATGGGTTCATTCTCCGTGCACTTTCCCCAGGTATACAGTGTAGATTCAGTTGTAGATCCAAGTCCAAGTCTCTTATTTAAGAAAAGTTGTTTATGAATTTTGTTTTGGTACAGAGTAAGTTCCAGAATCTTTCATTCTTCCCTGGGGACTCTTAACAATAGGTAGCTTGGGTCTCTGTCACTTTCTCCTGACTTCATGTCCGCATCTTGATTTCTGTTTTCTTGTCCGTGTCTTTCTGATTCTTTATGCCCCTTCTCATGCTTCTATGGTTCCTCCAGGGCTCTTAGTAATTTGGTCTGTTTGTGTTGTATTTCCTAACATTCCTTGTTGTGTTGTATTGCTTCCTTATCATATCTCCATCTGTCTGGCCACCTCCCCTAGTGAATTTTGTTTCCTCTTTGTGGAATTTCTTGCTAAGTCTGCTTTGTCGCCCATCTCTCTAGCTACTCATTGATCTACCTGCCTGCCTTTCAACTCATCCTGAAGTGCATATTACAATTCTGGTCTCTTTTTTTTTTCTGCATTGTTTTTGATGTATTTTTGATCATGTATAAGAAAACTGCATAGCAATATTTTTCTTTTCATTTACTCAGTGCTAGAAATGGAACTCTGGGCCCCACACATGCAAGGCAAGTGCAGTGAGCACCGCTGCCTGCAGCTCCCATCTCCCCAGATCCCGAGGCAACCCTGACTGCCAACCTTCTCCCTTGACTTTTTCAAGTTCTATTTTGCTGGGGGATCCTGAAGTATCACATCTGCATTTTCTTAAGCAGTCTCCTTTGTCAGGACCATAGAGATGGCTCTATCAGGCCTGGGTCCCGCTCACCAGTCTCCTCTTTGGGTGCTGGGTGACCCCCTTCTTACCATTTCTACTCAGATGAACAGGATGTGCTAACACCCCCAGACTAGGTCAACCACCCTGAAAATCAGACATTCTCTTTTGGAAATGAAAACCAATGGGAAAACCAGAGAAAACACAAACCCCACTGCTGTCTGTCACTGTTCATAAAACCTCCCTGCAGGTTCCAGCATGACTAGCAGGGAGAATTTTTTCCTGCCCTTCTGACACAGACGGGAAACACTGCTTTGGCTTTTGATGAAACTGCAAAATATCCTGCGTTAGCTTACTTCCCAATTAGTTACTGGATTTACGAATTCTATGAATTCAACAGCCAGTTGCTGTTGTAGGTGCCTAAAATATACCAGTGAACAAGAGGAGGAGAAAAAGCCTGCCCTTGTGGAACAGAGTGTCTGCTACAAGGAGACAGAAACCAATACACATGATAAAATAAAACATCTTGCTTGAAAAGAGGGGGTAATGTCTACAGAATTGATAAAGCTGGGCACTGAGACTCAGGGCTGAGAATCCAAACGCACCTCCCTGGGGAAAAATACAAATCAGGTATTCATTAACAACAAAGCAAGCTATCATCTAAGCTGATATTTAAGGTTTGGTTCCCAGTGAAACACATACACAAAAAAGGAAAAAACAAAAATGAAATCATTGCATTTCTCACTTGTGTTATACTTCTTTTATGCAATGTGACTGTATCATTCACCACACCATTACAAAGAAGTTTCACAATTTCATTGCTTGTTATTACTTGGTTGATAATCACATCACATTTCTATGTTCCAGTCTCATGGACTGTTTCAATGAGCACAGTTATGAACAATGCTGATGTAAGTGTTCCTTGACGTGGTTTCTGAGGTATCTCTGGGAGAGTTTATATCCAAGAGAGAAATGGGAGGGCTGAAAGTTTTTTTGTCGACCTTCTACTTTTACTAAATCTTTGCTTGTTTTTTTTTCTTTTTGGGTCACATCCAGCCATGCACAGGGGTTACTCCTGGCTCTGCATTCAGGAATTACCCCTGACGGTGCTCAGGAATTATCCCTGGGGACCATATGGGATGCTGGGAATTGAACCCAGGTTGGCCGCATGCAAGGCAAATGCCCTACCAGCTGTGCTATCGCTCCGGCCCCTTTTACTAAATTTTTGAACCAACTTCCAGCTCTAGCCACAATACTGAAAAGCTCCCACTGTTCATGTCAGTGCTAACTGCTATGCATGGTGTCAAACATCCTAATCTTTCAACTTGTCACACATTTTCACCGCCCGGCCACTTTTACAACTTCTCTTTGTCTTTGATGTTCTGAAGATCATGATAACAAAGTATACTTTAAGACGAAACTGACCCAATCATCATTTTCTTTAAAACCGTGTCAGACAGCAAGCATTCTGTGATTCCTTTGATAACACCAATCAAAATTCCTTGAAAACCGAGACATACCAGCTAGGAATCCATGCTCACATTTGAAAGAGTCCATGAGCTATCAGGCTAAATTCGATTTTTCTGGTTACTGCAAGCCACAGAGAAATCCCCCGGAGTTCTGAGTATGGGGCTAATATGGGCATTTCGATTTCATTTTGCAAAGAAGTCTTCGCTTCAAATAGAATCATACTAAAAATCCACATCTGAGAGCAGAGCACAGAGTTCGAGGGAAGGGATACTGGGCAGGAGGTGTAACATCTCTCCCAGGTGTGACAGCCTGGGGCCTGTGATGCTCCAGAGGGCACAGGAGTCTTCCTTGAACTTCGTCAGCTGCCCATCTCCGCTGGGGGAATCCAGCATCTGAACAGGGCAGTTCCAGATGCTGCCTGTGGCTGAATCTGCCAGAAACCTGAAATCCCCTTGGGGGCACCCCCGGAGTATTCCCCCTGAGTTACAAGGCAGGGGGGCTTCCAAATCCTAGCATCTGGGAAAGAAATACCAAGATAGCATTTATACTTCACAGGGAAACTGCAGAATACTTGAAAGCAGCACTTGTGAAAGACACCGGCTATTGTTTCCATGGTGACAAACATTGGCATCTGAAGGACTCCTGAATTGAAGAGAGATCAGAAAGAGCAGAAGAGAACGGGGTACAGGTGAGAAAGGAGGTCAGAGGCGTAGAGTGGGAGCAGTAAAAATAGTGTTTGGGGCGGGAAACTGGAAGGAGCCAAGAGAAGGCGAGGAAGGATTAGCTGAGTCGACACTGCTCTCTGCTGGAAAGAAGTGAGGCTGGGCTGGTCCCCAGGCCTCCGCTTTACAGGAAGGATGGAGCCTGGAGATCCAGGGGCTTCCGGTTTGAAGCCTGGAGATTCTTCAGTTTCTCTTTTCTTCATTTTTTTTTTCTTTTTCTGGTTTTTGGGCTGCCCAACAATGCTCAGAGTTACCCCTGGCTCTATGTTCAGGAATTATTTCTGGCAGTGCTTGGGGGACCATATGGGATGCCGGGGATGAAACCCAGGCCGGGAATGTGTGAGGTAAGTGCCCTGCCTGCTGTACTATTGCTCCAGCCCCTTTCTTGCTAATTTTTAAATAACTGCACGACATTCTATTGTGCGGATGAACTGAACTTTATTTTGTGAGTGGAGGGGTGCTCTGTCAATGAAACACTAAGTGGCTTTACTCTGTGGATGAGTGATACAGACACAAATGTCTCGTTTTCGAAAATGGAATGCTGCGCCCAGGTTCTCCTTCCCAGGCTCTCCGCATCAGGTGGAATCCTGGCGACTGAACGCGCACCTACCTTGACCTTCTCCTCTAGTCTTCCCAAGCGCACATTCCCTTCTAAGATTCTGTTGAGGATTCCACACTTCTCACTTTCTAAACATTTAGCCTATTTAAAAACAAACAAACAAACAAACAAAAAGATGATAAGGAAAATAATGGGCCCCCAGTTTCACAGGAACAATGAAAATATTTTTGAAAAATTCTTTTGTAAAGGGAACTGCTACTCACAAGTTATTTCTGTTCTGCCACTTGCCCTTGATCTCCCCCACCCCCCAATATCCCAGGAGACAAGAGCCCACGCTGCATGCGGGGCACCCCCCGGGCCTCACAGGAAGCCCTGAGCTGGATCATCCTCCCCCACAGGGGCAGCCGCACACTCTCCACTCCTGTGGCCCAATTATTATTATAGGGGCTGGAGCGATAGCACAGCAGTAAGGTGTTTGCCTTGCGCCCAGCCAAGCCGGGTCCGATTCCTCCGCCCCTCTCGGAGAGCCCGACAAGGTATCAAGAGTATCTCACCCTCATGGTAAAACCTGGCAAGCTACCCATGACGTATTCGATATGCCAAACACAGTAACAACAAGTCTCACAATGGAGACGTTACTGGGCCTACTCGAGCAAATCGATGAACAACGGGAGGACAGTGCTACAGTGCTCTTTTTTGCCACATCTGGCTGTACTCAGGGCTTATGCTGGGGTCTGAGCTCAGGAATCACAACTGGTGGGCTTGGGGGATCATCTGAAGTGCCGGGAATCGAACTTGGGTTGGCCTGTAAGCAAATGCCTGACCTGCTGTACTATTGCTCCAGATGTGGCCCTATCCTTTAAAATTTCAAGTTAACTTTTTGTTTGTTTTTTGGCTACACCCAGTGGTGCTCAGGGTTACTCCCATTGGTGTTCAGAAGACCAGACAATGCCAGGGAGAGACCTCCCCCAAGCTCCTGTGTGCAGAGCCTGCGTTCCGGGCCACAGAGCCTCCAGGCATACCGTACAGCTCCTAGAATGCTGTAAAAGGTCTGACTGCTTTCTAAGAGGCTCAGGAAGCACCCCAAAATTACAGTAGTGCAAATCCAGACTTGTCCTCCTAACTGCAGGAGCTATTCTAATTTCCAAGTTCCTGTGACAAGGAGGAATCAGTACAGAATGGAGTCTCAAGGCTGACTTTATTAGCATTTCTTTTAAGTAGAAATGAATATTTTCCTCTAAGCTGCTGTACACCATTTATAATTCCTTTTCCGGGGGGGGGGGGGAGGGGAAGGTGAATCCATTTTTCAAACATTTTTCTAACAAATAAAAAAAGTCCATGACCCCCTCCTGATAGGCTTTCCATAGCTCATTCTCCCTGGAAAAGGGTCAAGTTCTATCATGCTTGTTTAAATAAGTAACAGACTTTCCAAGTAGAAAAAGCATAAGACACAGACAACTGCAAATGATTTTTAGGGGTGGGGGATATGGTTCAAGGGATATGGCGCATGCTTAAAATATTTGAGACCCTGAACTGAATCCCCAGCACCACAGCACGGTCCTCTTAGCACCACTAGATGGGTCCCACATTTAAAGGAAAATATACTGTGTCCACATACACACACACACACACACACACACACACACACACACACACACACAGAGTCCCATGATTCCACCTCTTAGAGACAGTAACCAGCTTGCTGTTAGGGTTTGCAGTAAGTCCCAGCAGACTTTTCTTCCGAGCATAGGACTTGGCACAGCATCTGTCAGCTGACACAGTGCAATCTGCTAGAGGCATCTTTGAGAGCCAGTGTGAAGACTCCAAGAATCCTGCTCGCGGCATAGCTCTCACCGGCTGGGCAGCCCTCCCTCGCCCAAGGACTGTCATCATCGACCTGCTCCCTCGTGGGCCTGGTGCTTCGAGGGGCATGGTGGAGGAGAGCCAGTGTCGGCCTCTGTGGGTGGCCTCAGGGCTTCCTCTCAGCCTCTCGAGGGTCTTATGTTCGTCTCTCAAGAGGGAGGCACTCGGATAGCTTTACAGAGAACACAGAGATGCCTGCGTGTGTTCAGTAAGGGTCTGATGACTGTTAGCTAGTTCTACTTAGCTGGATACATCTCTTTGGTGAGGTCACCTTCTGAGCTACCAGTTGCCACCAGCTAGAAGTTTGAGTTGTTCAATCTTTCAAAACTGCTTTCCCTTTGGTGGAAAGATAAGACATTTTGAAACTTGGAAATGAGTACTTGAAAATTTAAGAGATACGCTTTTCATGGATAATTTTGTCAAAAAAAAATACTCTCAAACTTATGTTTGGATAATAGCTCGCAGTTGATGTCATGAAGGCAACTTACCAAACATATAAGAAGATCACGTTCCTGGGTTATAGTCTCTGCCAGGCCAACAAGATCTGCCAGATACTGGTGAGCAGACATTTCCTTCTCCATGCTTTTTTCTACCTGCTTTTTGAGAACTTCCATTTTCTTTTCAGATCTCCTAGAGAGTTACCCCAAATGGTGGAATAAAAAAACTCATTAGCCTCAAAGGCTAGGACACAGTGAATACTTAATAGCAAATGTATTTTAAAATAGCAATTATGTGAGCATTTAATTGTTATCCTTCAGCAACCTAAATCTATTAAGTTTCGAGGTGAAAAAAAGGGCGTAAGCGGAGCTCAATTTCAAACTGAGCATGATTATGGACTTCGACCCAACTTGGTAAGAATCCCAAAATGTCTCGCACAATTAATAGGCTAATTATATGGATTATTCGATTAACTTTGAGCTCACATTCTAAGAGATAATTTTGAAAAAGGAAGTCAGTAATTCCAAAATAGACTTTTAGTAAATGGCAACGAAGTCCTCTTAGAACTTTCAGAAACTCAGTGTCATTGAAATGACAATCATCCAGCCTCAAACTACAGACTCGAACTATTGAGGAATAACTGGGTCACATAACAGAAATGCTTTCCCGGGATTTCTACTGTGATATCTCAAAATCGCAATGACACTTTTCTATGTGAGAGCCAATATCAAAGATAAAGATGCACTCAGTTAGGATATACAGAGAAGCCACGCAAGGGAAGAGGCAGTAACGAGCAATGACAAACCCTTGGCCCTTTGCAGAACTGAGATGACCAAGGTGTCGTCAGGGGGTACAGGAGAGCAAGAAGCAGGCGAAAAGGCAACTAAGGACAGCGATGGAGGGTTTTGGGCACCAAAACCATCATAAAAAAAATCATAAATGTCAACACAGCTGTGACCCTGTTACTTGAACTATAATCATCATCAAAATATAATTTCTAGTGCAAGTGAAATAAAGCAGCCCATTCTTTTTCCTTTCTTTCTTTCTTTCTTTCTTTCTTTCTTTCTTTCTTTCTTTCTTTCTCTCTTTCTTTCTTTCTTTCTTTTAAATAAAGCTTAAAAGCCATGCACCCACCTGCATCTCCTCTGCGTCTGCCCCAGCTCCTCCCGCAGAGCTCGGCTCGTGGCCGTCAGATTGTCCTTCTCCATCAGCAGGCTCTTATTCTCCAACTGCAGGCTGGTCAGCTTCTCCATCAACTTGTCCATCTCTGCGCTCTCTCGCTCTTCTTCCTTCTGCAAATGGCTGGGGAATAAAAACACCATGGGCTGTGCCTTAGCAGAGCGAGGCTGACCCATGGCAGTCAAAGTCCTCTGGCCATTGTGGGGCGGGGAGGGGGGAATGGTCATCTGGGTGTCTGCAGCTACACTTCCTGGGCTCTGGACAGAGGCTCCCAGGAGGGGCACCCACTCCTTGAAGGTCACTATATACCTATTTATCTGTCCTGGATTTTTAAAAAAAAAAAATTTGGCTTTAGGGCCACACCTAGCAGTGTTCAGGGGTTACTCTTGGCTCTGAACTAGGGACTCACTTTTGGCATTGCTCTGGGGACCATATGAGATACCAGGAATCAAACCTGCTGTACTGCCACTGAGATCGCCCTACCCTGCATTTTTGCCTTGGCTTTGAACAAACAGACTTCTCCATACTCCAGAGGGTAATTTTCCACATATAGTTGTTATAATTTCCCCCCATCCAAATGTTGAAACAACTCTTATTCCATAGTAATGACAGCAAGTTCTCATGTAACATTGTCAGTAAGTTCTTGGACATTGTGACTCCTCATTTTATTTAATGATTGTATGACCCAATGCGTCCAGGCTACTTGACATAAACAAGAGTTTAGTTCCTCCAGTGTCTTTCTGGTTACAAAAACAACACTGCACTTCTAAGACCCAAAATATTTCTAATATTAAGAATACTTTGCATTCAGGACTCCGCGCCAGGCTCTTTTCACTTGGGGTGCCCCATAAGGGGGTGGGCGAGAGCCCTCCCTGCCCCAAGGGACCCAGCCCTGGCAGCTGACCTCCACTACCCAACCATCACCACGCTCCAGGCTACTTTCTGGATGCTCAGACTGAGCCTCATGCAGGAGTGAAGTCCCACGGAATCCAGGTAATACGGAACTCTGTGTCCTTGAACTCTGGATTCAATGAACCCGGAAGCAAAGATTCTCTGCCTGCTTCCCCCAGTCTCCGGTGACCCAGGGGTCACACCCATAAGCCACACCCTGCTGGCACCAGGTAATCTCCTCAACTGCCACCCTCCCGAACTCATGGCTGCTCCTCCCAGACGGGAGCATAAAATGAGGCCCCCATAACCATGCCACCAGACTCTGCACTAGGCTGTTTTCACTCAGGGCGCCCCAGAGGGGGGTGGGTGAGAGCCCTCCCCTCCCTAAGGGACCCAGCCCTGGCAGCTGACCTCCACTACCCAACAGCCACCACGCTCTAGGCCATTTTTCCGGACTTCGGGCCGCAAAGCGGCTGTGTGACATATCATAAGACACTTCCTACCCATTTTCCATAATTACCACACCATATTTGACGGAGTTTTGACAGTTGATAACAAATAATAGAGAAATATCTATATATATATATATATATATATGTATCACTGTCACTGTCCTCCTGTTGTTCATCGATTTGCTCGAGCGGGCCCAGTAACGTCTCCATTGGAGACTTGTTGTTACTGTGTTTGGCATATCGAATACATCACGGGTAGCTTGCCAGGCTCTGCCGTGCGGGCGAGATACTCTCGGTAGCTTGCCGGGCTCTCCAAGGGGGCGGAGGAATCGAACTCAGATTGGCCATGTTGGCTGCGTGCAAGGCAAACGCCCTACCGCTGTGCTATTGCTCCAGCCACATATATATATGTGTGTGTGTGTGTGTGTGTGTGTGTGTGTGTGTATATGTGTATATATATATATATATATATATGTATATATATATATATATATGCCTCTTGGAGAGACTGGGAAGCTACCAAGAGTATCCCACCTGCACGGGCAGAGCCTAGCAAGCTCCCCATGGAGTATTCGAAATGCCAAAACCAGTAACTATTAACAGGTCTCATTCCCCTGACCCTGAAAGAGCCTCCAATCATTGGGAAAGACGAGTACGGAGAGGTTGCTAAAATCTCAGGGCTGGGACGAATAGAGATGTTACTGGCAACGCCTGGAGTAATTCAATGAACAATAGGATGACAGTGATAACAGTGATACTTTGTATTCATTCGTTTGTCCCCCCCTTTTATTCCAGTTCAGGGTCTCTACTGGCGAGGGAGCAAGGGGTGCAAGGAGAGAATGAACCCCTGACAACCAGCCCTGAAACCCCTTCCACTGCAGGGTGAAACCCCCTTACATTTTCCACAGGCTGAGACCCCTGAGAAGTGCCAAGCACACACACACACATCTCTGGGCTACGCAAGGAAAGCAGAGCCCCGGCGAAAACCGCAGATGCTGGGGAATGTGCAAGCCCTCCCAAATGTTGGCGAGACAGGCGCCGAGATCTCCCCCTCCCCAACATGATAACAACATGATGCTGGGAATGAAGCATCATTCCAGGACCTGCTCCACAGGCAGCTGCTTTTCTGATGAAGTTTAAATGAAGAACAAGGCAGACATGCAAGCTCAATATTGAATTCTGGCAAAAGGATGCTCAAGGGAAGATCTCGTTGGGTCTCTCAGCCAATTTTCAGGCAATAACCCGGACTGAAAAGGTCAGGCCACAGGAGACTGCACACACTTAAAGGACTGGGTGGGGGGCGGGAGAAGGGGAGAGGGCTGGGCTCTGAGTGTCAGGAGGGGGCTTCACCACCTGGATGGCTGGCAGCCTTGGGCTGTGTGGGTCCGCAGGTCTACCTCACATATCATACAACCTCCAGGACTCGTCACTCTGAACTCCCAATCAAGAAAATAAAATAAAATACAAATTGGAATGAGGCTTGAGACGTGCAGGGTCAGAGACACCGTGGAACTGGAACCAGAACAGCTGGAGGCAGTGGATAATAAAATGGTCTCCAATAAAGCTACGTTGCCAAAAAAAAAAAAAAAGGAAGACACAGAGCCTGTATTTGCGGTAGGAAAGGTATGAGGACAACATGTCAAAGGAAGGTGGAATATTTCTTGAAACGGAAAGGGTTGACAGCTGAGGACAAACTTGGGAACCTGAGGAAAATGTAGATTGTCAAGAGTTGTCTAGAAAAAGCACTTCTTTTTGTTTGTTTGTTTCTTTGGGAGGAGGGCACACCTGGCTTATTCCTGGCTCTGTGCTCAGGGATCACTCTGGTGGGTTCGGGGGGGAGAGGGGGGGAACGGGACCATATGGGATGCCCAGAATTGAACCTGGGTCAGCGAGGAGCAAGACAAGCACCCTACTCACTGTACTATTGCTTCTGCCCCACAGACTCAAGTATTTTTTTAAGTTGTTCACAATAATTTATTGCATTCAATATTACAACACCAATTCCACCACCATCACACCTTCCCACCACCATAATTTCTAATATTTCTGCCACCTCCAAGGCCTGCCCCTAATGACTGAAGCACTTCTTAATTTTCAAAGACCTGGTAAAGGTGATGCAAAAAATATGGTGCAAAAGAGAAAATCTTTATGTGACAGTGAATCTGATGATAGGCTGTCAGAGAAAAAGAGAGATGACAAACCAAGATCAATCTGGATCCCAGACAGATATTGGTGCCACTGGCAGCAGAGGGGGTAGATGATTGTGGGGAGTGGAGAGGAGCGGCTGAGGAGAGGCCAAGATGGTGGACATGGCCTCAAATTGTAATTGCTTTTTGTGAACAGACACTCGCTTGACATTTTTTTGTCCAGAGATGAAACTCAATCATTTGTGCACATTGCTTACATATGTAATATCTGGGTTTGGGTTTTCATTTACTCCTGCGAAGGAATAACTGTATCCTAATGAAAATCAACTTTTGATCTGTTCATTTTAAAGTGGTATGCAGACAAATGAAATGAGTCAGAAAGAGAGGGACAGATATAGAAGGACTGCACTCATTTGTGGAGTATAAAATAATATAACATGAGACTGACACCCAAGGACAGTAGGCACAAGGGTCAGAAAGATTGCTCTATAGTTGGAAGCCTCCCTCATGAGCTGGGGGAGAAGACAGCTGGGATAGAGAAGGAATCACTAAGACAAGGATGGTTGGAGGGATCGGTCGGGACGGGAGATGTGTGCCGAAAGAAGATAAAGAACCAAACATGATAACCTCTCAGTTTCTGTATTGCAAACCATAATACCCAAAAGTAGAGAGAGAGTATGGGGGAAATTGCCTGCATGGAGGCAGTGGGAGAGTGGGAAGCGGGGGGGATATACTTGGGAGATTGCTGGTGGGGAATGTGCACTGGTGGATGAATGGGTGTTTGATCATTGTGCAACTAAAACTCCAACATGAAAGCTTGTAACTGTATCTCACAGTGATTCAGTTTTAAAAAAAAAGTGAAGCACAACACACACACACACACACACACACACACACACACAAAGTGCTATGCAGAGCGATAGTACACTGGGTAGGGTGTTTGCTGTGGATTTAGACCACGTGATTTTGTGGGCCCACGGCCAGACCTCCCCACCTCTGGTCTAAGATCAGGGACACTGGTGAGAAAACTGAGACCAGACATCACTGTCTCCCAGGTGAGGCTGACTGAGCTGTAGCCTGGAGGCTACCTGCCAGGGCCTCTACTAACAAAATCAAGCTTCAAAATCATCCTACACCCCACAACACAAAACCCATTACATTCAGTCCAACCACGATAAAGCGTGCTCTATGATCAGGACAGTGAAAACCAACGCCACAGGATCTAGAGGTGAGAGGACGACAGTATAGGAAAATGCAGGCTTTTAAACAACTACATCAAATATACTCTATATATCCAAGAAAGCAGAGGAAAAACCTGGTAAGAGAACTGGAAAACACACACACACACACACACACACACACACACACACACACACACACACACACACGGGCTCACAGATCTTCTAGGGATAGAAAGACACAATATATGAAATCAACAATAAATCAGACGTGACTAAACACAGATGGGACTCTATGGGGGAAAACACCAGTGAACCTGGGGGCATGAGACTCTCCAACCGAAGCTCAAACACACACACTCATCTGAGCTTTACTTATTGTCTCAGATTCTGAGACGGTATCAACTGGCTCCAAGCCAAGGGGAGAGGTGAGAAAGAAGACAACAAAAGATTACTGAAGGATAAACTACAATAATCTTCCAAAATCTAATGAAAATTTGATAAAAAAAAAATCCACATAAACACACACACACACACACACACACACACACACACACACACACACACACACTCACCCCAGGCACATCCTAATTAAGTTGTCTACAACCGGTGAAAAAGGCCATTTCCCCTTCCCCCTTTGTTTTTGTTTGGCCACACTCAGCTGTGCTCAGAGTTTACTCCTGGTTCTAAGCTCAGGGATCACTCCTGGCGGGACTTGGGGGACCATGTGTGTTGCCACAAGGGCGAATTTTGACAAGAAAAGACACCTTTTGCTCAGAGCAATGAAGATAATGACAGCAAATTTTTACCAGACACGATGTATGACAAAAGCTATAGAAAGATTAAAAAAAAAAAGAGGAAAAGAAACAAAACCACCCAATGAGCCACCGGCCACCTTGGAATTCTATATTCAGTGAAACTATAACTATTAGGCGCTTGTTTCATCATTTTCCCACCCAATGCAAACCTTTCTGTTCCTTCGCCCTTTGTGAGGCTTCACAAATAGATTTTCCCATCCTTTCTTTTTTTCAAAATATTATTTCCTACGTATCTGTTCCTACTGAGAAGCACCATCAGTTTTGTAAACTGATTTTATTTCTAACAACTTGGTTCACATCCCATATTTCTAATGACTTATTTATAGACTTGTTTTTCTCCAGATGGAATTATATAATCTGCAAGAAAGTCACAGTCTCTCTTTCTTGCCATATGCTCCAGCTACCACACAGGAAGGCCCGGGGCTCATGTTTGGACATGAGGTCAGGGGCCTGGTGTGGCTTCTGGTCTTAACCAGAGGGTACCTTTGCGTTCCACCACTTGGGTAGACATTTGCTGTGGTTTCATGTGCTACAGAAACAGAACGTTCACATCTGTTTCTAACACTTCCTTCAGAACGCTTACGTCTTGATTCACAGGAGAAGAGGAAAAGCAATTTTCTCTTCTTACCTATAAATGTTTTGGTATCGAGATTATACTGACCTTTAAAAAAAAGGGGGGGGTATGTTGTCTTTAATGAAAGATCTTTGAATCTTTCATTCTTAACCAACTCTTTACTGTGGTCTGGCATACTTTACCAGCTTTGAACTGGTACAGGCCCTTCTAGGTGCCTACCCTACAAAACAGCTTAGTTTCAAGTAAATGTGAGTTCCTTGTCATAGCTTAGCATTTTTTCTTACTTCCAAAGTTAATTTCTTGTTTCACAGGAAAAGTATGATTTAAGGCTCTTGGAAACACCTGCCAGGTAATCTATCCAAGGACCATGTGGGTTTTCACTGTTGCCACTATTCTATCAGCATTCCAGTCACCAAAGCTTTCTGATCATAATGCATTTTTTAATACATTAATGGGACTGAAATAGTACTTTTTTTTTCTTTTTGGGTCACACCTCGTGACACACAGAGGTTACTCCTGTCTCTGCACTTAGGACTTACTCCCAGTGGTGCACAGGGGACCATATGGGATACTGGGAATCGAACCCAGTTTGGCAGCATGCAATGCAAATGCCCCACCTGCTATGCTATCGCTCTAGCCCCCAAATTTTCCACCCATGGAAAATTGTTTGTTCCTTTTTTTTTCTTTTTGGGTCACACCCAGCAATGCTCAGGGGTTACTCCTGGCTCTGTGCTCAGGAATTGCTCCTGGTGGTGCTTGGGGAACCATATGGGATGCCGGGGATTGAACCTGTGTCGGCCGTGTGCAAGTCCCCACTATGCTATCGCTCTGGCCCTGAAATGGTACTTTTTATTTCACTTATGTTTTTCTTTTAAGTAAAGAATGTAATTGGATACAACTAGACTGTGGTCATTTGCCATGGTAAAAAAAAAAATGTCTTGTGATGTCAAGTTTAATGGCTGTATTGTATTCCTCTGTTTGGTTTTGGGGACACAAAACCAGTGGTGCTCGGGATTTACTCCTGGCTCTGAGCTCAGGGAATCACTCCTGGTGGTACTCGGGGGAGCAGACAGGGTGCTGGGAATCAAACCCAGGTTGGCTGCAAATGCCCCGCCTGCTATACTATTGCTCGGCCCCTGTATTTCATTTTATGGTTGAATTTTTCCACTTGGCCCGTTCCCTCTGGATAGCTGGCTCTACTACTCCCAATTATTAGCTTTAGGCTTTTACACCCAGGAAGCCTGGGAGGGGTTGTATGGGGAGACAGCCCTCCAACTGAGCACAGTGCTGCAGTTATGTTGGGCGGGGGGGGGGGGGGGGGGGGGGGAGGAACAGGGGGTGGGGAATAGGGGGAATAGGGGAGGGAGGGTGGTGGCCGAGAGGGGGGCAGTGCCTGCACTGCTGAGCACCTGGAAAAAGCTGGGGTGATCTCTCCCCACTCCTCCCGTAACAGGAGGCGTGGGGACTCACTCCACAAGGCACGGGATCCTCACCTTTCTAATTCGTTTACAATGGAAGCATGAACATTCAGGGCGATTTTGCCATCCAGTTGTGTTCTTAATTCCTGGCATTCCAGACGTAAAGCTTCCAGCTGCTTCTTACTCTCGCTCAGCTCCCTCTCTTGGCTCTGTGTGATAGTCTCCAGAAGCGTGAGCTGTTTCTTCAGCTGAGAAACTGAAAGACAAAAGAAATACAGAACTCAGTACCAAGATTGAACCAAAAAAAAAAAAAAAAACCAGCTCTGAATTAGTTAAAAAGCCAATTTGTAACAGTAAAGTAAGGTAAAGGCCCTCCCGTTGATCATCGATTTGCTCGAGCAGGCCCAGTAACGTCTCCATTGGAGACTTTGTTGTTACTGTGTCTGGCATATCGAATACGTCACGGAGCTTGCCAGGTTCTGCCCAGGCTCGATATTCTCGGTAGCTTGCCGGGCTCTCCGAGAGGGGCGGAGGAATCGAACTTGAATCGGCCATGCTGGCTGCGTGCAAGGCAAACGCCCTACCGCTGTGCTATCGCTCCAGCCCTTTGTAAAAATTTGTAAAAATCATCTTTTAAAAGTCCTTTTTAGATTTATAAATGAATACCTGAAAGAACCCATATTAGGGCATCAAATTTTTGCATACGTCAGCTAACTTGCAACATTGCTTTCTGTAAAACTGCTTGGCTGCTTTGCACCTGGGGGAGAGGGGACTTGGAAAGTGAACAGGGCATAACTTCTTTCTAAACCAAGTGTGACAGGATTCAGGTGTATTTACTGTTCCTGAAATGTATTGTCTCAGTAAAGCACACTGCAGACTTGGGTAAAGGATAACTCAGGATGCGGTGGTTGGGGGAAATTGCCCTTTCCTGGAGTGTATTGTCTCACTAAAGCACCCTGCAGACTTGAGTAACTCAAAATGTGGATGGTCAAGGGAGATTACCTAAGGCTTAATGATTCTGGCTATAACCTTGCTTGTGCTGACAATCGATGTATGTAAATGCTGATCTTTGAATCTATAGGCTAAGGAGTGAGGTACTTTTAAATGGATTGGTTAAGAAAGTATATGTTGTTACAAATCTATTGGCTATGAAATGCGCGGGCTTTGTTGTAACGGTTGATGAAGGCCTATATAAGACCCCCTTTGAAGAAGCTCGGGGCTCCCAGCCACTGCCCACTCTGGGGTATGCTGTGGAACCCCAGCATGCTGGTCTAAATAAACCCTGTTTTTACTCCTGCAGGAATTGTGTCTATCTGGTCTCTCCGCGCCTCCCAGGGGTAGGGAACTCCCGATCCCAACATACCAAAGGCTGCATACTGAGAATCTAATAAACCTATACAAAATGTTCATTTGATATATTCTTTTATCTAAGGACTCAGTGTGTTGCTATTACTAAATACAAAATGTTGAACGAGGGGTTGGAGCGATAGCACAGCGGGTAGGGCGTTTGCCTTGCATGCGGCCGACCCGGGTTCGATTCCCAGCAATCCATATGGCCCCCCGAGCACCACCAGGAGTAATTCCTGAGTGCAGAACCAGGAGTAATCCCTGTGCATTGCCGGGTGTGACCCAAAAAGCAAAAAAAAAAAAAAAAAAGTTGAACAATACTTGACTTCAGTCTGCGAGAAACTGGCCTTTCAAAGACTTAAGTCTCACACACACACACACACACACACACACACACACACACACACAGACAAATCACATAGATGTGTGGGCACATATCACGATATTGCCTTAAAATGGCAAGATTTTAGCCTTTTTAAAAAAATTCTTCTGTGCCAGGGATGGCATAGGATCCAACCTCAGGCCCTCACACATAAGGCCTGCCTCTACCACCACTGACCGACATCCCTGAGCCCAAGATTTTTCAAGGTTTTGGGTTTAGGGATGTAGCTCAGAAGTAATGCACTTATCCTGTGTGTGTGGGATCCTAGGTTCAATTCCTGGCACCATAAAAAGAGGAAGGAAAAAAGCGGTAAGGCCAAGATATTCAAGATTTTTTTGGAGGGCCAGTGGGTGGGGAGGAGGAAGGTGGAGGCTGAGTTCTGGGTCACACCTGGTGCTCAGGGCTTGCTCTCGGCTCTGTGTTCAGGATGGAAAGGGAGTCGTCTATACGCAAGGCAAGCACCTTAACCCTGTATTACCTCTGCGCCCCTGATTTTCAAGACTTAAAACAACTCTTTACTGCGTTACTGTGATTCACAATGCATACATCATTTCAACACCACGCCCGCCACCAAGATTTTCGAGACTTTCAAAGACATCAAACATGGTTAAACTAAGAACCAAGTGACTTTTTCTTCTCTTTTTAAGTTTCTGTTCTATAGTCTGTGTCTGTGAGTACATCCAAACATTCCCAACCTATGGTGACCAGGCAGTCAGCACCAGAAAGAAATTTGTTAGAAGTCTTGCGGAACTACTACACAAAAGGATTGGAGCACTGAGCGTGGATTCTCTCTACTCCTCAGAAACATATGGTCGGTCAGTCGGTCGTTGACTGCAACAAACAGCGAGGAAACGGGAACACATACAACAGACTGAACAGTGTGGCCAGGACATTTGCCCTGCCCCCCTGGCCAGGAGGGCCATTGTCCCTGCTCAGGCCTGCTGTGTTTGAGAAAGTTAAACTGGGAAAGCAAGGAAATTAGTTGTCTGTCATCTTTAATCCTGAAAACAAAGACAGAATTTAATCAGCCTGAGAGCAAAGAGAGGGAGAGAAAGGAGGGATTGTCTCTCCCCCCAAGGCCCTCCATTGGGGAGACCAACACCTCTGAGGAGGAAATTCCTTGGGGATCCTCAGAGCTGCTCTCATTCACAACCTGCTGGCTGGTCCCCGGGGATGGGGGGAGGGGGGAGGGGGGGGACGACGACAAAATAATAATGCAGGGCCAGCCTGGAGCTCAGGCGCTCCGGAGGGGAGGGGCAGCCAAGCAGAGCCAGACAGGCGTCTCCCGCCCTCCACAGCTGTCCACATGGGAAGACGACCCAGCCTCACTCCCCTGTGCTCAGGATAGTCGGGTTTCAGTCAAAGCAGAATGATGATCCTTGGCCTGGCCAACCTCAAAACCAGGTGCTGTGGGGCCTGTCGGGGCAGGGAAGGCGGGACGGAGGGAGACCAAGGCCGAGTGGGCGCTCACTCAAGGCGTCTGAGAATGTTCTGGAAATGGCTCGGAGGCATGGGGTTCCTGCTCATGAGTGCTACACCCATATCTGGGAACAGACCTTGGTCTGGTTTCCTGAAATAATGCACCTCCCACCGGCCCACATAGCAGTAGGGTCCCCTAGAGCCGGCTCTGTTGTCACCTGATGACTGAGAACAGTTAGAAAACTTAGAAAATGACTTAGAAGAGTCATTTCCAATGACTTAGAAAAGCTGAAGGGGAATGGGATACTGCGGAGCCTCAGAGGAAGCGGAAGCCACAGAGCGTGCGGCCACGCTGGAGGTTCTGCAGTTGCACCCTGGCAGGACAGGACCTGAGCACCGCGTCCCCCTGCCCAGCCCCTCGCACGAGCGCTGCCCCTGCTCACTGGAGACAGGGCTCACCTTCCTCGAGGTGCTCCTGATGGGCGTCCTTGGCTTTTTTTCTCTGAACCTCCAACTGTTCCGTCAGCAACTTGTTTTCCTTTGAGAGCAGTTCTGCCTGGGTCTGAAGCTGGTGCCTGCAAGTGAAACACGCAGTGAGACACGCAGTGAAACACGCAGTGAGACACGCAGCGAAACACCAGTGAAACATGCAGTGAAACACACAGTGAAACACGGGCATTTTGGTGCTGAGGACATTCTTAAGTCTAACTGGGCGGCCAGCGGCACCTGCCACCCAGGCAGCCACTCACACTCAGGATGGTGTCAACACTGTAAATCCTGCCGTTGACCTGAAGCTGGAGGAAAAGGCAGCAGAGAAGTCTGAATTACAGTTTCAGCGACTTACTGAAACACGAAACACTGGAGCGATAGCACAGCGGGTAGGGCGTTCGCCTTACAAGCGACCAACATGGCCGACCCGAGTTCGATTCCTCCGCCCCTCTCGGAGAGCCCGGCAAGCTACCGAGAGTATTCGATATGCCAGACACAGTAACAACAAAGTCTCCAATGGAGACGTTACTGGGCCCACTCGAGCAAATTAAATAAACACAAAATAAACACATACAAAAGTAGAAAGAATAAACTCCACATCCATGATACCCAATTTGAACAAAAATAGTCTCTCGGTATTTATACTGCAAACCATAATGTCCAAAAGTAGAGAGAGAGGATGGGGAAAAATTGTCTGCCATGGAGGCAGGGGGAGGGTTAGAAAGTGGGGAGTGGTATATTGAGAACATTGGTGGTGGAGAATGCGCACTGGTGGAAGGATGGGTGTTTGATTATTGTATGACTGAAACTCAAACATGAAAGCTTTGTAACTGTATCTCACAGTGATTCAATAAAAAACAAAAAAGGAAAAAAAAACCCAACAGCCACTTTTGTTTCCTCATTATGAATCTTTAATCCTCCCACCCCCTGGGCTATTTTGGAGCTGATGTGAACAATTTAATAAATAATTTAGAAAGTTCCACTGTGTAATTCAAAAGCACTCATTTGGCAGAGATCGTACTGGAGAGATGGCACTTGGCTTTACAGATGTCTGTGGGAGCCCTAACGCCGGTTCAAATCCTCCGTACCACAGTCCCTAAGGATGGCTGGTGAGAGGCGCCTTGGCCTCCTTCAGCTGCCGTGAGCAGTTCCATTTTAGCTGGGCCCCCTACAGCTTTCAACATTCCTGCAGATTCCTGGGTTCTCTCTGAGGCTGAGACTCACAAAAGACCAAGAGAGGACGGGGTGGTATCTGGGCAGAGGATAAAATACACAACCACAGGGCCCAGAGCAACAGGGCAAGTGGGTAGGGCACCTGCCTTACATGCAGCTGACCCAGGCTCAATCCCCGGCACCACACCTGGTCCCCTGAGCCCACCAGGAGTGATCCCTGAGCACAGAGTCAGGACTAAGCCCTGAGCACTACTGGGTATGACCCCCAAACCAGACATCAGTATTTAAAGGTCTTCAATAAATAATCCCCACCAGCCTAAGTGGGAATGGAAGACAATATTCTTTTCTTAGCAACTCAAGGGGTGATAAATTAACAAGACACCTCTGGGAAACAAACGAGGATCTTCTGATTCTTCATTTGATAAGAAACACAAAGACCCAGTTTTCCTATAAAAACTTTACAAAATGGGCCACTTAACAATTCTTTTCCCCTTCTTTTCTTTCTTTCTACCTTCCTTTCGTTTTCTTTCTTTCCTTCTTTCTTTTCCTCCGTCCCTCCGTCCCTCCCTCCCTCCCTCTCTTCCTTCTTTCCTTCCTTCTTCCTTCCCGTTTTTGTTTTTGGGCCACACCTGGTGACGCTCAGGGGTGACTCCTGGCTCTGTGCTCAGGAATTACTCCTGGCAAGCTTGGGGAACCATATAGAATGCCAGAGATCAAACGAGAATTGGCTGTGCGCAAGGCAAGCACCCTCCCTGCTGGACTTTCTCTCCAGCCCCAGACACTAAGTTTCTAACTTCTTAGAAACACTTCCTCTTTTAGATGAAAAGGAAAAATTGATTTAATCATTTACTCTTTTTTTTTTAACTAATTATCACCAACATAACTCCACTTACCATTTCTCGCTGTTAACAGGGTCACTCTTCTTTAACTTCTGGTGCAAATCTTCATTCTCTTTCACCACTTCTTGGACTCGTAACCTGAACATCTTCATTTCTTCCTGGAATAAAATAGATGCAAGTGCATGTGTACGCACTCTCTCCTCTCTCTCTCTCTCTCTCTCTCACACACACACACACACACACACACATAGACACACGCGCGCGCGGCTTTACTTCTTGTCCAGAGTGAGAGCAGCCTTACACGTAGGGCCCAGAGCCCAGCTCCCGCCCTCAAGGAGAGCTCAATCAGGCTCTTGGGGAAATTAAGGGACAACTACTCCAGCATGGACCAGCAGCCAAGCCAGGTTTGAAATAGCCAAAGCCTAATCGAACAACACTTCTTGGCCTCTACCCGAATTCTGATGTTAAAAACACTTTTTTTTTTTTTTTTTGCTTTTTGGGTTGCACCCAGCAATGCACAGGGGTTACTCCTGGCTCTGCACTCAGGAATTACTCCTGGCAGTGCTCGGAGGACCATATGGGATGCTGGGATTCGAACCCGGGTCGGCCACGTGCAAGGCAAACGCCCTACCCGCTGTGCTATTGCTCCAGCCCCCTGAAAACACTTTTGAGTGCTAGAAATGGCAGGAAAAGGCAGAGAGGCAGGAATGCAGCACATGCCTTGCAGGGCTGAAGCTGTGGGTTCAATCCCACAATGCACACAAAAGGCAGAGCTGTCTACAAATCCGAGTTATCTTTTGCACTGAGGAGACTTGAGAGGGTTAGATGTACAGCAGGTCGATCAAACGAGACACGGTGAGCCAGAATATGGAAGGTTATAATACAAAAACACAACAAAACAGAAAACCTCACCAGGAATACTCTATAAAGTAAAAGTAAAGTAAAGGCCCTCCCGTTGATCATCGATTTACTTGAGTGGGCCCAGTAACGTCTCCATTAGAGACTTTGTTGTTACTGTGTCTGGCATATCGAATACTCTCGGTAGCTTGCCGGGCTCTCCGAGAGGGGCAGAGGAATCGAACTCGGGTCGGCCATGTTGGCTGCGTGCAAGGCAGACGCCCTACCCGCTGTGCTATCGCTCCAGCCCGTGCATCTAAGATTATCATTCAGATTTGAAGGAACTATACAGAGTAGGCAACAGTTTAGGGAATTTGGAGCCTTAAAACCTGTTTTGCAAGAAGCATGAAAAGAGCTCCTTTTTAAAAATAAATAATAAAAAATAAAAAGAGCTCCTTTAGAGGACGGGACAAACTCCCCATCACGTGGCACTGAGCCCGACGCTCACGAATGGTGCATGTGTTTGTCCTCTGCTAGATTAGGGAAAGTTCAAACACAGAGCAATTCATCATCATCACTACTTGACTTTTATTGATTTATTTTCCGATAATTCTATTTGCCACTCCTTTAAGTTTTATTGGACCAAGTATTAGGAAACAGATTTGTTATACGCCTGGGGTGGCCTGGTGGGGGGAGAGTGAGAGGGAACCTGGGGACAGTGATGGTGGAATTGGTGTTGGAGTGTTGTATTCCGGAAACAACTCTATTATGAACAACTCTGTAAATCACAGTGTCTCAGTAAACATTCCAGGGGGTTGGGGGTAAGACTTTGGAGAATAAATCAGACTTTTCAGATGAAAATTAAGCCCTTTCTAGGGCTGGAGTGATAACACAGCAGGTAGGGCATTTGCCTTGCATGTGGCCAACCTGGGTTTGTTTGATTCCCAGCATCCCATATGGTCCCCCGAGCACCACCAGGAGTAATTTCTGAGTGCATGAGCCAGAAGTAACTCCTGTGCATCACCGGGTGTGACCCCCCCACTCCCCAAAAAAAACAAAACAAAATTAAGCCCTTTCTAACTACCACCCACTTGGAAGTTTGTTAGCCTGGGGTGGGGTGGGAAAGCGCCCCCTACAGCTGTCAGTCATCAGCCCAATTCAAGGCTGCTAGGTCTCGGTTTCCCCTGCCTCCGTGAGGCTCTATTTCTGGCACGGCTGCCAGGCCTCCTCCAATGCGGTCCTTCTCAGTCAAGGCCAGTTTGGTGCCCCGTGCCAGGCTTTGGGAATGGGGAATCTGGGGCCCATGTTTGCCCCAGGCGCTTCTAAAATATGTCATGTCAAGCTTCTCGTGAAGTATTCGATATGCCAAACACAGTAACAACAAAGTCTCCAAATGGAGACGTTACTGGGCCCGCTCGAACAAATCGATGATCAACGGGAGGGCCTTTACTTTACTTTACTTTATTAAACTGTCGGTCATGGCCGTTGATGGCTAACTTCTATCACCAGCACGGGGAACTTTACTTCCTCTCCCCTTTCTGTCCAGACACACTTGCCAATTGCCGGTGGTCCCCGGTGGGGTGCTCAGAGGCTATCCCTGGCTCTGTACTCAGAAGTGACCCCCGTGGTGATCAGGGCACCACATGGTAACAAAGATGTAAACTGGAGAGTCAGCAGGATGCAGAGCCAGCACCTGACATCTGTGCCGTGTCCCCGGTCTGGTCATGCAGAACAGGGATCTGCTTGTTTTGTCACTAAAGTTTACTGGAATGCAACCACGCCCCTTTGGTCACACAATATCTCTGGCTGGCTCCCGGCTACCACAGAGGCACATGGTGGTGGCAAACAGAACGAGCAGGGCCTGGAGGGTCTCACATCACTGCTCAGTAGCCCTGTGTGGGAAAATATTCCCGATCCCCATCTTAGATGGAACAGCGGATTGTTTTTCTATCCGTAATTTTCCTATCTGTAGATAACCGTTCGTCTATTAGGATAGGACTAATTTTCTCAGGTCGGAGTGATGGCACAGTGAGTTAGGATGCTTGCCTTGCACGTGGCCAACCTGGGTCTGAAACCTGGCATCCCATGGTCCCCGGAGCACCACCAGGAGTAATCCCTGTGTGCAGAGCCAGGAGGAACTCCTGAGCATGGCTGGGTGTGACTCAAAAAGACAGAAAAAAAAAAAAAAGACTGGGAAACTGCTTTGTGGGCCACCACATAGGGAGTATTACCGAGGAACAGGCTGCAAGACCTGGGACAGACCCTTCCTGCAGGGAGTCCTAGAAACCCAGCACCTGCGTCCTTCCAGGAACGGAGTCTCCTGGGGAGCCTGGGGGTGCTGGGCATGCAAAGCCAAGGACTCATCCAACAGGCCCACAGCCCTGGTTTCCTGTAGGCGAATGAGGAGGGCTGAGCGAATGCTTTGCGTGCAGGAGCCCTGGGTTCCATCCCCAGCAGTGCTCTCCCCGCTGAGTACCCCGGGGAGTGACCCCTGAGCACCCCTCATCCCCACCCTTCGCTTCTAGCACTGCTTGGGAGCGGCATGAAAACAACTGTAGCACTGTAGCATTGTAGCACTCCTCCCGTTGTTGTTCATCAATTCGCTCAAGCGGGCCCAGTAACGTCTCCATTGTGAGACTTGTTACTGTGTTTGGCATAGCGTCTCCATTGTGAGACTTATTTTTACTGTTTTTGGCATATCGAATATGTCACGGTAGCTTGCCAGGCTTTGCCGTGCGGACAAGATACTCTCAGTAGCTTGCCGGGCTCTCCAAGAGGGGCAGAGGAATCAAACCAGGTTGGCCGGGCTGGCCGCATGCAAGGCAAACGCCCTACCCACTGTGCTATCGCTCCAGCCCACAAACACAAAATGCAACCAGAGCAAGCTGCGCTGTTGTCAGCTGTGCCCAACATCCCCGGGCACGGACCCTGGAGCCAAAGCCAACCTCACTTCCTCCCGCTCCCAATGGCTCCATCCCTGAGCTCCTCCAGGGAATTAAGCCGCATCTAAATCACACACTTCCGGCCAACCTCCCCTCCACCCCACCCCCACCCCCACCCATCAGCCCTTGTAACTGCAGTGCTTGCAGCTACCGAGTATGGGGGTCTACTCACTGCTGCCCTCTCTGCACCGCAGGAGCCTGGACCACTTGGGCTGCCCAGAAATCAAGGCACAGTGCAGCGTCATCACCTCCCCAGGCCTCCCCCTTTCTCACCGCCTCTTGTCCTGCCTGTCCCTCCCACCCTGCTTCCCGCTTGCTTCTGTCTCCTCCCTCTCCCCACCCCACCCCCACAGGACCCTCTTCTTCCTCCCTCCCTTTCACAAGCACTCAAGCGCGGTGGGTTTACCCACCGTCGATGTATTTCTTCAGAATCGGAAGCAGCCTCAGTTTTGATGCACCGAGTCCCTCTCTCCTGGGACACCGGCCAGCCTACCTGAAGGGTGGCGCTGAGCTCGTCCTTCTCCTTCATCCTGTCCTCGTAGGCCAGCAGCAAGGGAGACAGGTACTTCACGTCCAGCTGAACGCAATGGGTACAGAAGGTTAGACCGTAGCCTCCAGGGGAGCGCAGAGCACCTCTTCGAGTGGCGATAAAGCAGGCTTAGCCTGGCATGGTTTCTAACCGCTATTCAAGCACAGCTCGGAGAGCACTGGCCGGGACTGAAAATACTCACCAACCAGGGTGGGGTGGGCCCTTCTGAGGGGAGCCCCTCAATAGTCAGACTCTGAAAACAAATACAAATCAGGAGTCAAATTAAGCAAGGCTTCCTCTGAAAAGTCGAGCTTCAGACATTCTTCGTCTAGACCGAGCATTAGCGACCTACGTGAGCGAGTGCATGCGTATGCATATCCGAGCGTTTGCAGACCTAACTGGCCCTGTCCTCAAAATACTTCAAGGCACATTTCTTTTTCTTTTTTTCCTTAAAATTTTTATTAATGAAACACCATGAGATAAAGTTGTAGACTTACAAATTTTGGTGCTTGGGTTTCAGTTATACAATGATCAAATACCCATCCCTCCACCAGTGCCCATTCTCCACCACCACCAGTCCCAGTATCCCTCCCACCCCCCTTCCCCCCATCCCCCGTCCCACCCTACCACTGTGGCAGGGCATTCCCTTTTGTTATCGCTCTCCTTTTGAGAAGGCACATTTCTTTAAAACAGAAACATTCATTGACTTAATCATTGTATCACTATAAGAAAATCAAAATTACAGAGGTTGCAGAATGTGGGCAAGATATTTGCTTTATGCTGAAAGTAGACTATAGACCAAACATGATTGTCACCCATTGCCTGTTTTGCAAACCAAAGCACCCAGTAAGAGAGAGAGAACAAAAGGGAATGCCCTGCCACAGAGGCAGGGTGGGATGGGGGGGAATGGGAGGCGGGAGGGATACTGGGATCGTGGTGGTGGGAAATGGGCACTGGTGGAGGGATGGGTATTTGATCATTGTATAATTGAAACCCAAGCACAAAAATTTGTAAGTCTATAACTTTACCTCATGATGTTTCACTAATAAAAATTAAAAAAAAAAAAGATATTTGCTTTACAGAAGGCTGACTGAGGTTTTTTTTTTTTTAATTTTTATTAGCGAAACACCATGAGGTACAGTTGTAGACTTACAAATTTTTGTGCGTGAGTTTCAGTTAGATATATCTTTCTTAAATCAAATTACAATAAATAAAAAAAACCCTTCGTATTAGAAATCAGTCGTAAAAGCTAATAAACAAAACGAAACAAAAACACTTTGGAACTTGATTATTTTTCACTGGAAACATTACCTCTTCCTTGGACAGATGTCTGAATTTTGTTTGGTATCTACTCAGTTCTGCATTCAAACGATGGACGGTCATTTTCAACCCATCATTCTCATCCACCAGTTCTTGAGCATGCTTTCTCAGATTAAATAATTCAGGCATTACTGAAAGAGAAAAAAAAAACCCACACACAACATCAGCTGACACCTGCTGAGACCCCAGCATGTGTGGTTTGGGATCACCCTGTCAGGAAACTGGGAGGGGGGGCTGGTTCTCCTAGGAAGTCAGTGACCTTCTCTCAGAAACCCTCCTTCCCAGTTGGTTTTGGCCTTCCTGGGTATTTTCAGGGCAGGATGGAGGTCTCCTGAGGCTGGACTGTCAACTGAGGTCCTAGAGCAGGTATGAACAGAGCAGGGCATGGTGCCTTCTAGAACCCCTCACTGATAACTAACAAAGGTTCCCACATGTGCCAGAGGAGGGGATTACTTCATAACAAAACCACAGCCCCCTCCTCACTGTCCAAAAATAGGATACTCATCTGTCTTTCTTTTCCTCTGAGACTCACAAGTACTGAATAGCAATGACCAAGTTTGGGGCCGGAGAAATAGTATAGCGGGAAAAATTAAAAAAAAAAATAGTATAGCGGGGAGGGCGTTTGCCTGGCATACAACCCACCAGAGTTAGATCCCTGGCATCCCATATGGTTTCCTGAGTGCCACCAAGAGTGATTCCAGAGTGTGGAGTCAGGAGTAACTCCTGAACAGCACCAGGTATGGCCCTCAAACAACAACAAAAAATTAAACAAATAAGAAATGACCAAGCTTCTTAGTACCTAGATGTTTCTCTAATGACACTACCTAAGAATAAAGAAGCCCAGCAAGTTACCGAGAGTATCTCGCCCGCATGGCAAAACCTGGTAAGCTACCCATGATGTATTCGATATGCCAAAGTAACCACAAGTCTCACAGGAGACATTACTGGATCCGCTCAAGCAAATGCATAAGCAATTGGAGGACAGTGCTACCGTGCTATATTAGTATATACAGTAAAGAGGATTTTAGTATATAACTACTTAAGTAATTTACCCATAATTAATTTTTTCAATATGCAATAGCCTGTGAAATAAAAGCAAACTAAGTTGTTGGGCAAGTTCATTCCCACATTCCTTTAGTACTTATACTGGGAGTCATCACAATGAAGACAGAAGATCAGTACCTCTAAGCAAAATAAATTAACAGGAATTGCATAACATTTATTTTAAACTAAAACCATTTTGATATTTAAAAAACTATTATAATTCATCAAGAGTAGGCATTTTTTACAAGAAAACAGAATAATAGCTATAAATAAAGAATGCCAGAATTTGAGTTTCTCATAAAGGAAACATACTCTGCTCCTTCAATAAGAAAGATGTTACCATAATTTATGAGTAAGACATTGCCTCTTTCATTATACTATTTCTAGTGATTATAATTCCTTCTTCCATCTGAAAAAATATATGCAAGCAGTTGAGTCAAAAACAGTGAAAATTATAAAAAAATCATCTGAGAATTAAAAAAATAATTTGTGGCAACAGGACTTCAAATATTTGAGGAATTTTTTTTTCTATGGAATAAGGGCTAGATAAATTAGGCAGTTGGTGTATCACCTGGGTCATTACAGGTATTCATAAATTTTAACATTCATAAATTTTCCATGATTGAGGAAATGAATCAGTGAATACACAAATCAGTTGCTGACAATTTTCAGAGTCATAAAATTAAGACCACAAAATTCGGTAAAAGTAATAGTAATGCTGACAACGGCTTTCATTTACAAGAATGTTCTAAATTGGAGTAATTTACAATCTTAACAATGTAATAGAATTTCTCTAGACATGTAGGGTGCCCCAAAGATGTGCCCATTTCTCTCGGCTATTATCATAGGAAATGATCTAAAGATGGACTTTTGGATAGATTCATTAAAAAGATCCTGTTGTGCCATTAAAAAAAAAAAAAAAAAGAAAAGAAATGACCAAGCTTGGGGTCAGAGTGATAATACAGCAGGTAGTGCAGTGGGTAGGGCACCTGCCTTGCCTGCTGCTGACCCCGGGCTGATCCCTGACATCCCGTATGGTTCCCCAAGCAATGCTAGGAGTGACTCCTGACTGCAGAATTCCTGAGCATTGCTGGGTGTGGGCCCCAAACCGAAAGATAATACATAAATTATTTTAAGAAGATAAATGCCAGCCAGAGGCATTCCACAGGCCATTATGTCTCCCCTAGGTCTGCTCTAGCCAGTGTACCACTGGCAGAAGCCCACAGACTGCCAAGCATGCAGCTGACCGGGGATGGATTCTTCGTGTACTATATGGGCCCCCAGCCTGCCAGGAGTGATTCCTATGTAGAGAAACATGGATTACCACTGAGCACAGCAGGGTGTGGCCCCCAAACAAAACAACAACATATATTTTTTTAATTATCAAGTTCTTTAACACTAAATAGTCAACACTGTTGGATTTTGTAGAAATTTTTGAATACAAAGTAAAATAAAAATTTTAAGGACTGGAGGGACAGTATAGTGGGAAAGGCATTTGTGTTGCATGCAGCGGACCTGGGTTCGATCCCCGGCATCCCATATGGTCCCCTGAGCACCGCCAGGAGAAATTCCTAAGTGCAAAGCCAGGAGTAACCCCTGAGCAGCATTGGGTGTGATCCAAAAAGCTAAAAAAACAAATAGTAGCAACAAAAAACCAAACCCAAAACAATACAGAATAAATGAAAACATCATTAGAACTGATACCCATATCAGGGCTGAGGCAATAGTACAGCAGGAGGGTGCTTGCCTACATGTGGCTGACCAAAGTTTGATCTGCAGCACCTCATATGGTCCAAACCCACCAGGAGTGAACCCGGAAAACAGAGCCTGGAGCATGTCTTGAGCACTGTCAGGTGTGTCTCCCCCTACCAAAGAACTAATATCCTGCCCACACAATGACAATGTCTTGTTAGCAAATATAATAGAAAACAGATCCTACAAAGTAACAAAAACTAATTTAAAATGTCTAAAATAAGTACATCTATGATAAGAAATGGGGGCTGGAGCGATAGCACAGCGGTAGGGCGTTCGCCTTACAAGCGGCCAACATGGCCGACCCGAGTTCGATTCCTCCGCCCCTCTCGGAGAGCCCGGCAAGCTACTGAGAGTATTCGATATGCCAAACACAGTAACAACAAAGTCTCCAATGGAGACGTTACTGGGCCCGCTCGAGCAAATCGACGATCAACGGGAGGGCCTTTACCTTTATGATAAGAAATATGCAGGGTCTATAGGAAGAAAACGGGGGTCACACCCACCACCTGGCCCCCTGGCGCCGTGTAATCCCATCAGCGGCCAAGACTCAGAGACTACAAAATGCAGCTCCCGGACGAGACCAGTGCAGTCAGTCTCCTGCCCCTGCGCCTGGCTGTTCCTCGCCGGGGTCCCTTGGAAGGGAGCGGGTTGAGCTTTCCTCCCCACCCCGACCAGGGCTCCGGCAGCCGAAGACCTCCAGGACCAGCCACCACCATGCTGAGACCACTCTCCGCACACATGAAGGTACTGGCAGAGGGACAAAGCCACGCGGGTTCCGGGGCCGAGATCTCCAAGCCTACTCGAACTGGAGTCGAGCATCCTCCACCCAAATCCTCCAAATTCCAGTAGGTGGGGGTCACACCCACCACCTGGCCCCCTGGCGCCGTGTAATCCCATCAGCGGCCAAGACTCAGAGACTACAAAATGCAGCTCCCGGACGAGACCAGTGCAGTCAGTCTCCTGCCCCTGCGCCTGGCTGTTCCTCACCGGGGTCCCTTGGAGGGGAGCGGGTTGAGCTTTCCTCCCCACCCCGACCAGGGCTCCGGCAGCCGAAGACCTCCAGGACCAGCCACCACCATGCTGAGACCACTCTCCGCACACATGAAGGTACTGGCAGAGGGACAAAGCCACGCGGGTTCCGGGGCCGAGATCTCCAAGCCTACTCGAATTGGAGTCGAGCATCCTCCACCCAGATCCTCCAAATTTCAGTAGGTGGGGGTCACACCCACCACCTGGCCCCCTGGCGCCGTGTAATCCCATCAGCGGCCAAGACTCAGAGACTACAAAATGCAGCTCCCGGAACCGACATCTTATCTGAACATCTTTTTATGATATCTCATTATCTCATTCCTACTCTGGACAAACTTGCAGGCTATCGAATATAGCCTGCCCACAGGGCAGAGTCTGGCAAACTCCCCGTGGCGCACCAAATATGCCAAATACCAGTAACAATGATGGGTCTCATTCTCCTAAAAAGCCTTGAATATAATCTCAGGGCTAGGATGAAAGAGACGTTACTGGGGCCTGCTCGAGGCAATCGACGATAGGAAGAAAACAATACTATTCTGCATTTCTTAAAAACATTATCACCTTTTTACCAGTTGACTGGTACATATCACAAAGGGAAAAAAAAACCCATGTTGGTGTGGATATGGAGAAAAGGGACCCTCATTCACTGCTGGTGGAAATGCTAACTGGTCCAGCCCTTTTTCAACAATATGGACACTTCTCAAAAAACAGAAAAAAAGGAATCAAGCTTCCATAGGACCCAGCAACTCCCAAAAAACTCTATTCAGAAAAGACCTCTGCACTCCTATGTTCATTGTAGCACTATCCATAACAGCCCAACTCTGGAAATAACCCAAATGCTGAAGAACTGACGACTGGATAAAGAAATGATGCTATCTAGATACAATGGAATACTCCTCGGCTTTAAGAAAAGATAAAATCGTGCAATTTGCTGCTATGTGGCAGGACCTGCAGTCCATCGTGTTGAATGAAGTCAAAAGGAGAGGGACAGACACAGAAACCTCTCTCTAATGAGAGGACTATCAAGAGGATTAAAAAGCAGGAGTACATCCAAGGCTTTGAGGACAGCTGCACACGCTAGGGGAAAAGGCAGCTCAGATAGAGAAGGAAGCACCAAATAAAGGGTGTTGGGAGGTTCCTCTCAAGATGGGAAATGTGTGATGAGAGTAGACTATAGACCGAACAAGATTGCCACTCAATGTCTCTTTTGCAAACCACAGTACTCAAAAGGAGAGAGATAACAAAAGGGAATGCCCTGCCACAGAGGTAGGGCGGGATGGGGGGGAAGGGGGGTGGGAGAGATACTGGGACTGGTGGTGGTGGATAATGGGCACAGGTGGAGGGATGGGTATTCGATCATTGTATAACTGAAACCCAAGCACAAAAATCTGTAAATCTACAACTGTACCTCATGGAGTTTCACTAATAAAAATTTAGAAAAAAAATTTTTTTTTAAATTAAAAAAAAAAGCAGGAGTACAGCAATTACCAAAGGCAACAGACACTAAGATGTATCTTCAGTAGGAAGCGGAAAACAGGCTTGGGGGGTAGGGGGGACGTGGTGAGTGAACTCTGGGACAAGGGTGGGGGGAAGAGGCAGGAATGTGCTAGGCTGAAACCATACGATGAACCACAGCACTGTAAACCATGGTGCCAAAAATAAAATTTAAAAACAACAGCAAGAAAAATATCACTTTTTTTTCTCTCAAGTGTTTCTTTCTCACTCCAAGGTAAGTCAGAAAGAAAAACTATGCTAGAGTTTTTAGCAAACTGAGAAAGTATTATACACATGACCAAGGGCTAAAAGCCTTAATATATAAAGTAGGCTTGCAAACATATTAAAAGAAAAAACAAAGAAACAACAACAACAAAAAAAACCCAAGTAGGGGCCGGAGTGATAGTACAGCATGTTTGCCTTGCATGCGGCCGACCCAGGTTCAGTCCCAGCATCCCATATGGCCCCCCCGCAAGCACCACCAGGAGTAAGTCCTGAGTGCAGAGCCAGGAGGAACCCCTGAGCATTTCCCAAAAAGAAACAGAAAAAAAAAAAAAGAAAACCTAAGTATCTCAACTGAATGTGGTAAAATTTTGGTGACCACAGAGTTAACACAGGAGATGATGGTCACAACCCAGTTTCAAACCCCCAGCAGTGCCAAGTGTCTCTCCTGAGCACAGTGCCAGGAAGAACCCTGAGACAATGCTGGGGGTAGTCCTAAAACCCAATCCTCCAAAAATAAATAAATAGGAAAACCTTTTGAAAGGGAAATAAAATGACCTGAAGGAATATGTACACACACACACACACACACACACACACACACACACACACATCCTTTCAGGTCATTTTATTTTTATATATATATAGTACATAGTACAGCTGGTTAGCAAAGCTAACCCCCCAAATCAATCTATCTATCTATCTATCTATCTATCTATCTATCTATCTATCCACACACATGGGCTGGAGCGATGAAACAACCGGTAGGGCATTTGCCTTGCATGCGGCCGACCCAGTCAACCCAGATTTGATTCCTCTGCCCCTTTCGGAGAGCCTGGCAAGTTACCGAAAGTATCATGCCTGCACGGCAAAGCCTGGAAAGCTACCCGTGACGTATTCGATATGCCAAACACAATAACAACAAGTCTCACAATGGAGATATTACTGGGCCCACTCGAGCAAATCGATGAACAACGGGAGGACAGTGCTATAGTGCAACACATTTAAGTTAAAGTTAAATTGCCCTTTTTTGCCTACCAAATTAACAAGAAAAAATAAAATTCTCATCATTAGCAAGTACATGGTGAAAGGGGGGCTTTGAATGCTACTTCTAGCAATAGAAACTGAGAGGAAAGAGATGTGACTTTGCTCAAGCTCCAAAGAAGTTTTAAAGACTCTTTAGTATCAATGATGATCTTATATATATATTTTTTTTTTCTTTTTGGGTCACACCTGGCAATGCACAGGGGTTAACTCTTGGCTCTGCCCTCAGGAATTACTCTCTCAGCGGTGCTCAGGGGACCATATGGGATGCTGGGAATCGAACCCGGGTCGGCCGCGTGCAAGGCAAATGCCCTACCCGCTGTGCTATCACTCCAGCCCCGATGACCTTATATTTTAACTACCATAAGGATATTCACGGGACTCAAGACTTAAGTATTAAACACACACCAACAAATATAACATAAAATAATGAGAAACACTTAAATATTATAACACACACACACACACACACACACACACACACACACACACACAAAGCCATGCATATCAACAATTAAGCACAAAATACAAACTCTGAAAGCACAAAAGATAATGAGGCAGCATTGCAACTCCTCGGCCCAGGCCGGGCTGCAGTCTCACCTTCCGGGGAGGACACTGGCAGGGCCTCTTTCAGTTTCTGGTTTTCTTTTTCCACCCTCTTGAGCTGTGAGTGGAGGTCTTTCACTGTTTGTTTCACCATTTTAAGTTCAAAAGCAAGGGTTCGATTTTTGTCGCTTAAAAACCCATTTTCTTCTTTTAAGTCCTGGAACTTCTCTCTGGTGATTTCCAGACCCCTCTGACGTGCTCTACCAGATACATCTGGAAAGGCGTAAGGATAAAGAGCTTAAAAAATAGTAAGACTTCACACCGAAATGTCAGGAGACTTTACTTCAAAAGCCATGGAAGCGGGCCAGATGGGGTGAAAGGAACAGCATCCAGTTCCGGGGTGCAGGTGGGGCTCTGGCCTCCAATCCCTGTTCTTGCCTCTGTCCCCGCACGCCACCAGGAGTGATGCCTGAGCACAGAGCCACGCTCAGCTGGGGGTGAGCCCACAAACCCAAAACCAAAAAAAAAAAAAGGAAAGAAAAAGGAAAACCAAATCCAAGGGAGTCCTTACTTCCTGCAGGCCCTACACTCTGCTTCCCTCAGCTGCTGGGAAGACAGGCCGGCAAGTGTGTGAGGGGCAAGCCTCTCCCGAGTGGGCAGGTAATGGGGAGCGGAGGGGAGCAGCGGCCAGGCCTTTGCAGGGGCCTGAGGCCCAGGGTAAGAATGAGCTGCGCTTTCAGCTGACGCTCTCAGGCCAGCTGGGCTAGAAGCAGACCGGAATGAGGCTGCCCTGGAGAGGAGACTGGCAGGAAGGGACGCAGGGAAGATTCGAGGTCCCAAACTCAACAGGGCTCAAGAGTGGGTGGGGTGGGGGGAGGCGCGAGGAAGGAGTGGATCAAGGCCTGCAGTTTGGACAAAGGGCGGGAGACACTAGGAGGGAAGCTGGAGCCGGCTCTCAGTGGGCAACTGAGGCAGCCCAGGGGGTGGGCCCCAGAGGAGAAAGGAATCCAGGGTCACAAAAGGACGGCAAGACGGAATGGGGGCTGGAGCAATAGCACAGCGGGTAGGGTATTTGGCTTGCACGCAGCCAACCCGGGTTCGATTCCCAGCATCCCACATGGTCCCCTGAGCACCACAAGGAGTGACTCATGAGTGCAGAGCCAGGAGTATCCCCAGTGCATCACTGGGTGTGACCGAAAAGATTAAAAAAAAAAAGACGGAATGGGCAAGAGGGGGGCCAGGGCCGCGTGCATCTTGTCAGCACCCCAAGACGAGGCTGCTTCTCCATCACAGCGGAAAGAAAACAGTCCTGGAGGTCGGGATGGAAGGGCAGGGTAAGGGGCGTCACGGCAGGTGGCGGGTAAGGGTAATTGGACAGGGTAGCAGACCTCGGGCTTGGGCGTGGGCACCTGTCTCTCTCCACGAGACTGCAAGTGGCTCCCCAATGCCCTTTCCTGTTGCTTCTGAATAAGGACACCTGCTGCTGGAATGACTCACTGCTTTTGTTCTAAGGTGACTGGGGACCACAAAGGCCAGAGGAGCAACGTGTTGAGGGGACGGCGTGGGGGAAGGGAGATGCCGATTTCTGCACAGGCCCAGGCGCAAACGGGAGGGACCAGCGAGCGGGCCAGCTAGTCCAGCCAGCCTTGCTGGCCCCTGCGGCACACCGTCCAGTCCCTCGCGCAGGAGGAGTAACCCTGAAGATGCCCCGGAAGGAAAAGGGCTCCAGTGAAGAGGGGACTGCAGCCCAAACCGCACCTCCCCTGCAGAGAGGTAGGACCCCAAGCTGGACAGGCTTTCCGGGCAGCATCCGGCCTGGTGAGGGGCATGGGAGGGAACTGATCAGGCAGCAGAATGGAGAGACAAGGCAGCTGGTGCACGGGGAGTCTGGGCCTGTGAGGACATTGGACCCTGTGGCTGGAGGCAAGACACCTGTGGGCACTGTGAGTCCCGTCCAGGTCAAGGAGAAACTCTAGCACGGCCAGCCCAGGACTGTAAGTCCCCAAGGGTGCTAAGAGACAGTGCAGCAAGGATGCTGGGAGGCAGTGTAGCAAGTGCAGTGCCCACCTAGTGGGAGTCTAAATTGGGGGGGGGGGGGGTATCCCCCCCCGGCCCCCAGGGTCTGAATAGCACCATGTTCCAGGCCCCTGTACTGAACTGCCAGTCGGGGTGGCCAAGGAAAGGGGGGGGGGGAGTGAGGGGCAGCCTGGGCTCCCTGAGCACCACTTACGCACCCCCCCCACCCCCGCCACTCAGACCAAACAAGAACCAAAAACCCCTGCAAGTGTTCAACCATGCTGACACTCAAAAGGCAGATACCTGGGGAGGGGGGAGGCTTTTCACAAAGCGGTGGCTTCTCATCCTAGGGAACAAGAAACAGGCATGAGAGACGTTCTTCCAGGCACTGTAACTCAGGCCCGGTCTGGTCAGCACCATCCGGCGGGCATCTAGCCATATGTCCGAGTGCTTCCAGCTCCGCCGCTCTGGTTGGTCCTATTTTAGAAACCTCAGTGTCCACTGCCTCCTTTCACTGAGCCTTTACACCTGAGGGTCCTTCCTTCTTGGCTGGTCCCATGAAGGTGCCGGTGCCCATGGTAGGGTCAGTGGTAGGGTCTCCCTCGGCAGGTCCCACAAGTGACCGGCCTCCATTCCCACTCTAGAGCTCAGGCCTGCTGGCCACCACAAAGCCAACCCCCCACCAGGCCTGCACTGCCCGCTCCAGGCACAAGCAAGCACTGTCAACTGCAAACAGGCCCGGTTCAAAGCACTGAGAACAAGGTATTCCTTCCCACCACAGGGAACTCGGAGGAAAGGAGTGGCCTTGCACTTGTTACATTTCTCCTTTCCAAATGATGGGGAGTCTCTGATTTCTGCTGAAAAAGTAGGTAAGGTGACAGGCTGACTCTACTAAAGGTGAACCCTAATGAGAAAATTTTCAGTTTCTTAGGACACTGCAGAACAGAGAACTTCAGTTAGAATGCCTGCCACATTGGCATAGCAGCTACTACTGTCTGTCTGGCTACAAAGTAACCCAAGTGATTTCTACCCTCTCAGCCCAGCACAGACATTTCTGAGCTGTGGAGAATCTTGAGTTCCTATAAGAACAACACTTAATGGGATGAGGCCCTGAGGGAAAGGTCCTCCAATACCCCCCCCCCCCACACACACACACACATACTCACTAACAAACCACAAATGTGCTTTAAAAGGATGGTAGAAATAGTATTTGTTGGGGCCGGAGCAATAGTACAATGGGTAAGACTTTTGCCTTGCACGTGACTGACTGGGTTCGACCCAGCACCCCATATGCTCCTTTGAGCCATCAGGAGTAATTCCTGAGTGCAGATTAAGTTCTGAGCATCGCGGGGTATTCCACCCCACCTCCCCCAAAAATAAACCAAACAAACAAAAAAACAAATTAGTATTCGTTGAGAAAAATCACTTTTTAAGATCTTGGTGGCTGGGGAGAGAGCAAAGTGGGTAGGGCACGTGGCATACAGGTTCGACCCCCGGGACCCTCTAGGGTTCCCCCAAGCTCCACCAGGAGTGCTCCCTGAGCACCAACCCAAGTAGTCAGCTCTGAGTACTGCTGGGTGTGCCCCACCCCCCAACTACCACCAAAACATCACCAAATCTTACCTTCAAGTTTAGAACATGTTTATCATCTGAAAAAGAGAGAAAGAGCATTTTAACAGAGGTCGAGATAGTAACAGCGGTGAATCTGGTCAGAGAATCTCCTTCAGAGACAGGCCCAGGGCTGGGCCGGAGTCACCCAGCTGAGGTCACGGGGGCATCGTGCTTGACTCCTGGTCCCTCAGCTCTCTGTGCTGCTCAGGTCTAAGTTCGTGAGGGCAGCACCAGGCCCCACTCCTGATAGTGAGCCCTAGCCTTCCTCCTTGCCACACTTTCACCCCCAGACCCTCCCCCGCCTCGAAGAGCAACTCCTTCCTCCTGCATACCCTGCCTGGACTAGCATCCAGCATAGTCAGAAAAGTCAATGGTCCTGTGGGGCCAGAGAGACAATACAATGGGGCAGAGCGCTTGCCTGGTACCTGACTCCAGCCCTGGGTGCAGTCCCAGATCCCTGACACCACACAGGGTTTCCGGGCCCCACCAGGAGGGATCCCCAAGCGCAAAGCCAACAAGAGTAAGCCCTGAGCACCACCAGGCGGGGCCCCAAAACAACCACCCAGAGAGTTGTAGTTCTGTGAAACAAAACCCTGTGCGCTTGAGTTGAGTGTTCCGTTTCTGAGCACGGCCTCATGGAGGGGGCTCTAAGTGCCTTCCTCTACAGCCGTAGCTGTGAAGAAAAGTTAAGAGTGCAAGGTTGCCAAGAATAGCCAAGATAAGTACCAGGAGGTTCACTCCATGGCTTGGAGGCCAGCCTCACATGCTAGGGAAAAAGGCAGCTCAGAGAAGGGAGCACCAAATAAAGGTGTTGGGAGGATCCTCCCAGGATGGGAGATGTATGCTGAAAGTAGACTCTAGACCGAACATGACTGCCACTCAGTGCAAACCACAGCACCCAAAAGGAGAGAGAGAACAAAAGGGAATGTCCTGCCAGAGGCAGGGGTGGATGGGGTGGGAGGGATACTGGGATCAGTGGTGGTGGAAGATGGGCACTGGTGGAGGGATGGGTACTCGATCATTGTATAATTGAAACCCAAGCATGAAAGTTTGTAAGTCTACAACTGTACCTCATGGTGTTTCACTAATAAAAATTAAAAAAAAAAAGTGCAGGGTTGCTTGGGACTTTCTATAAATAATCTGCACCGCAGGGGGAGGGGGAATAACTCACTGAAAATAAATTAGAAACAAGTGCACAAAAAATATTTTAAAAAATATATACAAAATGGGGGCAGGAACAATAGTACAGAGGGGAGGGCTTCTGCCTTGCATGCGGTTGACTGGGGTTCAATGCCCGGCACTCCATATGGTCCCCTGAGCACTGCCAGGAGTGATTCCTAACTTTAGAGCCAGGAGTAACCCCTGAGAATAGTTGGGAGTGACCCCCAAACCAATATATATATGTATATCCACACATAAAGTGTTCATCCTCAAGCCACACAGAAGATGGACGTCTCCATCCTGGTCCATTAGGATCACAGCCCGGAAGGACGAGTCACAGAGAGAGCTTGTTTGGGAGCCAGAGGTTATGGAGCTTCATATTTTCTTTTCTCTTTTTTTTTTTGGGGGGGGGGGGGTGGTGTCACACCCAGCGATGCTCAAGAGTTACTCCTGGCTCTGCACTGCCACTGAAGAGATCAAACAGAACCACAGGGGTTGGAGAACAGGTAGCAGGGGCCATGGCCAGCTGGGTTTGCAGGTTGTGGGAGGTCACTGAAGCCATCTAGGTTGAAAAAAAGTGTGGGGTGCAGGGGTGGGCGGCTGGTAGGGCAACCATCAGATTTGTCTCTTGAGCAAATGGTTCTGGCTGTATCCCTGATGCCAAGTTACAGTGGGCTCCCCACATGCAGACAGGCTGGGTGCCCACATGCAGACATGCTGAGTGCCCACATTCAGAAACACTGCGTGCCCGCATTCAGACATGCTGGGTGACCAGACACACTGGGTGCCTGCATGCAGACATGCTGGATGACCAGACACACTGGGTGCCCGCATGCAGAAACGCTGGGTGTGGGTGCCCACATGCATAAATGGTGGGTGCCCGATGCAGACATGCTGGGTGCACAGACACACTGTGTGTCCAGACATGCTGGGTGCCCGCATGCAGACACACTGGGTGCCAGCATGCATACATTCAGTTGCCTGCATACTGGCGGTGTGAACAGATAAACAGAATCAGACAGCAGGCAATGGCTCTTGGGCTCCTGAGAGGAGGGAGAAACGGGCAGGCCACATGACCAGTGGCGCTATGAGCAGGGCAGGGTGTGTGAGTGCTTACAAGAGCAGAGAAAGGGGGACTGAGGAAACCTGGAAGACCTCCCCTCCCCCCAGGGTCAGCTGCTCTGACACAGGAATCTCGGGTGTGCTCCCTGGTGGTGGGGCCGGGCCTTGACTGCAGGGGAGCATATTCTACCATTCAGTACCCTTCAGAGTTGCCCCTTGCCCTTGGCAAGCAAGCCTGTTGGAATGAATTCTCCCACTTCTCCTGAGGGGTCCTGGCTGACAAGGCTCGAGGCACAGAGACACAAAGAAGCAAATGGACATGGACGGACAGGAAGGCTTGTGAGGTAAGAAGGACAGGTGACTAAACCAGGCGTGCTTTATAAATCTACTCAAGGCTGAAAGTGTCAACGAGGGGAATATAAAATACTCATTTAAATCCATACATGGTTGCATTTGAGTCTCACATATTTTTTTTTCCACATTGCCTCAGCAAAGAAATAGACTTTTATATGAATTTAACATGCACCTAGATTCTCCACAGGGATGGAAGCTGCCGCCTAACCAACTGGCGTTTTCTGGACCCGCCATCGCTGGGCTGGCACAGTTCTCCCATTGGCCACCTGTGGAGCACTGATAAAAGCGTCTCCTGGAGCCAGAGCAGAGCTAAGGGTCCTGAGAAGCAGGTGTTGGCGCCCACCCTATGCCAGGCTCTCTCTGATGTCTCACACACACACACATGCCACCTCCCAGGAGACTGGGAGCTGCTCCCTGCCGTTGCCAGAATGTGCGGTTCTCTCACTGAGCGGAACCGAACACTCGGGCAGTTAAGGATGCAGCTCTAGAGGGTGCTGTGGGCGTGCTGGGCCCAGGGGACGGACGTGTAGAGAGCAAGACAGACCACATGGCTCCTCTGTTCTGTGGAGAGCGTGACGGTCCAGCCACGTGACAGCCAGCACAGCGTCAGAGGGAGGAGCCCAGGGCCCTTCAGGGCCTGAGCCACGGCTCTTTCCCACGTGAAAGGGACACACTTCAAGGGGAGCACAACCGTACATCCAGGCAACTCACAAAGAAAATAAACCTCAAAAGAGCCACAGTTGGGTGGAACTGAGGCACATGTCCCGTGCCAACCAACGCCCCTGGCACGAGTGCTCTCGTGGCCAACCTACCTTTCTCCTGCGTGCGCTCTGATGCAGGCGGGGAACCTCGGCATCCATCATGCTTCGAGAAATTTTCCTCTTCTTCTCTATCTACCTCATGTGACAATGGAACCTTGGGTTACAAAAGACAAAGGGACAAACGTGATAAAGACCATCAATCAGATTCCGTCTTAGCAAACTCAGATGTTTTGGGGACCAGGACAATAGTAAAGCAGGTAGGGCATTTGCCTTGCATGCGTCTGACCTGGGTTGGAGCGTAGCATCCCATATGGGTCCCCAGAGCACCACCTGGAGTAATTCCTGAGTGCAGAGCCAGAAGTAAGCCCTGAGCCCAACAACAAACAAACAAATCTCTAAACTCAGATGTTTTTCTATTCTATACCAGACCACTAGCTCACTATCTCCAGAAAGAAGAGAAGCTCCAGATATGGCTAAGAAAGAAAAAGGAAGGGCAGAAGAGAGGATGGAAGGAAGGAAGGAAGGAAGGAAGGAAGGAAGGAAGGAAGGAAGGAAGGAAAAGAAACAAATGATCTCTGAGGTTTCATCTCCTTGGAACCAGGTAACTAGTTCACAAACGTCCCCCTGATCCTCTGCCAGAGCAAGCTGGTCACCATGCCTTATTGGAGGGAAAAAAATGTATAATTTAAGGCAACAGAAGGAAAGAAATAGAACAATGAAGGAAAAATTATCAATCCAAAAAGAGGAAAGGAAAAACCAAGGCTTTCCAGAGTGATCCGACAGCTAGGAAAGCAGGGAGCCCAGGGTGCAGGAGGTCACGCAAACTCAGCGCTCGGCACCCACATGCTAAGGGCATCGTGGTGGCACTGCCCCTGGGCACCTCCAGCCCTACAGCAGGGTGTGGCCTTGGAGACATCAAATGTGCAAACAACAGGACTATAACGGGAGAGCCTGGTGAGCCCCATTAGTCAGATGCCTTGGACCCTGGTCGTCACAAATGAAGAAAAGGAAAAGATGGCAACGGGAGTAAGATGGAAAACTCACTCTCAAACACTCCCATCCACACGCATTGAACATCAGAGGAACAAACGGTCCGGGAAAAAGGCAGGAGTAGATCTTGTCAAACGGTGTCAACAAAAACGATGTGTGACACTGAGGTGTATATTCTGAATGCACAGTTTTATATCTTGGCAAACATGTTCCTAAAGTCTACATGCTAAGTCCATCTCAACGCAAAAATACAGAATGGTTGAAATTAAGAGCTGGGAAAAGGTGAACCAAAAAAAAACCAGCTAAGAAAGAAAGAAAGGATGGAGCAGGTTGAATGCCACGGAAATGAAGACAAATATCTCTATAGAGATGAAGAGGTCCACTTCCTAGTAGTTAAACACTCGGTGGCTCAGGCATTTTAAACCTGTGCATGCCCAATGCTGAAGTCGGACGCGAAAGAATACACAATGAGTTATGCACAGCGTTCAAACACCGGCCAAAGGAGCCTGCCAGGTCGACTGAGCCCTGTCACCTGGAGCCCAGAGGAGGGCACGGGGAAGGAGCAAGGTAGCAGCGGCTCCTGCAAGGGTGAGCAGGGACAGGGCCGATCCCGGGATGCACAGGGGATGCACAGAAGCCCACACGGCATACAGCGCCTCCTTGCTGCCCTCTCCAGCCACGGGGCTACTGACAGCCTTCCACAGTCACTGGCGGGACTGTCCAGACCCATCACGGGGGGGTAGGGGGGCAGAGTCCCAGGGGAGAGCAAAAGAGCAGAGAGCCCAGGACTGACTCCAGAGGGTCCCTGGTGATCCGTAAAGCAGAGGGACCCCGGATGTGGCACATTGGGAAAAAACAACTGAGGGTCCGCATGGGGTGCCCCAACTCGGGAGGAAGCAGAGCTCGCTCTCAGGGCGTCTGCAGACTGCTGGGGAGGCAGCTGGGAGCCTGGCAGGCTAAGGGGGGGAGGGGTCCTGCTCACACAGAGCCGTCTGCACAGAGAAGAGCGGGCAATGAGCTCCACATCCCCGACCCCAACGTATCCATCTACGTGTGACGGGGGCAAATCGAGCGCAGGTGAACTGCGGGGCTCACCAGACGGTGGTCGCTCCAGAAACGCCAAAGGGCTGCTGGGAATTTCTCAGCCAGTGGAACCAACTATGCGCTCACTGGGCCTCAAGGACTCTCAGGCGCCAGCTCCGAGGGGGTATTTTGGAACCTCCCGTCTCTCGGCTTCCTTCTGCCTCTGTGTAAGTCCCCTCTGCTCCTCCAGCCTCACTCTGCTGGCATCATCAAGAAAGCTGCTGAGGGGCTGGAGCCATAGCACAGTGGGGAGGGTGTTTGCCGTGCACGCAGCCAACCCAGGTTCGATTCCCAGCATCCCATATGGTCCACCTGAGCACTGCCAGGAATAATTCAGCAGAGCATGAGTATAATAATTCAACTGAGTGCATGAGCCAGGAGTAACCCCTGAGCATCGCCGGGTATGACCCAAAAAAAAAAAAAAAAAAGAAGAAGAAAAAGAAAAAAAGAAAGCTGCTGAAACAGGATTTGCTTCCCTGGGTCGGGCCATTTCTCTGTGAGTGCACACTGACCAGCTGGCCCCAGGCATTGAGAGAAAATAACTCCAGCAGCCAGTGGCTTCCTCACCTTGCTAGCGGGGACAAGTTGGCTTTGGAGGAAGGAGGGATGGTGCGAAAAGGATTAAAGGTTAACCTGTTTGCCTCAGATTACAGGATGTCTGCGGGAAGGAAAGGGAAGACTGGATTTCCAGCGGCCCTTCTCTTCAGGCCTGGGGCCATCTAGTGGATACACGGCAGCCGTGCATGCCCCACACACCCGTTTCAGGCACGGATTTGAGTCAGGCAATGCAGTAAGGACCAGCTGGCCACTTCCAAATGAAGGCTTCCTGTCTAACAAGTCCCCTGGCTAAAGAGAGGGTGCAGGGTGCATGCTGCCCAGTGGCTCTGAGTCAAAGGGAATACCTACAAATTCTGATTCTCCCCAGGGAGACTGGGAGGCCCCAGGCAAGTCCAGGAGCCAACTTCTTCACACACTTGAGATGTGAAGTGACTGAGAAGGAACATGAAGGCTCCCTGGCACATAGCAGGTGCTGAGACCCAGCCGGTCAGGCCGTGTCACCCACTGTCGCCTACTAGAATAGAAAGGCTCTGGCGCGGGGGAACCTCCCTCCAACCGAAGGGACCCTTCACTCAAGCACCGTCGGCGGGGTCCGGACAATGGCAGGCCTTCCCGCTGGCGTGGGCTGGACGCCTGGCCCTGGTTCCCAGGTTGTACAAAGAAGGGCTTTCCAGACACACAGAGACATGTAGAGACACGCAGAGGGCTGTGTACGCACCCAGGTGAGAGGGTCATGGGGACGATGGCCTTAGAGAGAAAGATCCAGCACACAGAGCCACACTCCCAAATATGAACGATTGCAACTAACAGGCAATCAATGAACACGGATCCATCTTAAAGTAAAATTCCAATGGGAAAAGTTAAAATAGTCTGACTGATTTGGGGGAACCGTATCTGGAAGCGTTATCTTGCCCTCATCTCGATACCCCCAGCACAGTGCTAGGGGAAGGCGGTTACTCCTGGTGAAAACTCCATGGGCTGGGCACAAGCTTTGCATGTGGGGGTCCCAGGTCACTCCCTGGTACCACCTGGTCTCTGAACACTGGCTGGAGTGGCTGCCCCTGAGTACCGAGCCAGAACAAACACTGAGCACAGTGGGGTGTGACCCTCAAAACAAGACAAATAAATTAATAGAAAATACTATCCTGCTAACACTCGGCCAGTCTGGAGAACAAAGTCGTGAGTAATGCTGCATTATTTTCTAGGTTAAAAAAGTTTGGCGGGGTCTAGGGAGAGAGGGCAGGGGGGTTGGGCATTTGCTGACCCAGGTTCAATCCCCGGCACCACATGACTTCCTGAACATCACCAGATACTGCCCTTTATTGGGGAGCAAATAAAAACAAAACAAAATATTGTTTTTATGGGGGTGGGAAGAGAGGAGGGGATGGATGGATCACAGAAAAGGCATTTGTAGGGCTGCAGAATATGGGCGAGGCAACTAACAGGAAATCAATGAACAGGGGCAAAGCACTTGCCTGAGCACCACCAAGAGTGACCCCCAAGTACTAAAAGGCATGACCCTCCCACCAAAAGAAAGAATGAATGAAATAATGGTTTTTTGTTTTTGTTTTTGTTTTTTTGCTTTTTGGGTCACACCCAGCGATTCTCAGGGGTTACTCCTGGCTCTGCATTCAGGAACCACTCCTGGCGGTGCTTAGGGGACCATATGGGATGCTGGGAATCAAACCCGGGTCGGCCGCGTGCAAGGCAAATGCCCTACCCGCTGTGCTATCTCCCAGCCCCAGGAATGAAATAATGAAAGAGAAAAAAAGAAAGAAGCAAGAAAGCAAGAAGAAAGAAGGAAGGGAAAGAAGGGAAGGGAAGGGAAAGGAAGGAAGGAAGGAAGGAAGGAAGGAAGGAAGGAAGGAAGGAAGGAGGGAAGGAGGGAAGGGAAGGGAAGGGAAGGGAGGGGAGGGGAGGGGAGGGGAGGGGAGGGGAGGGGAGGGGAGGGGAGGGGAAGGGAGGGGAGGGGAGGGGAGGGGAGGGGAGGGGAGGGGAGGAAGAAGGAAAGTTCTCTGCAGCTGCCTGTGTTCTAGTGTCCTGTGGCAGAGAACCCTCATTCTGCATGCTAATGTCTGCAGTGTCCTCTGACAGAGGAACCTCATTCTGCATGTTAATATCTGCTAGTGTCCTGTGGCAGAGGACCCTCCTTCTGCATGCTAACATCTGTACATGCTGGAAAGTGGAAGCCAGTTCCTGAGAGACTCACAGAAGAACCTTCATACTAAGCTCCCTACAATCACTTGCCATGGAATTCCATATATCACAGGATAATCAAAACAAATACTGTTGGTGCCTGAGTCTGCAAGCAGTCCCTATGAATGGCATGTTGCCCTGGAGGGTGAAAAGGGAGAAGGACAAAGAGGTGATGGGGCCCTCCTTTCCCACGAAGGACACAGCCCAGCCTAGTTTCCAAAGCCGTGAGCACAGAGCACGGACCACAGCTGCTGGGCAGTGGTGGAGAGAGGGGCCCCTCTGGCCCCTGGCTCCCCACGAGTGACCTGGCCGGGACTGGAACCTACCTTTCTGAGTCTGTGGGAGAGCCATGCACACAGAAGGGAAGCACCCAAACAATGCCAACTGGAGAGGCAGGGGACAGCCCAACAGATTCCACTGCCATCACCACATGGTGCCCCAAGTACTGCCAAGACTGGCCCCGAAGTCAGCTCCGCTCAAGGGACATTCCTCCTGTCAGTCAGGAGTTTGCAGAGTGCTGCATACTAATACTGGCGAAAAGAGAGGGAAACTAGCCTCCGGGGTCACAAGGAGAGCAGGGTCGTTTGCATTGGGCGAAAACTCTCTATGGAGAGCAGGTGAATATATATATTGCTTTTTGGGTCACCCCCGGCTATGCACAGGGGTTGCTCCTAGCTTTGCACTCAGGAATTACTCTTGGTGGTGCTCGGGGGACCATATGGGATGCTGGGAATCAAACCCTGGTCGGCCATATGCAAGGCAAACGCCCTACCTGCTGTGCTATCGCTCCCACCCCTGCTGCCATGGAAGCTCAACTATCATCATGACTCAATCTCAGAAGACATCAACTGGTCGCAAAAACTCTCAAGACACACAGACAGACTCCACCTCCGCACGACTGAGCTCGACAGAGAAGCCAAACTGCCAAAAATGTCAGGTACACCAGTTGAGAATTCTGGGCCTTCTCAGGGTGGGGGCAGAGAGCCCCTCCCCACCCTACCCCACACACTTTCAAAAGCCCGGGCACCCACATCCACGTCCCTCAACTGCCACCATCTAAGTTCACCACCCAGTGAAATATTTTGGATTTTCCAGAGTGTGTGGCCACATCTGCGGCCACACCACATCCTTAAACCCTACGATCCTAATATCCCGGGAGGAGCACGCCAGATTAGATGCGAATGGACCACAGAAGCAGACGAAGCTTGAAGAACAAAAAGAATGACACAGAAGGCTCAACTAGCAATAGCTCAGAAAACCCACAGACAAGGACTGATTGTCCCCATGGTGAGACAGAACCATTTTCACAAATTTTCTTTTACTGAATTATTTTTTGATCACTCTGTTAGCCATTTAGTGGTAACAAGCAAGATAAAACAAATTATTGTGTGGGCCTGCTACAGGAGCAGGCCTGAGGGGTGGCTGGGAAAATGGGGACAATGGTGGAGGGATTGGGGTTGGAATACTAAATGCTAGTAACAAATCATCAAGAGTAACTTTGTAACCACAGTGTTTAAATTGGAAAAAAATTTTTTTAAAGAAATGGACACAATGGGGCTGGAAAGACAGTATGGCCCTGGCTTTGCACTTGGCCCAACCAGGTTTAATCCACAGCACTGCCTACGGAACCCCCAAGCACTGCCAGGAATGATCCCTGAGCACAAAGTCAGGAGGAAGCCCTGAGCACAGCTGGGTATGGCCCCCACCCGCAACAAAGGACACAGTGAAAAATGAAACGCCCAAGATAAAGTTAGGAGAGAAACAAAGAAAACCTCACGCATCTCTTCTAGTCAAGTGAGGCTCATGGCAAGCGCAGGGAAGCTTCTGGAAAGGGACCAGCACCTGGTTGCGGCAGGGCAGGGCATACACGGCAGCGCCCCGGGCCCCTTTGGCTGGGTGAGCGCCCCCGGGCCCCAACTCCTCGTGGCTGGAGCACAGCTGCGAGCTGGAGTCGTCCTCTGCGTAGTCCAGTGCTGAGAAGGACAGCAAGGAAGACCTTCGCCCTGCCTCGTTCTGCCAGCCCTGCCTGTTCGGAACATCAGAGAGGACAATAAGGAGCCTGCGTAGTGCCTTGCGCTGGCCAATATCCACCACCCACATGCACAGTCTCCCAGCCCCAACCCAGTCTTCTAGCTTGGTTAGGGAACGCTGTCCTCCTGTTGTTCATTGATTTGCTCAAGCAGGCACCAGTAACGTCTCCATTTTTTTGAGACTTGTTGTTACTGTGTTTGGCATATCAAATACGTCACAGGGAGCTTGCCAGGCTTTGCCATGCAGGCAAGATACTCTCAGTAGCTGCTGAGCTCTCCAAGAGGGGCAGAGGAATCAGCCGGGCTGGCTGCACGCAAGGCAAACGCCCTACCACTGTGCTATCGCTCCAGAGACAGCAAAGGTGAAGGCTCCCACTATCCTGGCCCTTCCATCACTCTCAGCAGTTGTTTGGTTTTTTTTTTTGTTTTTTGTTTTTTTTTGCTTTTTGGGTCACACCTGGCGATGCACAGGGGTTGCTCCTGGCTCTGCACTCAGGAATTACCCCTGATGGTGCTTAGGGGACCATATGGGATGCTGGGAATTGAACCCGGGTTGGCCGCATGCAAGGCAAACGCCCTACCTGCTGTACTCTCGCTCCAGCCCCCGACTCTCAGCAGCCTTGGTTTGGGGTTTTGTTTGGTTGGTTAGCTCTGGGGTAGTTTGGGGTGGGGTGAGGGGTTGTTTGTTTTGTTTTTTATGCCACGCCCTGCAGTGCTCAGGGCTTACTCCTAGCTCTGCACTCAAAGATCACTCCTGGTGGTGCTCTGGGAACCGTATGGGGTGCTAGGGATGGAACCCAGGTGGGCTGCAGACAAGGCCGGCATCCTACCTGCTGGATTTTCCTAGTAGTTCTTTCTAGTTTTTTCACCTGGGCTTGTATTACTAGTATCATTGTAAACATAATCAACAAGCTTCTGAAACTGTCCTTGGCACCGTGTAATCCCATCAATGGCCAAGACTCAGAAAATATAAAACCCAGCTCCCGGAAGCGCGCAGCCACGCAACATCTTATCATCTCATTCCTATTTTGGACAAACTGGCAGGCTACCGAATGTAGCCTGCCCACACGGCAGAGTCTGGCAAACTCCCCGTAGCGTACCCAATATGCCAAACACCAGTAACAATGAAGGGTCTCATTCTCCTAACTCTGAAAGAGCCTTGAATATGGCACTTTTTAAAAAAATCTCAGGGCTAGGACGAAGGAGACGTTACTGGGGCCTGTTCGAGGCAATCGACGAATAACAGGATGGTTGTGATTGTGATTTATTTATTTGCTTTTTGGATCATACCCAGAGATGCTCAGGGGTTACTCCTGGCTTTGCACTCAGGAATTACTCCTGGCGGTACTTGAGGGACCATATGGAATGCTGGGGATTGAACCCGGGGTTGGCCGCATGCAAGGCAAAGGCCCTACCCCCTGTACTATCCCTCCAGCCCCTGAAAATGACCTTCTAAAAGGCTGAGATGTACCCGTTTCAGTTCAGACACCAGCTTTGGACAGCCATTCTCTCCCAGCTGGGACCCCCTCGCCCGATCCCCTCACTTTCACAGCTATCAACACCCCCCGAGTGAAGCCCAGTGAGATCACTCTGTGGTAAACTGCGGTTTCCGAGGGATGCCCGTGTGGTGTGTTCTGATGCAAACCAACAATCATTTCATGTCACAGATCGTTTCCTTAACAGGTAACGTGAAGGGTCACAATTTTCTAACCTGTTGTAGCCAGGGCTGGGGATGAGGGTCGGGCCTCAGATGTGTAGATCACTGGGTTGGACTTCCAACACTGAAGCAAAGAACTTAAGGCTTGTGGCTGGAGAGAGCTCTATGGCTGAGCACAGGCTTTGCATGTGGGAGGCCTGGCTTTGATCCCAGCCAGACCCTGCAGAATCCCCTGAGCACGGCCAGAGGAACCCTCAAACACAGCCAGGAGGAAGCCCTGCACACTGCCGGAGATAGCCAAGGAATATAGCTCCATGTGGCACAGGAATGCCTTAAGCACGAAGCCCGATAATAAACCAGATTGTAAATCACGGTGCCACAAATAATTTTTTAAAAAAAATCTCTTCGGGGCCAGAAAAATAGTACACTGCCTTGCAAACAGCCAACCTGGGCTTGATCCCTGGTCCCCTATATGGTCTCCCAAGCCTGCCAGGAGGTGATTTCTGAGTTTAGACCTAGAAATAAATTCTCGGCACTGTTGGGTAACGTCCCCAAATAAACAATTAGTTTAAAAAAACTCTCAAATATAAACATGCCCTACCAAGAAATGTGAGCATTTACATAAATGCAGAAACAAGAAAGATCTTTCTAGATTTGACAATGACAAATACAGAGTTACAGATTGACAGATCTTATTAATGGGGCAGGGGGTGGGGAACACAGGAGGAAAAAAAAAAACAACTACAAAACTGAGTCAAATCAGCTTCAGAGCTATAGTACAGTGGATGGGGCGTTTGGCTTGCATGCAGCCCACCCAGGTTTGATCCCCGGCACCCCATAGGGTCCCCCGATTTCCCAGGAGTGATCCCTGAGCACAGAGCCAGAAGTAACCCCTGAGCATCACCAGATATGGCCCCAAAGACAAAACCAAACCAAAACACATTTGAGTAAAATTGTGACAATAAATGGACTAATCATATGTTGATTTTAATCTAGAAAAGTGAAAATGCCATGTAACAAGGTTGTATAGTATTTGTACACATAAAAACTGCCATCTGAAAAAAAAAATTTGAGTAAAAAAAACCATTAAACAGACAAATTGGTCAAATATCCCTCCGCCTTAGGCACCCTCAGACCCTGAGTGTCCTCCCGAGTGCCTTGGGGCGAGAACAGCCCAGGTCCCCATCTCTGGTGACCCTCACATCCTTCAAGTGTATCCTTCCTTCTTCACGCATCATCCAGGTTTCTCCCCCCCCCCCGCCCACCCGACTTCCACTCTCCCCTCAGGAGGTGGGGGGGCCTTCCAGAGCCTCGAGGTCAGCTCAAGTCAAAGAAGATGGGGGCCAGCTAAGGCAAAATCACCCAGGGGGGTGGGCAGAGGGAGCTAAGCAGGAACGGGCAGAGAGGCTCTGCTGGGAGGCTCCGACAGCTCCTCTGTCAGGAAGAGCCATACTGACGCCCTCGCTCTGCATGCCGCCCACCCAGGTGCAACCCCTGGCACTGCACCCGGCCCCTCAAGCCTCACCAGGAGTGATCTCTGAGCATCAAGCCAGGGGGAAGCCCTGAGCACTGCAGAATACAGTCCAGAGACTGAGACTCCAAAAAATCCCCAAAGAACGCATGTGAGCAGCATGAGGAAAGTGGGATCCAGGGAAGATGCACCAGCCCAGTGCTCAGGGGGCCCCTGTGACATCACAGCCCAGAGTGTGCCACAGCAACAGAGACATTTTCTTAGAAAAAAAAATTTTTTTAATTAAAAAAAAAAAAAAGGAAACAGCCTGTGCTTTGACAGGACATGATCAAGCGAGAGCTGCTCTAGGGAAACCCCGAGAGCAGGAGGTGCCGGGGCAGGTCTGGGCCCTGCGCGGCAACATGCACACGCACACACACACACACAAACACACACACACACACACATATACACACACCGCCCTCCCCTCACCCCCCCACCCCCGGCTCCGTACTGAGGCCTCAGCTCGGCAATGGTGGCGTAGGGGTGGATGAGACCATCCTGGTCAGCATAGGTTGTGTCCCCCTCGGACTGGGACCTCCGGCGCGGCTGAGGAATGGCCACAGTCCGGCCAGTCAACGTCGTGGCGAGGATGGCTGCGGCGAGCGCCGACCTGGAGATGAAGACAAGGCTGGTGAGATGAGACGGCCAGACCTGTGGCACGGGCGTCCTGCGGGCAGCGCCCAGTAGTGGCCGGCAGCATGATGGCCACCTGCCTCTGCAGGACTGTTGGTGACCTGCCTGGGATTTCACAACCCCTGGGAGTGGAAGCAGCTCCTCTCTGATCCATAGCCAGAGTCAAGCAGCTTCCCTACTGGAAGAACTGAAACGAAGTAAGTGTGTGTGTGTGTGTGTGTGTGTGTGTGTGTGTGTGTGTAAGGTTTTAAAAGGTTTTGAAAGGCATATTGGGGACCCAAATGAAGGAGGAAAGCATGTGTGTGTGTGTGTGTGTGTGTGTGTAAAAGGTTTTGAAAGGTTTTTATTTATTTTTTATACTTACTTTTTTTTTTATTAGTGAGACACCATGAGGTACAGTTGTAGACTTACAAACTTTCGTGCTTGGGTTTCAGTTATACAATGATCAAGTACCCATCCCCCCACCAGTGCCCATTCTCCATCACCAATGATCCCAGTAGCCCTCCCACCCCCCATCCCCCCCACCCCACCCTGCCTCTGTGACAGGGCATTCCCTTTTGCTCTCTTTCCTTTAGGTTGTTAGTTTGCAATAGAGGTATTGAGTAGCCATCATGTTTGGTCTACAGTCTACTGAAAGGTTTTTAAAGGCATGTTAGGGACCCTAATGAAGGAGGAATGTGTGTGTGTGTGTGTGTGTGTGTGTGTGTGTGTGTGTGTGGTTTTGAAAGGCACGCTGGGGGCCCTGAGGGAGAGCAGTGGTTGGCCAATGTGGCAGTTCTGGTTTGAGCCCTGGTCCCATACAGGCTCTGGAGAATCACTGGGCGTAGCCTTGGAGGCTAGGATAATTATAAGCCTATCATTCTGGTTTTCTTCCTCAGGCAGGAGGGTAGAATTCAGCACTCAGACATTTCCTCTCTCTACTCTCGTTCTGAATAACTTGCAAGTGTTTTTTTTTGTTTTCTTTTGTTTGGGTTTTGATTGATCCCCACTCTGTTGTGCTCAGGGGCTTTTAAGGGGGATGGGGTGGGGTGGGGGAATGGGTTGACTCCTGGCTCTGTGCTCCGGGATCACTCCTGGTGGGGCTCAGGGGGCCCTATGATATGTTGGGGGATGGCACCCTGGCTGGCTGCATGTGAGGCTAAACACCTAACCCACTGTCCCAGTGCTCCTCCCCAAAAACTACACTTCTTAAGGACTGAGCACTGGATAGGAGAAAGCTACACAGAGGCTCTTCTGGAGAAGGTGCCCCTGAGTGTTCAGTGCAGTGGGTCTGGGTGCATGTGGGAGCAAACCACCAGGGTGGGGGTTCAAGGGTCACAGGAAGGGACAGAGATAAGATAGCAGGGAGGGTGTTTGCCTAGAATGGAGCCAATCAGGGTCTGATCCCTGAACCCCATATGGTCATCTGAGCACCTCCAGGAGTAATGCCTGAGTGCAGAGGCAGGAGCAACCCCTCAGCACATCTGGGTGTGACCCCAAAACTAAACTAAACAAAAAAAAAACAGGATCACAGGAACAATGCCAGGCACTTCGGCATGGCCAGATGGACAGGGGAAATGACAGTGTATGGATGCAGAACTCCTGAGGGTCTATATTGAAACAGACAATAACTAGGTCCAGATGGAACACTGCTCCAGAATCCTCCAAAAAAAAAAAAACCGTAAGAGCGAGACCCAAAAGATCAGACTGGTTCCAAGGAAATTCACTCCATCCCAAAAAAAAAATTCACAAAGTAAAACAGCAATGTCCAGCACTCAATACGATGAAACCAACCAAAGACAACCAGGCATGCAGAGAAACAGAAAAACACGACCCATAAAAATAAGAAGCAATCAAAAACACTCAGCACCGAATACTGACATAGGGAATTAGCAGAGAAGGAACCTAAGACAGTTATTATAACTGTCTCCCACATATTCAGAAAGCTAAAAAGGGATACAGAAGATTATAAAGACGACTTTAGCTTAAAGATGTCAAAATTACACTGCTGAGATTAAAAGATTATATGTTCCAAAAGAAAAGAAGACACTGGAAGCAAGACACTGGAATGACCAAAATGGATAAAGAAAGGAAAAATAACTGTGAAATTGTGAGATGAGTTTTTAAAAGACAGTTGTATTGGTGTCTTTTTTTGGTGGCAGGGCTCAGGTACACGTCCAGCAGTTCCGGGTTATGACTGATTATGGTGCCAAGGATGAAACCTTGGGCTCCAGGTCTTTGGGTTGTCTCTCTAGCCCTACTGGGCCATGTCTTAAGTCACTAAATTTTAGTATAATTCATTAATGCGATAGACTTTTTATCAAATAGTACTGGAATAATTGGCTAGTTATATATAAGGGGGGGGAAGAGGAGGGTGGGGAAGGGGGAGGGGGAGGGAGAGGGAGGGGGAGGAGAAGGAGGAGTTGTCCAGCCAACTGCACATTTCTGCAGCCCAGGCACCTGAGACCAGAGCCTTCTAGGAAGTCCATGGCTTACATGCACGAAACAGCATGTAGGTGCTTGCATGTTAGCCGGGAAGGCTCAGGCACGGCTGCCGCTGCTGCTGCCTAAACCCGCCAGCCCCAGTGACACAGCAGCACCTGTGAGCTCAGTCCTGACGGGGCAGCAGGCTTGACGGGAGACAGGCCATGGTGCTTCTTTGTTTTGTTGGGGGGGGGGGGCCACACCCCACGGTGCTCAGGGCTGGTTCCTTGCTCTGTGCTCAGAGATCACTCCTGGTGGGCCTTGGGGGATCCTATGGGGTCCTGGGTACTGAACTCGGATCAGCCGTGTGCAAAGCAAGCATGCAACTACAGCGCTATTGCTCCAGCCCCAAAGCAAAGGTCTCCCCAAAGCACCCACGGAGCCCTGGCCCAGAGGCACCACTAGAGGGCGCTCTTCTCGACGTCAGGATTGTACTAGAGCAAAGGAACACCAACATTTTTTTTTCCCCCTTCTTATTTTTTTTTTTATTTCTTTTCAGAGCATTACAAAGCTGTTCATGATTGAATTTCAGCCATATAGTATTTCAACACCCATCCCTCCACCAGTGTACATTTCCCAGTACCAGTGTCCCCAGGTTCCCTCCCATCACTCCCCAACCCTCACCCCTTGCCTGTCTCTTTGGTAGATGCTTTCCCTCCTTCCCTTCCCTTCCCTTCCTCCCTCCTTCCCTCTATCTCTCCCTCCTTCTCCTCCCCCCCTTCTTTTGGGCATTGTGGTTTGCAATATTGATCATGCTGAACAAGATCTGAGGATTAAAAGTAGATAAGGGATATTCTTGGAACACCAACATTCTTTCCAAGTGTTTTTGGAAGCTCCTCCTTTTACAACTATCTTTGAAAAGAAGGTGGCAAATCAGTTCTTCTGCTAGCTTGTTAATGGTGATACCTTTCTAATACATACACAAAAGTCAAATCAAAATGTATTAAAGACCTTAATGTCAGACCTTAAGAACTGAAAATGCCTTGAAATAGGCCCGTACCATCTACACAATGGAATACTATGCAGCTGTCAGGAGAGATGAAGTCATGAACTTTGCTTATAATTGGATAGACATGGAGAGTATCATGCTAAGTGAAATGAGTCAGAAAGAGAGGGACGGACATAGAAGGACGGCACTCATTTGTGGGGTATAAAACAACATAGCATGAGGCTGACACCTAAGGACAGTAGATCCACGGGACAGATAGATTGCTCCATAGCTGGAAGCCCGACTCATGAGCAAAGGGGAGAAGGCAGCTGGAATAGAGAAGGGATCACTAAGAAAAAGATGGCTGGAGGAATCGGTCGGGATGGGAGATGGGGTCAACTGGGGATATTGGTGGTGGGAATGTGCACTGGTGGAGGGAGGGTGTTTGATCATTGTGTGACTGTAACCCAAACATGAAAGTTTGTAACTATCTTATGGTGATTCAATAAAATTTAAAACAAATTAAAGAAAGAACTATGCCAGTACCTTGAGGAAAACATAGATAGAACACTGCGTGATATTGAAACTAGAGGAATCTTCGATGATTCCACACCACTGACTGAGCAAATGAAAGCAGAGATGAACAAAGAGGATTGCATCAAACTAAGAAGATTCTGCACTGCAAAGGAAACAACGACTAGACTGCATATGTCCCACATACATGAAGCACTGGTAGAGCTTTTATTTTTTTATTTTTTTCTTTCATAAATTCAATAAATTCAATTGATTTATTGAATCACCGTGAGAGCAGTTACAAAGCTTTTAGGTTTAAGTCTCGGTCGTACAATGATGAAACACCCGTCCCTTCACCAGTGCACATTTCCCACCACCAAAAACCCCAGTATACCCCCCATGCCACCCCCTCCCCTACCTGTGTGGCAGATGGTTTCCGCATTACTCTCTATCTACTTTGATTACATTCAATATTTCGACACCAGATCCACCACTATTATTTGGGATTTTACCTCAACACTCACATCTGCCGAAAAGGCAACATTAGACAATTTGTTTTCTATTGCTGATAATGAATAATACCGTGGTTGCACAATTTTGGAATTCTGAAATTTTAATAATAAAATCTGGAGGGATTTCTGCAAAAGCCGCTGGGTTCGGAGATTTGTTTCTGAGTCTCTGGGATCAAGGTTTAAACCACTTGCTGAGTAGCCAGAGGGCTCATTCATGGGCAGCGACTCAGAGTCTCATTGGGGCAGGGGAGGAAAGGACACGTCCCACCCATCCCATGAGGTCCCACATTATCTCCTCACTGCGGGCCCCCACCTGGCTGTCCATTGGCCACTGTAAGATGATGGACCCCGAGCCACCAGGGGGAACAGGCCAAGCACCAGGAGAGCTTTACAAGAAAAATAAACTAGCCCCACCTCGGAGAGGGGCAGGTGAGGTCAGCACCGACCCCAATAGAGCCCCAGCAGCTAAAAACCTCCAGAACCCAACCGACATCATGCTCACAGCCAATCTCCACACCACAGGCTCGGGACAAGCATCCCTCGCATGATAATGGATCTGCTGAAAAACTCAGGTATGTGGGTTTTGTAACCGAAATCTCCAAGCTCAAACTGAGTCGGGAATGGGGCCTGGTGGTCACACCCATAAACGGCCTCTGTGCCATATAAGCTAATTAGTGGCCATGATCCAGAGACTCACAAATAAATCTTGGAAGAGAGCAAGAAACTGCAGCCATGCACTTAATGCCAGCTCTAGTACCATTTTTAAAATTTTAGAATTCCTGGAGTGACATCTCATACTCTCTGCCACTGATGTACCAAGAGCAGCACACCACATTTGATAGGGCGTAAAGTAGAAGGCAACTGAGCTGGACCAAAACACACACACAAACTCACACACACAAGCACATAAGGCTCAATGTGTAACCACATATTAGTCGTCTCTTACACAAGGGCTTAATGGCTCCAAGGTGAGATACAACAATCTTCAAACACTTTCCTCTGAGGAAACCTTTGTGGATCATTTTTAGTGGATTATCTTAACGAGCAATTCAAAATAAATTATTTAGGATCTCCCTTTGGGGCAGGCTTGGGTGGTAGTGGGAAAATTCTGAATAATGGTGATGGTAAGGTGTAATAGTGGTGGGTTTGGTCTTAGAATATTGAATGTAATAAATTATCACGAGCAAAAAAACCTTATAAAATTAAAAAAAAATAAACTATCCATATTGAAAAATAAGGGGAAGAGGTGAACAGAAACCAACTCAAAAATTCCATTCTCAAAAATGCCATATGGGGGGCTGGAGCGATAGCACAGCAGGTAGGGTGTTTGCCTTGCACACAGCCAACATGGTCGAAACAGGTTCTATTCCCAGCATCCCATATGGTCCCCCGAGCACCGCCAGGAGCAATTCCTGAGTGCATGAGCCAGGAGTAACCCCTGAGCATCGCCAGGTGTGACCCAAGAAGCAAAAAAAATAAATAAATAAAAAGCCATACGGATGGTCAAAAGGCATATGAAAATATGCTCTCATCAGTGATCACCAGGGAAATGCAAATCAAAACAACAGTGAGGCATCATCTCACCCCAGGGAGACTGCCACACATCACAAAGAACAAAAACAACCAGTGCTGGCATGGGCGCAGGCAAAACAGGGGCTCCCACTCATTGCTGCTGGGCATGCAGACTGGTCCAGACTTTTTGGAAAAAATATGGACACACCTCAAAGAACCTAAAATTGAGCTTCTCAATGGCCCAGCAATTCCACTTCTTGGTAACTGCCCCAGGGGGCCCAAATATTATTTAGAAGAGACATTCGCATCGCTCCTCGGCCTTTTGGCTAAGATCAAGTGTAGTATCTGTTCTTATCAGATTAATATCCGATACATCCTCTATCCGAGGACAATACATGAAATGGATTTGGGGGGGCAGAGATTGGAATAGGAGCTTGCTCCATCCACTCCGCACATCGACCTGGTAATGCAGCACCTCCAGGAATGGTGCCCGGGAAAAAGAAAAGAAAAAAGAAAAGAAAAGAAAAGAAAAGAAAAGAAAAGAAAAGAAAAAGAAAAGACATTTGCACTCATTTCTTCATTGCAGGCCTATTCACAATAGCCAAAATCTGGAAATAACCAAGTATGCAAGAACGGATGACAGGACAATGAAACTATGGTATACAGACACAATGAATACTACTTAGCCATAAGAAAAAAAATGAAAGCCTGCAATGTGCTGTTACATGGATGCATCTGGAGTGTATCACGCTGACTGCAGTAGAGGAAAGACAGACAGACTAATCTCTCTCATCTATGGGCCATACGGCATCGTAGGAAGGGAATAACAAATGCGTGAAGGCAACAGAAACAGAACCGGTCGGAAGCTTCCAGTAGGAAGCATCCCACGAAGGCAGGCTATGGGGAGAGACTGGAACCATGGGTGGAGGGAAACTCTGGTGTCGGGCGTGGTGCTTGGAATGTTGTGTGTGTGGAACCCTAGAATAATAGTTTTGTAAACCACGGGGCCTAAAATAACAATCATTTTTAAAATGTTTGTCCTTATGAATATAACAGAATCCAAACATGCCCTGCAGAGGCGGGATGCTTAGGTATGAAGACTGTTGGCTCTTTGGAGGATGAGGGAGTCCCTGGCTTGGGCAAGGAACACGCATCCCCTCCTCCCAGCAAAGCCGTTTTTCGGAAAGCAGACCCGTGTTTAAAAAGAAAAGGCACTGTAGCACTGTCCTCCCGTTGTTCATCGATTTGCTTGAGCGGGCCCAGTAACGTCTCTGTTGTGAGACTTGTTGTTACTGTGTTCGGCATATCGAATACGTCACGGGTAGCTTGCCAGGCTTTGCTGTGCAGGCAAGATACTCTTGGTAGCTTGCGGACTCTCTGAGAGGGGAGGAGGAATCGAACTCGGGTCGGCCGGGTGCAAAGGCTCAGAGGGTCTCTCAGTGTCTGAGGGGTGGCCCACTGTGCCCCCCGCCCTACCGCCTTGCTATCGCTCCAGCCTGCGTGAAATGTATGTCCTTAAACATACGATAACCTAAATACTCAGACTTTTTAATGCTCTATGATTTGAAAGTTTCTTGTTGCATTCCGTGACGAGAGAGGAGGACTCTGTACCCTGAGAGGGACAGACACCCCTCCACTAGCTGCAATGTGTGTGTGTGTATGTGTGTGTTTGTGTGTGTGTGTGTGTGTGTGTGCGCACGCGCGCACCAGGACAGAGCACTTGTAGCTGAGCAGAGGCTGCGTGCACTCCCGCTTGCAGGGACTCACCTGGGTCTCTCTGGAGACGGGTTGGGGCTGCGGGGGGGTGGTGTGCGGGGCACGGCTGCCTTGGGAGCGATGCTGGCGGCAGGAAGAAGGCCATGGGCGATGTGTTTCTGCACCAAGGAAACACAGGAGTCAGGGGTGAGCTGTCCCTCTGCCTTCCTGGGGCCACGCACAAGGAGGTGCCCCCTACCCTCCCCGGCGAGTAAGCAAGCCCACCCAGGACACAACCTCGCTGTCGCTGCTCATCCTGCCCTCTTCAGGGGCTCCCCTGACCACCCCCTTCCTGAGTCACCCTCCAGATATACCTCATCTTGGGGACACAGCCCCCACTGCCCCTGCCCACTGGCCATGTCTGATACAGGCAAATGACTGTGTTTTCAGGCCACACCTAGCGATGCTCAGGGCTAACTCCTGGCTCTGCGCTCAGAAATCACTCCTGGCAGTGCTCGGGGGACCATGTGGGGTGCCAGAGATGGAACCCGGGTCGGCTGTGTGCAAAGCAAGGGCCTTCCGTGAGACAAGGCCTCGCATCAGCTCAGGGGGTCTCTCAGTGACTGAGGGGGCGGCCCACTGTGCCCCCCACACGGAGGGCAGGCATCCAACACCACCCCCACAGCCGAAGCAGGGAGCCAAGGACCAAGGGTTGAGTGGCCCGGGGCGGGCTCCTTCAGGTCCCCTGAGAAGCCCACAGACACCCAGGCGGGGCTTCTGAGACCTGGGGAGGGGGACGGAAGAGCATCCCAGGAAGAGGAAACGGTCCAAGAGCAGAAAGAGGCAGGGCCTGCAGGGCTGTGTTCTGGAAATAACAAGCACATAGTTTGCTGGGACAGCAGTGAGGTCAGAGCGGGCGCAGCCCTGCGGCCACGAGCAAAGCCACTGGGAGACTAATCAGGCCACGGGCAGCACTCCCTGGTGAGGGGCCTGGGTAGATGTTCCAAATGCCTCCTGCGCCCCCACTCCCCCAGCTCCATGGGCACCCCGGCCCCCAGTGCCTCCGTTTTACTCTAAACTCCCTTCCCTGTTTGCCCCTGGATGGATTAGTCAATACCTGCCTTTGTCAGTAACAATTTACACAACTGCCTTCTCCCCTGCGCCCCACAGTTCAAGGGGACAACTTAGTGACCTTTGAACACGCCGGGGCTGACACCCAATAGACCCCCCAAAAGGCATCACGAGTTCTGTTTATTTTGTAGCAAATAATTTTTGTATGTGGCATAAAGTTCTTTTGCAAAAAATTAACTGTAATCATTCACCATGGTGCCGTGGTCTGCAGGGCTATTACTGTTTCAAACCTACAGAGCTACCCTGGCTGCCACCAGGAGCCAGAGCCCTCTTCCGGGTCCCATGGTCCCCTTTTGTTCCCTTTGCTGCCTCAGTTCACTGTTTTATTGACTCGCTCTCTGGGGAAGTGTCTAATACCTTCTTTTAAAAAAAAAAAAAAGTCTGAGGGCTTCCAGAGCAGTGGGGTGCAGGCGGGGACTAGGTCTATACCTGATGTCAATGGAATCAGGGTACAAGGCTGATGCCTCTGACCCCTGAATTATCTCCCCCCAGACCCTTGCTTTGTTTTTTAGGTGTTTATTATAAAGCACACCACACACACACATACACACACAGTGTGCAGAACCATTCTTACCTGCACCACTAGAAGCATTTCCCCACCGGCAGTCCCTCATGACCAGAGGCAACACAGTGGCCTGTCCACTGCTCCTCCTGATGGACCCCGGCCCACCTCTGCACCATCCAGAGGTGCTTCCAGTGCCCGCAGAGCAAATGGTCTGCTCCCCTCCACCCAGAACCTTTTCTCCCTCCCCAGACCAACTCTACAGGCTGACCCGGCTGCCGCTCGCTGGGCTGTGCCTCCTCAGGAAAGGAGTCCACCCATTCTTTGCGGAAACCCAGGGGAGACTGTTGTCCTCTACACCGTATGACCATAAGCTGTCATTTAGCAGGGGGGGGTGGGGGGACTCAGTAGGACTCAATAGTGCAATCAAAGGGGATTGGCATTTGCTGTGCATGCATGCAGCCGACCCAGGTTTGATCCCCAGCACCCCACAGGGTCCCCCAAGCCCTCCAGGAGTGATCCCTGAGTGCAGAGACAGGAGTTAAGTCCTGAGCACTTTCAGGTGTGCCCCCCTCCACCCCCCACCACACACACACACACAAAATGCAATCAAAGTTCAATATACATGTTGGCCAAACTGCACTGTGAAAGCATGTTCCACCCAGGTCCTCACTGTTTCCCCCGGCACCTGTCCAGATGGCTTCAGCAGGAGGCAGAGCTGAGGCTGGGAAGTGAAAGCAGACAGGTTTGCAATCTCCACTTGCAACGGGTCTTAAGATGGGGGCCTGAGAGACAGTACAGCGGGTAAGGCGCTTGCCTTGCGTGCAGTCGACCTGAGTTCAATCCTGGCATCCCATATGGCTCCCCCAGCACACCAGGAGTGATTCCTGAGTGCAGAGCCAGGAGTAACCCCTGAGTACCCACCCCCAAAAAATAAATAAAAAGGGTTAAGATGCTTGCCTTGCTTCCATGAGTGCATGTGTGTGTGTATGTGTGTGGTTTTGTGTATTAAGAGCACTGGGTTCTAATGAGTGCCACTGCACTGCACTGTCCTCCCGCTGTTCATCTATTTGCTCCAGCAGGCCCAGTAACGTCTCCATTGTTGAGACTTTGTTGTTACTGTGTTTGGCATATTGAATACGTAGCTTGCCAGGCTTTGCTATGCAGGCGAGATACTCTCAGTAGCTTGCAGAGCTCTCCGACAGGGGCGGAGGAATCAAACTTGGGTTGGCCAGGTCGGCCGCATGCAAGGCAAATGCCCTACCCGCTGTGCTATCACTCTAGCTCATGAGTGCCACAATCAGACTAAATTTGTTTTGCTTGGGGGCCCCTCTGGGGCTGATTTTCACACCAGTGCCACCCCATGCATTTCTGTTTGAGCCTGGCAGCTCTGCTGTCTAAAATCCCCTAGAGAGGGGCTAGAGTGACAGCACAATGGGTAGGACATTAGCCTTGCATGCAGCCGACCCGGGTTCGATTCCCAGCATTCCATATGGTCCCCCAAGCACCCCCAGGAGTAATTCCTGAGTGCATGAGCCAGGAGTCACCCCTGAGCATTGCTGGGTGTGACCTAAAAAGACAAAAAAAAAATCTCCTGGGGAGGTGAAGAGGGGTCAGCACCACAGCCAGGGGTATGCCAGCACCTCAACTTAAAGGCTGCAACCCCCAATGAACACTGCAACTAAAAAGATGTTCCGGCAGATATTAAATGTAATAAATTATTGTGGGAAAAGATAGCTTCTTAGATACAGGTAAAATTTCCAGAAATAATTTTGAAGGAATCACGTAAGTCTTTAAACATCAAATCCTCTTGTGGCACATTTTTAAAAATTACAACTTACACTGAGGTATACAATGCAACTCCCCCCCCAAATTTCCAAAAGTTATTAACCTAAATTGTGGAACTACATCTTTATATTCGGTGTTTTTCTTCCAAAACTTAAAAATTCATATAATTATTGGGGGGGGGGGGGGGGAGTTGTTCCAGCAGGCAGGCAGCCTGTTGGGCAACCCAAGGCCAGCAAGTGGCAGGCACCCAATAGAAGAATGAAACCCCGCCGGAGGCCAAGTTTGCAAGCACCACGGCCCGAACTGGGGGTCCCCCCTGCACCCCCTTCCCCATACACACACACTCCTCAGCCCTGCAGCACAGGCAAAGGCTCGAACTCCCCACAACCAAGTTCGTGGGCACGGGGTCAAGGCCACCTCAGCAGAGGGAGGGGGAAGGGGGGGCGGCGGCTGCTGGGGGACTCGAGGGAACCCCTTCCGAGCAGAGGCGCCACGGCAGCGGCAGCGCGGGGGAGGCCGGCGGTGGAGCCGCCAGGGGAGAACCGACCGACTTGGCTGATGTGGGGTGTCGGGAACCGAGCAGGACACCCCCCCACCTGGAGGTTCCTCTAGCAAGTTTGTGCCGTGAAGCAGGGCACTTACTCCCCGACCGCGGAAAGAACGTTTGCGGGGTAGAAGTGCACGAGAAAACAAACAAACAAACAAAAAACAAAACTAGGGTTTTTCTTTTTTTAATGAGGTTTTTTTGGTGGGTTTTTTTTTTTCCAATTTTTTTGTCTTGGGCCACACCCGGCAATGCTCAGGGCTTACTCCTGGCTCTGCGATGCATCGGGGGACCAGATGGGATGCCGAGGATCGAACGCAGGTCAGCTGCCTGCAAGGCAATCGCCCTCCCCGCTGTACTATTGCTCCGGTTCTCAAACTGGGTTTCTTCTAACTCCTTCCTTTGGGTGCAGCTGCCTGCCTCTCGGCCCGAGCCCCAACCTCTCTCCCCTGAGAACTGGCCCGCGCTCGCAGCGGAAGCCGGCGGGGATGTACTCACGAACTGGCCCCGGCGGCCTCTGCGGAAGCCCTGGAGCATCTCTGCGGCGGTAGGGGCGAGGCAGTGTCCGGTCGGACTCGCGGCCACCCCACGACACAGCTGGAGAACCGCTCAGGACCGCTAGTCCCCACCCCTGGGCCTAGCCCCAGACGCCTTTTTCTCCAGGGGCTGCTTATCAACCACCATGTCTGCCATTGGCTCATCTTCCGCCGCAGCCAATCAGAGACAAGTTTACTTGGCGTCCGTCGCTCTTGGCAACCAGCGTGGTCCTCATTCAAAAGCGCGGAAATGTGCCGCTAGCCGCCCTCTGATTGGTCCGCCCCGGTGTCCGTCGGCGGCCCCCGCAGCCTATCCAGAGCTGCGAGAGGCAGAGGGCGGGCAGCTTGAAGGCTTCCCGGGGCTGCCCGCCCGCGGCCCCGGAAGTGCCCCGCAGTTTTTAACGCGGGTCCGAGTCGGGCCCTGCTGGGCTGGGCTTTGGGTCGGACTGCGGAGACACATGTGTGAAACAAGCTGGGGTAGCCGGGGTCAGGGTGGTGACGATAATCAGGAACGGGACCGCCTGCACCGGAACTTCCGAGCTGCATTGTAGACCTTTGCAGACGCGCCGCTGCGGGAGGGCCAGCGGGGAATGCACCTGCGGGCGTATGCCCACGGGCCAGTCCTCGGACCTTCCTGGCCACCCTCTCCAGCCCGAAGCTGCCCATGGAAAGGCAACCCCCTGATTGCACCGGACCCACGCACGTGCCCCTGGGCTATGTGGTGGCCAGTGACAAGTGGCGCGGGTCGCAGCTGGCACAGGCCCTGCAAGGTGGGTGGGCTTGCCCGGGACTACGTGGTGGCCAGTGACAAGTGGCGCAGGTCGCCGCTGGCGCAAGTCCTGCAAAGTGGATGGGCTTGCCCCTGGGCTACGTGGTGGCCAGTGACAAGTGGCGTGGGTTGCAGCTGGCGGAGGCCCTGCAAAGTGGATGGGCTTGCCCCGTGCACGAGCCCTCAAAGCTTTGCAGAACCTCGGGCTCGGCGGGACCTTGTCGTCGCCGCCCGTTCCTCCCGGACTCACGGAACTCGCGGTCTTGTCTGTATTTTAAGGGAAAACTACGTTGGTGTTTGAGGATGGCCTGTCACCGGTGGATTTCTACGTGTCGAGCCGCTCCTGCATCCTCTTCATCTCCGAAGCGGATTTGGTGGCAGGGAACAGCTACAGAAAGAGACTCGTAAAGGTTAGGAATGTAAGTACCTAGCCGAAACTGGATCTGACCACTGACTCCTTGCCTCTATCAATCCTTTGCAGTCTTCCTTTTTTTTTTTTTTTAATTCACCGTGAGATACAGTTACAAAGCTTTCATGATTGGGTTTCAGTCATTCAATGATCGAACACCCATTCCCCCACCAGTGGGCATTTTCCGCCACCAATGTCCCCAAGGTCCCTTCTGCCACCTCCACCCCATCCTACCTCCTGCCTCTGTGGCAGGCACCTTCTTTCTTACTCTCTCTCTACTTATGGGCATCATGGTTTTGTTTGCAATAATTTATATAAAACTGTTGGCCAGGGGGCCAGAGCCACGATAGAGAGGGTAGAGTGTTTACCGTTGCACACTGCCCACCCAGGTCCAATTTTCTGCTTCTCCTGTGGCCTGTTGGGAGTGATTCCTGATGAAAAGCCCGGTGGCCCAAACAAAAAAACTAAAATATTGACTGTTTTAAACCCTCTTGGAGCAAAAGCTTTCTTACTTTACAAAATATTTTGTTACAAATGGATTTTTTGTTTCTTTTTGGGTCACAACCTATTATTCTGGGGCTACTCCTGGCTCTGCACTAAGGAGTTACTCCTGTCCATGCCCAGAGGACCATATGGGATGTCAGGGTTCTAATCTAGAGAGGCCACGTGGCAGGCAAATGCCCTACCCACTGTACTATCGCTCAGGTCCCAGATTTTTATTGGTGTGGTTTTGGTTTTTGCTCCACACCCAGCGGGTGCTCAGGGACTTACTCCTAGCTCAGGAGACCAGCTGGGGTTCCAGGAATCAAATCTGGGTCAGCAGTATACAAGGCAGGCACCCAACCCACTATACTCTTGCTTTGGCACCCACAAATTAATTTATTGTCTCTTATCACCACCTCCCCCTTCGCCCCCACTTTGTAGTGCAATCATCTTCAAGGGATTGTCATAGTGGAAAAGACTCAAATGAGTGAACAGTACTTCCCGGCCGTCCAGAAGTTTACGGTTCTAGACCTGGGCATGGTGCTGCTCCCCGTGGCCAGCCAGATGGAAGCGGCCTGCCTGATCAGCGAGTTAGTAAGTACCGATCCCTGCCACAGCAGCCCCGGGAGCAATTCCCATCTAACCTTGCAAATTTTTCTTTAGCCCTTGCCCTTGCTATTGTTGCATGCCAGCATTTCAGTCTGCATTTTTCCCTCTTTATTCATAAAACTTGGGGGGAGGGGAGTGGTAGAGCACATACCTCACATGTGTGACACCCTCGGATCCAGTATCCCTGGGGCCAAAATGGGTAGGGCATTTGCCTTGCATGTGGCCGACCCAGTTCAATCCCCGCCATCCCATATGCTCCCCCACCCACACTGCCAGGAGTGATTCCTGAGTACAGAGCCAGGAGTAACCCCTGAGCATCAGTGGGTGGGACCTAAAAAGAAAAGAAAAAAAAACCCTTTTGGAGGAAAATTTTAGTTCAGAAACTGCTTCTGCAAGCAGATGAGTTGTCCCCAGGAATATTCTAGGCAAATGATTGGTAATCAAGCAAGGGCCCTCATTTTAGACTCCCACTGTCATTCATTATTCTGCTGGCGAACATGTCCATTGTTGGGCCTCAGCCCCACGTATCAGCATCAGCACTCCATGTGCATACTGATTTTAAAAACAGGAGCCATCCCTGATAGTGTTGTGGGGGACATTGTGCTACCAGCCACTGAACTCGGGGTATCACACAGGCTAGGGATGTGTTGGACCACGTGAGCTATCTCCCTGACCCTAAGTTGTTGTCTTTTAGCGGAGTCTCCCTGGTTCTCTCTGACATTTATCTCTGCTATACATTAGAATTCCCTGGGAACCTTTAAAATCAGAACATAAAGTCTGAGCATCACTCCTTTTTTCTTTTTTTTGGGGGGGGGCACACTTTAGGGAGCAACATACTTCTGACTCTGTGGGTCTGTAGGCAGTGAGGGGGATCCAACCCAGGTGGGCTGCTTGTAAGCAAGTGCCTTAATCCTTCTACTGTTTCCCCGGCCCCTGAACACTCTTTACAGTTGTGTTGTTTTCCAGTCTGATGTGCAGGATTGTGAAGCAACAGGAAAATGCAACCGTGTGGAATGTGGTTTCTCCTTTGCTTGCAGTCTTTTTGCAGGGCACGTCGTTAAGACATTCTCATCATACACCACCCCATTTCTTTCTTTCCTTTTTTTCTTTTCATTTGAAGTAAAACAGATTTTATTGAAGGTTTTTTTCGGAAGATAAAGTAGGGAGAGAGGGGAGACAGTGTAACACTCAAGAGGGAACGCAGGCTTCTCCAAAGGCAGAGAGAACCCCTATACACACTCCACATTAGGTACAGAAGCATGAAAGTACACACGTCAAGAGGGGGGATATGGGTGTCACATGTGCTTGGCCACATGGGCACAAGCAACATATGGGCTTAGGCAGCATATGTGCCTCTTTTTTTTTTTTTCCTCCAGCAGGGAGCTCTTTTCAGGACTACATCTGTCCGTGTTCGAGTAGCCATGTGGTGCCAGGAATTGAACCCAAAACCCTGTGCAAAGATATCTTGCACTATCTGAAATGTGCAAAAGCCCTGAAATGTTTCTCTTTTTTTGTTGTTTTGTTTTGTTTTGGGGTTTCACCTGGCAGTGCTCAGGGGTTACTCTTGGTTCCGCACTCAGGAATTACTCCTGGCAGAGTTTGGGGAATCATAAGGGATGCTGGAGATTTAACCCAGTTCTGTTGCATGCAAGGCAGGCACCCTACCCACTGCTGTACTCTCTCTCTTCAACCCCCTGAAACATTTATTAATAAGCATAGGAACCTGTTTGAATTTCTCAGTTATGTTTTCCGTGCTTTCATCCTAAGCATTGTTTCATTCCTCTGTGTTGTTATATATTTCCTCTTTCAGTAGCTTTGCTAGTGTCTGAAAAAAAATTACACTCGTGGTATATAAAAACTAATAGTAGTAAGTCAATTCGAGCAAACGAAGATCGGACTAAACCACCACCAAACTTTTCAAAAACTGGCTCGTCCGCCAGAGGGCGCTCATGTGCTTTTTTTTTCTGTTCTAATTTTGCTTCAGGTTCTAGAGACCACAAAAGAACCCAGCAAGAACCCTCTGCTCAGGAAGAAAAGGGCTCAGATTTCGGAGGCTTCTCTGCTGAGGTCTGTGCAGCAGATCCCAGGCGTTGGGAAAGTCAAAGCTCCGCTTCTGCTCCAGAAGTTTCCGAGTATTCAGCAGCTAAGCGCTGCCTCCCTCCAGGAGCTGGAGCCAGTGGTCGGGCCGGCAGCCGCACAGCAAATCCACAGCTTCTTCACCCGGCCCCGGTGACCAGGCTCTTCTCCCTTAAGCCCAACTACAGGGCCATGATGGCGTGCCTGCACACCGGGCAGGCTTTCCTCCGGCAGCACCTCGAGGAAGGTGAGGTGGCACTTGGTCATCCTGCTCTGCGCGCTGGGTTCAAGCATTTTGGTGAGGGGACCCTGTTTGGCGCTGCCCTCGTCCTGCTAGCAGGAACGGCTGGTGGGACGCTGGAGATTTAACCCAGGTCTGCTGCATGCATCTTCCCAAGAGAATCATGTTATTTGGGACGTGCAGACTCAGTGGAAAGCAGACCCCGCCCCCCCTTCCCCGCCCCTTGCGACCTGGATCACTATGGCATGGACAGGGTTTACCGAGCCTCAGGACCAACCCACCGTGCAGCCTTGCTGCACCCTCGGGCCCTGGCCCCCGGCTGCTGTTCTCTGGGGCGGTTCTCCCTGTACCTGGGCCGCAGGGCTGCTGCCAGGGTAAATAAACATCGCGTCCTTCCCTCCCTCCCTCCTTCCTTCCTGGCCCCCTCCCTTCCTGGTAGCCGGTTTGTTTATAATCACTCGGTGATTACAGAAATATTTCTAAACACAGAAAATCTGAATCTAGAGTTCCTGTGTAAAGACTAAAAGGCCAGTGTGGGCCTGGCACCACAGAACAGAGGGTGTGCTTCATGTGCAGGAGACCATGAGTATGATCCCCCAACGCCACCAAGACCCCAAGGCACCGCTGAATATCCCCCTGGTAGCCCCCGACATCGCTCGGCCAAGGCAGCACTGCACTGCCAGTTCACGCATCACCAGGACTTGCCCTCAGAGCCCCTCAAAGTAAATGAGGGAGTTTATGTAGTAAATAACATATAGTAGAGGGTGGGAAAGTATTCAAGGGGTGGATGAAATACTCCAGTGGGACAGTAAACAGGGAGTGGACACAGTACACAAGTGGGATGGTTCAAAGGGAGTAGACATAGTACACCAGAGGGATGGTACGCAGGAAATAGACACAGTACACCAGTGGGATGGTACGCAGGGAGTGGACACAGTACACCAGAGGGATGGTACGCAGGGAGTGGACACAGTACACCAGAGGGATGGTACGCAGGGAGTGGACACAGTACACTAGAGGGATGGTACGCAGGAAATAGACACAGTACACCTGTGGGATGGTACGCAGGGAGTGGACATAGTACACCAGAGGGATGGTATGCAGGGAGTGGACATAGTACACCAGAGGAATGGTACGCAGGGAGTGGACACAGTACACCGATGGGATGGTACGCAGGGAGTGGACACAGTACACAGAGGGATGGTATGCATGGAGTAGACACAGTACACCAGAGGGACAGTAAACAGGGAGCAGATACAGTACACCCATGGGATGATATACAGGGTGTAGACACAATACAACAATGGGACAATATACAAAAGGCAGACACAGTATGGGTATACAATGGATATACACTGGGGGACTGGGTAGCCACAGGGCTCGGAATATGGGAGTACAACTGCCCATTCAAAACTCAATTAGAGAGACGTGGAGGGTGATGGGAGGGAAACTAGGGACACTGGTGCTGGGTGATGTAGACAGGTGGAGAGATGGGTGTTGGAACACTGTATGGCTGAAACCTAATCATGAACGGCTTTATAAGGGTCTGTCTCACAGTGATTCAGTTTTTAAAAGTTAAAAAAAAAACTCAATTAGATGCTTTATGTTTCCAAAGAACTGAGATTTTACTATAAAGCTCTTTTGAGTCCTGCTTTGTGAAGTATAGTTTCTAAAATGCAAACAAAATTGAAACATTTTGTGCTTTAGGGTAGAAACCATTGGAAAGAGGAGGAAATAATTAAAAGTAAAATAAAAAAACAGTAACAGGCAAATAAAGGTGTTTATTTAAATACTTACATAAAAATGGTCCTAGAGATAGTGATATACTTTCCCTTTTGATATTGCACTATGAAAATTTAAGTTCCTGTTAATTCTCAAAATTAGATTTCAATGCAATTCAAGGATATATAACTTGTACTATGTCAGCAGTGACTCTTACTAGAATCACAGTGTCATCCAACTTACAGCAAGAGAAATGTTGTTTTGAAGCCAGATAGAGCTTAAAACTTGAATCATGTACATAGGTCCCTTATAAAATGTAAAACTAGTTTTTAAGCCATCTTAAACACTCTTGAAGAATATATATGTAATTCCTACTTTAAACAAAATGAAAATGATTTGAGTATCAAACAGTATATTATCTACCTTGTAGATAGTATCTTTATCTAACACTGACAACTGTGTTAGCAACCTTTAAATGACATGAAACTAAAAAAAAAAAAAGCTGCTCCTAAATTTAAAAATCTTTATCTATTAGGTCATGAAGAATTTGGCACTTGGCTACTGGAAAATAAGTTTCATACTTTATAGAAACAATAGCAAAATCTTGTCATTTTTAGGCTTGTTAATTTCTCTTTAGGAAGCAGCTTCCTGGAACAGTTTTAGTAAACACTAAAGTCTATCCTGTCTTGACTGGCCTTCGTTTGGGGGTGATCTGAATTCTGAGTTCAAGACTGTAGAATTAGTACCCGAGTCCGGGTGATCAAATTGGTAACCCCAATTAAGTTCTGAGAGTGACTAAAAGTAACTAGAGTCATCGTTTTAGCCGGTAAAAACAGCCATGTTTCAACACTGTTCTATCCCCAACTCTTATATAATAAATAACTCCTGGCAATAGAGTGACTCTCCTTGGATAAGTAGGTTTCCCATACATTTCTAGAGAGTTTGTCAGTTTCATTCAACAAGACATATTAAGTCAAAGTTTACAGTTGTGGGAAATTGGAGAGGGGGGGAGGGAGTAGAAAGTTCTACTTATGGCACACAGGTGAAGCCGAGTCAAGCACCCTCTGGGTCTCAGTAGAGAGAACTGTCGGAGTTGAGAAGACTGAAGGGGGATGCTGGGAACCTCTTCTTGATTTGAGGCCTCGTGATGCCAACTGACGGGAGGCACAAGGTGCTGGCTGACTTCTGTCTGTTCTTGCTGGTGCCCCAACTCAAGAAAGAAAGCTTTTTGGAGATTTTCTTCGTTTTATCAGTTTTGTCATCATCACCCTCGATGGCTAAGCAGATCATGGAGTAGGTTTTCTGCATTCCCACAGAGTACGTGGCACACTTGTTATGCTGTCCAGAGAAAGGGAAGGAAAGAGTGTTAAAAAGCCCTGATTGGGGCTGGAGCAATAGCACAGCGGGTAGGGCGTTTGCCTTGCACGCGGCCGAGCCGGGTTCGATTCCCAGCATCCCATATGGTCCCCCGAGCACCGCCAGGAGTAATTCCTGAGTGCATGAGCCAGGAGCAACCCCTGTGCATCGCCGGGAGTGACCCCCCAAAAAAAGAAAAAAAAAGCACCCTAATTGCTTAGAAATGATCATGACATGGGTGCCGGAGCAATAGTCCAGCGGGGAGGGTGTTTGCCTTGCACACTGCCAACCCCGGGTTCAATCCCCGGCATCCCATATGGTTCCCTGAGCACTGCCAGGAGTAATTCCTGAGTGCAAAGCCAGGAGAAAAAAAAAATTCAGTTAGAGTCAGGCGCAGGGATGTGACTCAGTGGTGAGGTACATGACTTCCGGTGCAAGATCTTCTTTCTGAATCCTGGTATCACTCCACATCACCCAGTACAATTCCCAGTTCTAACCAACTTCTGAAACCTGGGTAAGTAATTAGTTGGGCTCTTAAAAACAATTTTTAAATGGCCAGAGAGATGGTACAGCAAGGAAGCCACTTGCCTTGTATGCAGCTGATCTGGCACCCTATAAGTTCCTTCAAGCACCATCAGGAGTAATTCCTGAGCGCAGCCCTGAGCACCACTGAGTATAGCTCCCAAAACAAAAGCAAAAGAATTTTGTTTTGTTGTTGGTTTGGGGTCACTGTCACTGTCCTCCCGTTGTTCACCGATTTGCTCAAGCGGGCCCACGAATGTCTCCATTGTGAGACTTGTTGTTACTGTGTTTGGCATATTGAATACATCACGGGTAGCTTGCCAGGCTTTGCCGTGCGGGCGAGATACTCTCGGTAGCTTGCCAGGCTCTCCGAGAAGGGTGGAGGAATTGAACCCGGCTCAGCCAGGCTGGCTGTGTGCAAGGCTGCGTGCAATGCTCTATCGCTGTGCTATCGGTTTGGGGTTACACCTGTCAGTGATCAGGGGACCATATGGGTTGCCAGGATCAAAACCGGGTCAGTCGCATGCAAGGCAAACACCCTACCCATTGTACTATCTCTCTGGCCCCGAAAGCAAGATCAATTTTAAGGCACATACTCAGAATTTGTGATAAAGGCTAAGGAACCACTATTTTCAACTTTTTAAGTTCTTGATATATTTGAAACAGTAGTACATGAAAATATGTATAGTATGCAGTGGATATCCCTTCCACCTGAGCTAGAAATGCCAGACCTTTCCACTGAGAAACCCTGTTATTCTTGCAGATATTGGTATGTGCATAGTTCACATACCATTTTTTTCACTTCCTGTATCTGGGAAGTCAGTCCACTTAATCAAGTAGTATATAGAACAACTTCGTTCTCTTTTTTTTGTTTTGTTTTGTTTTGCTTTTTGTTTGGGGCCATCCCCTGACTATGCTCAGGGATTACTCCTGGCAGTGTTCAGGGACCCAGATGAGATCTCTGGGTGGGCTGGCTGCTTGCAAAGCAAGCTCCTTACCCACTGTGCTCTCTCTCAGGCCTCTAACTTCATTCTTTTTTTTTTTTTTAAAGACAATAGAGACTCCGTTGTGAAGACACGATTAACTTTTCCCCATTTTGAAAAGCTGGTTAAAATGCACAACAAGGGGACCAGAGAGATAATGCAGCGGGTAGGGAGTTTGTCTTGTATATGGCTGGCCCAGGTTCAATCCCTGGCATCCCATAGGGTCTCCCAGCACCACCAGGAGTAATTCCTGAGTCCAGAGCCTGAGTGCCACTGGGTATGACCCCAAAACCAAACCAAACCAAAAAAAAATGCGCAAGATTTTTCTCTTGAGCCTTTTTTTTTTCTTTTTGGGTCACACCCGGCGATGCTCAGGGGTTACTCCTGGCTCATGCACTTAGGAATTGCTCCTGGCAGTGCTCGGGGGACCATATGGGATGCTGGGAATCGAACCTGCGTTGGCCATGTTGGCTGTGTGCAAGGCAAACGCCCTACCCGCTGTGCTATTGCTCCAGCCCCTCTTGAGCCATTTTTAAGTGTCATTTTAGTGGCCTTAACTACATTCACATTGTTGTAAAACCATCCTGACTATTCCTCAGATTCTCCAAGAGAATCTCCATACCTGTTAAATACTATTAGTCCTTTTGGATTTTTTTTTTTTAGACCCCACTTGATCGTGCTCAGAGCTTATTCCTGGCTCTGTGCTCAAGGAGCACTCCTTACGGGGCTCATAATAGGGTGTTGAGGATCAAACCTGATTCAGCCACATGCAAAGCAAGCGCCCTACCCACTGTACTACACTCTGACCCCTACCATCATTCATTTTTAAAGAGACTCAATCTGAAGAAACTTGTTTTCTAGACCTTTCCATGTGGATCATCACTCCTCAGGTCTGCTAACACCGAAGGATTTTTGAGCCCAGTGTTTATTGAGCATCTACTATGGTCTGAGCACCAGGGTCAGGCCATTTATGTAATTATCCATACAGCATTTATAAAGATATACATCTCGAGATACGATAACTTCTAAGAGAGATTCGATGCAGTCATCCACTTTTACAAAAAGCCCCTCTGGAGTGCGGCTGCCTCTCCCTTTCCTATAAAACTACCTATTAATCCTCCCATGCTGTACAGGACTCAGACTATCATTAAGACAATAATAAAAACAATCCCGGAGGTAGACTTTTGAGCTGCTTAGAGCCTTTGTGCTTTGTTATAACCACTCCCTTCTAAGCACCCTCAATTCTCTTCCACGCTCCTCTGGCAAAATGTCAGCTCCAGTTAAACTCAGCCGCCTTCACCTCTCCTGGCCCGCCCCCAAACAGCTGCACCTTGCCCGGGGATATTTAGCTATTTAGTGAGCTGACTCGCTTTCCTTGAAATTCCAGCCCTGACCCAGGGCACCCATCCTTGGCCCTCCCGCCATTTCCCCGTTTCCCCGAGTATCTGCTTTCATTTTCTCCTAGACAACATCCCCGAGCAGCTCACTTGCGGCCTGATACTAAATTGTGTCTAATCTCCAAATACTGGCTCCAGCCTCTTCCCGAGCAATCCCCTCCTGGCTGCCCACCTCTCTTCCCTGGCCGTGGGCAATGCCCACACCTTCTTTGAAAAGCCTTCCTGGGTCCCAGGGCATCCCCAGAGGCCAGCCTAAGGCACCACCACCTCTTCCCTCCCATTCACTTCTTGCAATCCTCATTCTGCGTCCTCCCCACCTCTGGTCACTCCTCCAATCTTCCTGGGACAGCTTCCGGTCACTCTCAAAGCTTCCTTCAGCACAGGCTGAAGGGAAGCCCTGCACCAGGCTGACTCTTCCATCACCCGGAAAGGCAAACAGGCCCTGTGAGGGTACTGACCCAGAGGTCACATAACTTGTTAATAACAGGGCTTGACTCCAACTATTTGATTTCTATCCTGGGACTCTTTCCACTCCATCAATAATATCCGAAATGTGCCCTGCAGGGGGTAAGTATTCAGCTGGAGAGCAATGGGCTTTAGTCCCTATTTGATTTTACTGGAAGGAAAGACAGATAGTGGGGCCGGAGTGATAGTACAGCGGGGAAGGCATTTATTTGCCTTGCATGTGGCCAATCTGGGTTCGATCCCCGGGATCCCATGTGGTCCCCTGAGTACTGACAGGAGTAATTCCTGGATGCAGAATCAGGAGTAATCCCTGAGTATCTCCAGGTGGGATCCAGAAATCCCGCCCCCTCCCCCCCCCCAAAAAAAAACCCTCTAGGAATATAGCTCAACAACACACATGCCAGGCATGCATAAGAATTGAATGGGATACTCAACACCATAAAATATATATATATATATATATATTTAATTTGGCACAGAAAGTTTAAAAATCACCTGACGGCAGCTAGAAAGATAGTACAGTGGGTAGGGAGGGCACTTGCCTTGCTTGTGGCTCACCCCAGTTTCATCCCTGGCACTGTTTATGGCCCCAGAGCATTGCCAGAAGTGACCCCCAAGTAAAAAGGTAAACAGCCAGGAACAGCCTCTAAACACCACCAGGTGTGGGCCAAACCCTGCAGAGCCAAAATACATAAATAAATATCATCTCACTGCTGACTTCTCTGATGATCCACTGCCTGTTGTCTGGCTGGATGTTGGAGCTTGCAGGAAGCATTCCCCAAACAAGTATACACAACAGGGGCCAGAAAAATAGTACAACAGACTGGGCACTTGCCTTGCCTGCCTCCAATCCAGGTTCAATCCCCGGCATCCCATATGGTGCCCTGAGCCCCACCAGGAGTGATCCCTGAGCACAGAGCCAGGAGTAAGCCCTGAGCACCGCCAGGGTAGCCCCCCCAAACGAAAACAAACAAAAGACAGGCCCCTCTCTTTCCAGTCCCAGGACCATCACTGGCCTGCACACTTGGTGCCCCTCTGCCAGCGTCCAGGCAGCAACCTCCCCACCCCCAAGTCACATCCCAGCCCCAGAGACTCCACAGCTTCCCAGCTCACACCCCTGATGCCAGCCTGCCCCTGCCCTGGCATTAGGTTCCTGCTGGAAAACCCTCCGTTTATTCCTCTGGCAGGACCCGTGCACCTGTGCACCCACTCCTTTCCTGAGGTTGGAGGGGGCCGGTGCCCCTCGTCACACGAGCCTGGGCCAGCCCCACCCCAAGGCGTCTCTCGAGGCCCCAGCCATTCTACCGTGTCACACCAGTTTTCTCTCCAGCACTTATCAAAATCACAGTCACCTGATTGCTGAGTGAGTGCCAGCCTGGCAGGCACAGGGACCTTATCTGCCTAGCTCTAGTTGCCACTACGACACCTAAGACAGGGCTGGCACAGTGTGGCACCATCCATGCTTGTGGGATGCATGCATGAGCCCCGTGGCACAGGGCGTGTGCAGGTGCGTTAGGTGTGGCTGACTCAGGAGTGTGTGGGCAACATTCCTCAGGAGAACTCTGCACCCACGGGCCTGCCCTGGCATCAGACACTTCCCAGGGCGCCCTGGGACGTGGTCAGCACTGACACGTGGAGCGGGCTGCTCGCGTGGGGCCTCGCCTTGGCTGGACCCTGGGTATTTTTTCTAAGCCATGAGGATGCAGTACTTTCGCAATACAAGCAAGTTGAAGCAGAAAAATCAAGCAACTTGTCATTTTTATCCATAACAGTGGGGTTTAGCCCAGGATCTGCGAAATGGTTCCCATCCACTGAAATGTCCTACTGGCCACAAACACACACAAACACACACACACCCCTCCCTCCCCATTGCTCCATTGCTGCTGAACTGGAAGTACTTTCTAATCTACACACACACACACACACACACACACACACACACACACACCCCTCCCTCCCCATTGCTGCTGAACTGGAAGTACTTTCTAATCTCTACACACACACACACACACACACACACACACACACACACCCCTCCCTCCCCATTGCTGCTGAACTGGAAGTACTTTCTAATCTCTACACACACACACACACACACACTACACACACACACACACACACACACACACATACACCCCTCCCTCCCCATTGCTGCTGAACTGGAAGTACTTTCTAATCTCTACACACACACACACACACACACACACACACACACACACACACCCCTCCCTCCCCATTGCTGCTGAACTGGAAGTACTTTCTAATCTCTACACACACACACACACACACACACACACACACACACACACACACACACCTCCCTCCCCATTGCTGCTGAACTGGAAGTACTTTCTAATCTCTACACACACACACACACACACACACACACACACTACACACACACACACACACACACACACACACACACACACACACACCTCCCTTCCCATTGCTGCTGAACTGGAAGTACTTTCTAATCTACACACACACACACACACACACACCCCTCCCTCCCCATTGCTGCTGAACTGGAAGTACTTTCTCATCTCTAATCACCTGTCTGTAGACTGCTACTGGTCTGCAGGTGTGTGAGGAGAGGAAACCACGGAAATTAAAAAAAAAATAAAAACAATACAACATAAGTGCTGGGCCATAGCGGCAGTATGGCGAGTGGGAAGAGCACTTGCCTTGCACATGGATGACCCAGATTTGATTCCTGGCACCACATGTGGTTCCCCTGAGCACCGCCAGGAGTGATCCCTGAGCGCAGAGCCAGGAGGAACCCCTGAGCATTGCCGGGTGTGACCCAGAAAGACAAAAAAAATAAAATAAAATAAATAAACAGGAGTTTCCCCAGCAACACGTGGTCCAGGTGAGTGCATCACAGTGATGAGGCACTTGGGTGTCAGTGGCAGGAGGCAGGGGGCGGAGGGTCAGGCATAGATATCTGGGGTAGGATCCATCCCCCCATCCCACCCCATATTTCCACCCCGTCGGCCAGCGCTCACCAAGGAGGAGGTGGAGTCCTGAACGCTCACGACCTTCATGTCGATGTCGGCCTCGCCACACTTCTTGAGGAGGTCCATCACCTCGCTCACCGTCAGCCACTTGCAGTCCACGTCTTGGACGGACACGATGTAATCACCCTCCCTGGTCCCCGCCAGCTACGAAAGGTGGTTGAAAGAAGGTCAACATGTGTGTTTATCCAAACCCCCTAATCCGCTCCCGGCAGAGCTGCTGAGAAGCCAAACCGGCCCTTCTTGGGCAGGAGATGCTCAGCTTTGACTCATGTTTTGAACACAGGAGGCCTCTGGCTCCATTTTCAGCACCTCGGGGTCCCCGAAGCACTGATGGGAGTGATCCCTGAGCTGGGAGTAGCTCCTGAGCTCCACTGGGTGTGGTCCCAAAACCCAAATGGAAAAAGGAAAGTTGACCTTTAACTCCAGGTAGGGGCAGTCACACCAAGTCTGGCTTTATGTATAAAGGACCCCTAAACACCTGGCCAAGGGTGTGTGTCTTCTCTGCATGACCCCTGAAAGCTGCAAGGGAGCATGGCTGTGTCCCCAGGCCAGGAGGGGTGCACTTACCGCTGCAGAGCAGTAGGGGTCCAGGCAGTGGACCTGAACAGGGGCGTTTCCCTTCAAGGTGAACCCCAAATCCCCTTCTTCTGCAGCGAAGTGGACATTTCGAGGAAGTGTCCATCTCTTGTTGGCAGAGAACACCGAAGGGGGGCCCTGTGGGACAGAACAGTGTCATGTGTAGTCACCAAATGCTACACCAGAGACTTGAAGGACAAAGAAAACATTGTCAGAGTGTTTCCTTAGAGAAACTCTTTGATGATTTCACAGCCCGCTCTGAGAACACAGCCAGCCTGGGATGACAGTTGGCAGCCGTCACGCATTCTCTCTAAACAACTTATAGGTTCACATAGTTATCTTCAAAAAAAGGATCGTCATTCAAAGCATCCAATATACGAAACCCATAAACATCAACACAACTGTAACCACAGTACCTTGACTATATTAAGATTTTTACAAAGCTTTTCTAGCCCTGGCATCTTGGGGGTCCCAAGCACTGCCAGGAACAGTCCCAGGCACCACTAGGCATGGCACTCTCAGAATTAAAAATAAATGTAACAGGGGCCACAGAGGGAGACAAAGTACAGTTGGTGTACACTTGCCTGGCACATGGCCGACCCAGGGTTGATCCCCAACATCCCATATGGTCCCCCGAGCCCTGTCAGGGGTGATCCCTGAGCACAAAACCAGGAGTAAGCTCTCAGCACCACTGGGCGGGGGGGGGGGGGGCACAAAAACAGGCTGGAGAGATAGTCCAGTGGGTAAAGCACTCATCTGGCATTCAGTTGACCCAGGTTCAACCCCCAGCATTCCACATGGTTCCCTGAGCCCTGCCAAGAGTGATCCCTGCCTACAGAGCCAGGAGTAAACCTTGAGCACTGCTGGGTTTGGTAAAAACAAACAAACAAAAACCATAAGTAACTTTCTTATGGTTAGCTTTCTTAATATTCTTACAATTGAGTTGTTACAAAGTAAGAGATCAAGTTACCAGCTTCTGGAAGAAGTCCGTGACTTCCACCTTGGAGAACTGTGGAGGGACAATTTCAACCTCACGCTCAGTTTTAGCTGGAAAAGAAGAGGAAGGAGAAGCGTCAGCATTCCTGCCAAGGGTCACGGGGTGGGGTAGGGGTGGGGTTGGATCAATAGCACAGCGAGGAGGGCGTTTGCCTTGCACACGGCAGACCCAAATTCAATCCCCAGCATCCCATATGGTCTCCCGAGCACCACCAGGAGTAACCCTTGAGCATCGCTAGGTGTGACCCAAAAAAGAAAAAAAAAGTCACAGGGGGACGCTCAGGCCACCGTCTCTGAAGGGCCGAAGGGCAGAGGTTGTCCGTTCCTGTCTCCTCAGTGGGGAGACAGTGCAGGAGATGGACAGGCCTGCCCTCAAGACCATGGACTGCACAGGGGACCTGCTAGGACCCACTGGCTGGGGCAAGTGGACACACCATCCCGAGAGCTTCAGGCATAGGGTTTTCGGCTCTTTCACACTGGACTGATCCCGGCTGTGGGCTGGGAACTCCCGTCCCGGCTGCCTTCTGCTGGCCCTCAGGAAGCTACTGGGGGTGGGGGTGGAAGGATGGGGCCTCGGCACAGGCCGGGGAAGCTGTGCTTTCCACTCTCTCCCTCTGGGTGGAGAAGACTGAGGGCCACACCCGCAGGGCTCAGGGGTCACTCCGGGGCAGGCCACGCAGTGCCGAGACTCAAGCCAGGGGATGAGTCGGGGTCAGCCACGTGTGAGGCGGGCACCTCGACCACGCCCCATCCTCCACGTGCTGCCCAGACTGGGGGAGGGGGTCTGCAAAGAGTCACTGCAGTCGGCCTGTCGGGGGATATTGCGCGAGACAGGTGAACAGAAACCCGGGGGGACAGCGCACTCTTCTTCCCCGAGGAGCCTCCGGGGTCTTTGGATCCCATCACAGGGTAGGTACCAGGACCACCACCCTCAACTCGACTCCACAGGAGCCCCCCCTGCACGAGCCACAGCACACACCACAGCAGAGCTCACAGCCCAGAGCACTCACACGGCACACCACACCACACACCACAGCACATGGCACACACCACCGCACACACCACATACCACAGAACACATCACAGCCCAGAGCACTCACACGGCACACCACACCACACACCACAGCACACACCACAGCACATGGCACCCACCACAGCACACACCACATACCACAGCACGTGGCACAGAGCACCACACACCTCAGCACACATACACCCCACAGCACACCACAAACCACAACACACAGCACACACCACAACACATGACACACACACCACACCCTATATACCACAGCACACCACACACCACATACCACAGCACACCACACATAATACACCACACAGCATACTACACACAACACAGCAGGAGCACACCAAACACCACACCACACAGCACACACCACATCCCACACCCCACCACACACCACACCGCATAACACACCACATACACAGCACACTACTCACTTGAAAACCACACACTGTACACAGCACAGCACAGCCCACACTCATACCAAACACCACTGCACATCACAATACACACATGGCACACAGCACACATCACATACCACAGCACACACCACATATGCCACACACACGCACACACACGCACACACGCACACTAGATTTCAAAGAATTTTTGCTGCTATGGTAGAACTTTGCCCTGAAGCTCCTGGCCTCCGTAGCTGCACCAGGAAAACAGTGACTTTGCATCTGGCTTTCCAGATGCACCAGAGGTGAGACAGGGAGAGCCAAGGGCAGCTGCCCTGCGGCAGAGGGCAGCGGGCTGAGGGGCGCTGGGCAGACCTGGACAGGAAAGCTCACAAGGGGGGCGGGGGAACTCCTGAGTAGGGACGGTGGCCTGAATTCCAGGAGGCTGTGAAACTCAGAAGCGGCAAACCAGGGGCGCTGGAGGATATGGACGGGCCCAGCCGGCTGGAGCAGGGGCAGTGCCCAGGGCAGCAGGACCCGAGAGAGCAGGTGGAGGTGGGGGGGGGGGGTCAGAGCCGACAGCAGAGGGGGGGTGAACAGGGCGAGGTACGGGAAGGAGACACGGTGTGGGGAAAGAGCCGTGCTCGGCGCACTGGGGGGCCAGCATCCTCCCGCCCGCGGCCCCACCACTCACGCAGGACATCGGGCGCCAGGCTCAGGGTCAGCAGGTCGTCGACCTCCTGGTGCTGCGCGTACTTGAGCCGGGAGCGCTGGTGGGCGCCCGTCAGCACGGCCTGCAGCATGTCGATGGGGCGCAGCTTCCGGCACAGCGTGGCCGCGCGCACGGACTCCTCGTGCAGGCTCACGGCGCGGAGCAGGTGGGCCTTGCCTGCGGGCGACAGCGGTGCCCCGTGAGCCCCACGCCGCACCCGGGGAGCTGCGGGCGTGGGCTGAGCACCCGGGAAGGGGACGCTCGCCCCTGCCCCCTTACACCAAGCGGGGGGGTGGGGTGCGCATGCACCGATTCAGCATCCCGCCTGCAAACGCTAAGCTGAGGCACCCGGCACAGGGAGGCCTCTCCGGGTCCACATGCTTGAAGGCAGGGCAAAGGAGACAGGTCGTGCCGTGAATCTGGTGACCTGAGAGTCACAGGGGCCGGTAAAATGGCAAGAGATGCTGGGAGAAGGGGCCAGCGCGGACAGGATAGTACAGTGGGTAGGGTGTTTCCCTTGCATGCGATGTGGCTGACCCCTGTTGGATCCCTGGCCTCCCATATGGTCCCCAGAGCACTGCCAGGAGTCATTCCTGAGTGCATAGCCAGGAGTAACCCCTGACACTGCCTGTGTGACCCCAAAAAGCAAAAAGAGAAATAAGATGTGGCGGGGGGGGGGGGGGGGGGGGGGACCGAGAGGAGGGGTGGGGGGAGAGAGAGAGATTGATTCTGGGAGCAGGACTCATCAGGAAAGGTCTCTGTGCCCGTAACTGCTGAGCAAACCCCTGAAAGACTGAGGAAGAGGCCATCGACTCTGATGGAAGGAAGAACATTCTGCTTCTTTGTTTGGCTTTATTTTTTTTCTCTCTCTCTTCTTTTCTTTTTTTGACCACATCGAGCTAGGTTCAGGATTTACTCCCGGCTCTGTGCTCAGGGATCACTCCTGGCTGTGCTCAGGAGACCCTATGGAATGCCAGGGACGAAACCTGGGTCAGCTGTGTGGAAGGCAAAGGACTTACCCACTCTACTATCTCTCCAGCCTGACAGAAGAAATGCCAAGCACAGAGGCCCTGGGCTAAAGCTTGCCTGCGTTCAAGGACAAGGGGCAAGGCCAAGGAGCAAGCTCCAAGGGCCAAGCGCATACTTCACAGGAGGCCCCAGATTCCATCCTCCAGCACTGTGGGGTTTCTTGAGCACAAGAAGGAAAGACCCCCCCCCCCCCCCCCCGAGTAATGAGCCGAGAGTATTTGCTGAGCACTGCTGGGACCAACCAAACGCCAACCCACAGAGAGTGAGGTCCAGAGAAGCGGGTGCAGAGGCAGACAGAGAAGATGGAGGGCCAGGCGTGTTCCACCTGGCAGGTGCAGGGGACGACCCTCCGCTCCTGCTCTGGGGGCACGGAGCAGGATTAGCCATCGGAGGCCAGGCCTGATCTGGCCAAGAGGAAACAGGGAGACTGGCAGGGAGGCCACCAAGAAGCAGCAAGCACAGGAGCAGGTCGCCCCCCGGGAGCACCTTCCTGCAGACGTGAGCACAGAAGGTCAGAGGCGGTGTGGCCTCAGGTGTTTGCTGGGGGGCTGCTCGTCAGATAAGGGCTGAGAAAGACAGACAAGAACAGGATCTGGTCCGTGTGTGTCGTCTGTGATCTGAGGAAACAGCAGAGGTACCACAGAGGTCGGGGAATATGCGGGAAATAGAAGCACTGGGTTCTTGTGAGTGTGTGTGTGTGTGTGTGTGTGTGTGTGTGTGTGTTTGTGTTTGTGTGTGTGTGTTTGGTGGGGGCGGATGGGGAGGGGTGTGAATTCAGGTTCACACTTGGCAAAAGAGAAGCAGGAAGACCTGGCTGAGATCAGGCCAAGACAATTGTCTCAGCAGGGGCAGAAGGGATGAACAGACGCCTCACCCTGCCGCGGGGGCGGGGGGTGGGGGGGTGGGTCACCCCCAGGTCTCTCTAGACATTGCTCAGAGCTCTGGCTATGAACCCAGGAGAATCCAGAGAGGCTTATGGGCTTCCAAATCCAAGAGGTCTTTGAGGACCCGGGTTTGTGGGCATGCCGGGGTGGGGGGTGGGGGGGGGAGGGTAGAGAGGGACCAGGTGACACACACCTAGCTGCCGGCGCTGATGGGCATTCTTCAGTGTGGCCAAGGGCGTCAGCCCCTCTGGCATGTGGTCGTAGAGCTGCGACAGGCACTTCTCCTGGTGATCTTCGTCCATGCCCGGCTTCACTGCAATAAGAACCAGGGGTCACACCCGTCACATCCTCCCCCGTGGCCACAGAGTCTCTTATAATAGGCTCGTTTCATTTTATTTTATTTTTTCAAATTTTTTGCTTCATTTTGTGGGGTGGGGGGACTCCCCAGCAATACTGGGGATCTCAGGGTTCATTCTCACAATACTCTGGCTGGTGATCAGCCTTGAGAACTACTACATGTGGACCCCCTTCCAAAAAGAAAATAAACTCAAGAGTACAAAAAAACTTATTAAGATACACACGATTTTAATATAACCTGGAGATATCAAAAAAAAAAATCTGTGGCTCCTGGCTGAACTCTACAAGAAGAAGAAAACACCCAACCCCATCAGAAAATGGGGCGAGGAAATGAACAGAAACTTTCTCAAAGAAGAAATCTGAATAGCCAAAAGGCACATGAAAAAATGCTCTTCATCACTAATCATCAGGGAGATGCAGATCGAAACAACAATGAGATATCATCTCACACCACAGAGACTGGCCCACATCCAAAAGAAAAGCAATCAGTATTGGCATGGATGTGGGGAGAAAGGGACTCTCCTTGACTGCTGGCGGTAATGCCGACTGGTTCAGCCCTTTTGGAAGACAGTATGGACGATTCTCAAAAAATTAGAAATTGAGCTCCCATTTGACCCAGCAATACCACTTCTGAGAATATATCCCAGAGATGCAAAAAAGTATAGTAGAAATGTCATCTGCACTTGTATGTTCATTGCAGCACTGTTTACAATAGCCAGAATCTGGAAAAAAACTGAGTGCCCAAGAACAGATGACTGGTTAAAGAAACTTTGGTACATCAACACAATGGAATACTATGCAGCTGTCAGAAAAGATGAAGTCATGAAATTTGCATGTAGGTGGATCAACATGGAAAGTATCATGTTCCCAAGTGAAAGGAGTCAGAAAGAGAGGGACAAACATAGAAAGATTACACTCACTTCTGAAATATAAAGTAACAGGATGGGAAACTGACTCCCAAGAATAGTAGAGATAAGTACCAGAAGGATTGTCCCACGGCTTGGAAGCCAGCCTCACATGCGAGGGGAAAAGGCAGCTCAGATAGAGAAGGGACCACCAAGTGAAAGGTGCTAGGAGGGCCCACTACAAATGGGAGATGCGTGCTGAAAGTAGATTATAGACCGAACATGATGGCCACTTGCTACCTCTACTACAAACCACAACACCCAAAAGGAGAGAGAGAGCAAAAGGTGGGGTGGGGGTGGTGGGAGGGATACTGGGATCATTGGTGGTGGAGAATGGGCACTGGTGGAGGAATGGGCACTCAATCACTGTATGACTGAAACGCAAGCATAAAAGTTTGTAATTCGGTAACTGTACCTCACGGTGGTTCATTAATAAAAAATTATTTTTAAAAAAATCTGTGGCTCTTTGGTGAACAAATACCAGTTTCTTCTGGCTTCAGCCTCCAGTGTGGCCCTGCAGAGCAGTTCCTCGTCCCTGCCTATTTTTCATTTGGGTGCTTGGGATTCTGCCAAGTGGTGCTGAGAAAAGGCAGGCACTCCCCGGGGGACCCTTAGCCATTGGGCCTTCAGTTTCGTGCTGGCGCCCAAGGACATGATGCTGTTTGGGCCCGTGGAGCTAGGAATGCCTGGGCGACCCCAGCTGTGTGGGGACCTCCAAGGCTATACCAGGAGATGCTGAGGGGACCGTGTACTGCCAAAATCAAACCCCAGTTGGGCGCATGTCTACCCTGTACTACCTTCCGGCCCTAATTCCTGTAATTATTTAAAATCTTCATCATCGAACTAGGGGAGAAGGCAGCTGGGATAGAGAAAGGATCACAAAGTCAATGATGGTTGGAGGGATCGCTTGGGATGGGAGATGTGTGCTGAAAGTAGATAAAGGACCAAATGCAATGGCCTCTCAATATATGTATTGCAAACCATAATGCCCATAAGTAGAGAGATAGAGTATGGGGGAAATTGTAGGCCATAGAGGCAGGGGAGGGGTAGTACGAGGAGGAGGAAGGGGGGGGGGGGAAACTGAGGACATTGGTGGTGGAGAATGTGCACTGGTGGAGGAATGGGTGTTCGATCATTGTACGGCTGAAACTCAAACATGAAAGCTTTGTAAATGTAGCTCACGATGATTCAATTAAAAAAAAAAAGACCATTCTAGCTCTAAAATAAAATGATTGCAAAGAAAAATAAAATCTTCATCATCATGGATGATGATGATGATGATGATTAGCATAAACACACTCAATTCCTTATATTTCAATGTTATCTTGATCCCTGAGTACTGGGGGTACTTCCCTTAGATCCTGAGCCCAAAGCAAGTGCCCGCCACCAGTTCTACACTCCCCGTGAAAACAGTTCCCTGAAGAACTGTCTGCTCTGGGCCGAATGAATGGGCTCCCTCTTCTGCCCCCTAATTAAAGCCTAGCCTGTGTGCCAGTTGCCAGGGCCAACCAATAAACCCCCTCCGCTCCCCATCTGCCCCCAGCCTGGGCATCAAACGCTGCTCCCACCGCCCAGTGCCTCTGGGAGGCCCCAAGCCCAGCCCACACGCAGCTCCCCCCATGCCACCCCCCCCGTCACCCCCACCCTTCACGGCCCCCCGTCTTACACTGGTGGTCGATGAGGAGGGTGGCGCTGAAGTAGTGGGCCAGGGCCCCGTAGTGATACGCCTTCACGCTGGCCAGGCTGGCCCAGGAGTAGGGGATGTTCTCCTTCACTGGTTCCTGGCTCATGGCCGCGTGCAGCCGCTCGTACACCTCTCCCACCTGCAACAGCAGTGGGCACGATGGGCACAGGCCCCGGCCACAGCCTCTCCCCACCGGCGGCAGCCCTAGCCTGAGAAGGCTCCCCAGTTCCGGGGCCACGGCCAGGGTGTGCAACGCTCACGGTGCCAGCGTCACCATGGAGACCAGGCCACTGTCCCTGGGCTGGCTTTTAGGCTCAGCCGCACTCGGACACAGGGATCCATCCTGGAGGTCCTGCCAAGAAAAGGCAGGCAGCCCCGGGGCCCGGGTGGGCACCGTGCCCAGGTCTCAGGGAACTGCGGGGGCCCCACCCCCACTACCCCGAGAGTCACAGGAACTGGGAGGTCTTGGGCTGGAGCCACAAAACAGTGGGTAAAGGCATTTGCCTGGGAGTTGGCTGACCCAGGTTTGATCCGCGGCACCCCAGAGTGAGCCCCACCAGGAGTGATGATTTTTTTTTCTCTTTTCTTTTTGGGTCACACCCAGTGATGCACAGGGGTTACTCCTGGCTCTGCATACAGGAACTACTCCTGGCAGTGCTAGGGGAACCATATGGGATGCTGGGAATCGAACCCGGGTCGGCAGCTATACTATGGCTCTAACCCCAGGAGTGATGATTCTTGAGCACAGAGCCAGGAGACGCCCTGAGCATTGCTGGGTGTGGCCCCCAAACCAAAAATTTTTTTTTTTAAAAAAGGAGGTCTCACCTTGGCAGCCTCCTGAGCCACCTTCACCAGCATGAAGAACTCGTTCTGGATCCTGGGAAGGCAGACTCTCTCAAACACGCACTCTTGGGCCTGGGCGAGCATCATTCTGACCAGCACGCTGAGCATGGCGGGGCTCATGTCATAGCTCGGAGTGTGGGTGAACGTCTCCTTCAGGTAGTTTAAAACCCCTACAAAGGGAAATGTGTTTGCTTTTTAGTTGGGGGCCACGCGCATTTCGCCATGCCACCCCTCAGAAATGCAGAGCGGGTCAGAAGTAAAGCAGAAAATTAGTCTCAGACCATCGTAAAAAAAAAAAAAATCTAATTCTTGGGGCTGGAGAGACAATATAGCAGGTAGGGTACTTGCCTTGTACTCAGCTGACCCAGGTTCCATCCCCAGCATCCCATATGGCCCCCAAGCACTGCCAAGGAGTAATTTCTGAGTGCAGAGCCAGGAGTAACCAAAAAACCAGGAGCAAACAAACAAACAAACAAAAATTCTGATTCTTAGGGTCAGAGAGAGAAAGAGAGGACAATGGGCAGAGCTTGCCTTGCATGCAGCTAACCTGGGTTTAATTCCCAGCATCCCTTATGGTCTCCTGAGCCTGCCAGGAGTGATCCCTGAATGCAGACAAGGAGTTAAGCCCTCAGCATTGCTGGAATTGGTCTCCCATAAATAAACAAACAAACAAACAAACAAAAAGACTGATTCTTCCGAAAAGACATCTCTGCCCTCAGTTCACTGCAGTGGTATTCATAAGAGCCAACATCTGGAAACACCCAAGAGCAGATGACTGAAGTAAAGAAAGACCAAGATAAAGAGTAAAGAAAACCGCAGCACATCTACTTGGTGGAATACGCTCAACTCCAACAGAAAGACAAAATCTTGTAGTTCACTGCGGCATGGATGGAACCCGACAGTACCCTGCTGGGGGAAGTTAGTTGGAAGGGAAGAATAGCCTCTCTCCTATGTGGGGTATAAAGAAGCATAGTAAGGATAACAAATGGCCAAAGGCAACAGAACCTGAGATCTACAGAACTGGGCTTACCAGGAGACAGGGGGTGAGGGAGGATGGGGATAATTGAGGGGAGCTCCCTGAGGCAATGGTAGCGGGAAGAAGATGGACAGTGCGGTGTTAGGACACTGTATCCATGAAACCCTATCACTAACTGTGTAATAAGTCACAGTGACTAAACTAATTTTATTTTTCCAGAAAAATCTGACTCTGGGGCCAAGGATTCTGTACTCAGAGGGTGGAGCACATACACTGCATACAGGAACCCTAGGTTCAGACCTGGGGTGGCACCTCTGGGAGGGCACCCCTGCCCATCAAAAAAAAAAAAAATCTGATTCTTGGTGCTAACAGAATCCAGCAATCCACTGCCAGGTATACACCCCAGAACAGAAACTGGGGCTCCAACTGGTACTTGGACCCACTGTAAGCGTACAGCCAATACCAGTCAAAATTTGGGTGGAAAACAATTCAAAGGTCCATTGGCAGATAAGTAGAATGTAATATGCGCAGACCACAGAATATTTTTCAGCCTTAGAAAGAAAGGACAGGGGCTGAAGCGATAGCACAGCGGGTAGGCCGTTTGCCTTGCAAGCGGCCGACCCGAGTTCATTCCCAGCATCCCAAACGATCCCCCGAGCACCATCAGGAGTAATTCTTGAGTGTATGAGCCAGGAGTAACCCCTGTGCATCACTGGGTGTGACCCAAAAAGAAAAAAAAATGGAAGGACATTCTGAAGACCTCTGCACCACAGACAAGGAAAGTATGCTAAGTGAAGTGAGTCCATCTCAAGGATAGAAACTCGTCTGGTTCCAGAGACACAAGGAATGGGGAGGTGTTTGCCAGAGGGTGGCGGGTGGTGGCGAGTGTCAACACTGCAGCGTGGGCTGCTGAAGTCCTCCAGATGGAGAATTCACAACAGTGTGAACGCACTTTTCCATCAGTGAACTCGTCACACTGAGAGTGGGGAAGACGGTCTCCTGGTCATTGTTAAGTAAATGGTGATTCCTCGTTTTTTAAAAAGCAGGTGCACGGGGTGGGAGGGGAGGGTGCGGGGGGGTGGACTGGAGCAATAATACAGCAGGTAGGGCGTTAGCCTTGCACGTGGCCGACCCGGGTTCGATCCCCAGCATCCCATATGGTCCCCCAAGCACCGCCAGGAGTAATTTCTGAGTGCAGTGCCAGAAATAACCCCTGAGCATCACCAGGTGTGATCCAAAAAGGAAAAAAAGCAGGTGTATGAACATCTGTTTCAAGCAAGAAACAACCTGCCCCAGCCAGCGCTGGTGAGACCTGCGACAAAGGGGAGAAATTCCACAAACGACAGGCATTGGCGGAGGGACAAAGGCCTGGGATGTAACTCAGGAGGCCCTGGACCATGCTCACCCTGACCCCCTGAGTCCCTGGGAAACCAGGCCCCTTCCCACAGGAGTTCAGGAAAGAGCATCTTGGCCTCGGAGCGAATGGAAATTTTCAGACTGCAGCCCTAGGCTGAGTCTTTCACATGCTAGAAAATTAACTGTCCTAATATTAACTGAAGCTCAACCTGGAGGTGTAATAAAATCCCCGCCCAGAATCCCACCAGACAGGTTCCTCTGGTTTCACTGCACAGCCTCGGGAGCCCGCAGGAGGGGGGTGCTCCCTCCCCAGTATGCACCCCACGAGACCACTGACCATGAAGAACTCCCACTGGGAAGTCCCCAGACAGCTGAGCCTGGGAAAGCAAGCGTTCACAGGGAAAGCGACTCCCGGCGGGGAGCAGTTCATTTTCTCAGAATCAGGGATCCCTGCAAACCCAAAAGCAATTCTGTGAATGACCAAGACAAAATCGAATGGGCTTCCTCTTGGCTTCAAGAAGGGGATTAAAAAAAAAAAAAACTCCACAAAGGTGGTCAGCCGAGGGTGGATACCCAGGCGGGTGGGCAGCAGTGAAGGAAGAGTGTGGAGGCCAGCAAGAGGGGTGGGGACTGTGGTCGACCTTCCTCTGAGGCGACTGGACATGGCCCTGCTCCCAGGAGCAATGCAGGACAATGCAGAGCCATGAGCAGTGCTAGGTGCCACTAGGTCGAGGGCAGAGAGGAGCAACCTCAGGTCAGAAACTGGGCAGAACAAGCACGAACGAAAGGCAAGGCCAGTGAGAGGCACGGATGACAGTCCCGTAGGAAGAGAGAGAGAGAGAGAGAGAGAGAGAGAGAGAGAGAGAGAGAGAGAGAGAGAGCAGGGCCTCCCTCCTCCAGGAAACAGACTCTGCCCTACAACAGATTGTGTTGGAAGAAGTGTTTCCTCCCGACCACTCACCTGGAAGAGCTTAACCATTAACCAGAGGATTCCCTGTGTACACGCGCCGTGACCTCAGGGCCAGAGTCAGGAACCAGGCTCCAGGTGGGGCTTTGCAAACTGGGGGTTGGGGGGTGGGGGGACTGACTGTGCCCCGGCGGGCCTGGAGGCTGAGCGTGGGTGTGGGGAGGTGCCAACTGCTAGGGTCTCTGGCTCTGCGTGGCAGCCCTGGCAGACACAAACCTGCTGCTTTCTGAAAGGCATCCACGGCGCTCTCCAGGCCAGCCTGCGTCTGCCGGTTGCACCGGGTGGCGATCTGTGTGTAGAGGGCTCCGATGTTGAACAGGACGCTGGCCTTCTCCAGCAGCAGGTTCTGCTGGTGGACGGGCACCCCGGTGAGGGAGTCGTACCTATGCCAAAGACACGTACTGAGGATACAGGCCCCTCGGCGGGCGCCGGACACACTGCAGTGGGTAGAAGCTGACACACTGGTTTCCTTGACTAAAAGTCAAAGAGGCGCATGCCACGAGGATTTCGTGTCAAAGCAAGAGGAATAAAGGTCAGATTGCACTGGATAAAGACACCCCAATCACAGTCAAAAATGAGGCGCTCGAAGGAGATGTTCTTCAGGTGAGTGGGTGTCCACACAGACGATGGGCTAACCACATAGAAGCAGGATCATCTAGCATTGCAAGGGGACAGACAGCCAAGCCGCGGATAGACATGCAGGCACCGACATGTCTATGGGGGGACAGCCAATCTGCACAGGCCACCTACTGTTCCACGCCAACTAGGTGACGCTCTGGAAAAGGCAAACAATGAAGACAGAAGCATCAGTAGCCGCCCAGGGTCTTAGATGAGGAGCAAAGAGAAGGGAAGAACCGATGGAGCACGTAGGAGGGAAAGGGGGAGTCTTTTGGGAACAGCATAATGGACATTTGTCCCAGCTTACTGGATACTCTCCACCACAAAGAGTGAACTGTATTATTAAGAGTAAACTTAAAAGTGTATTCAAAATTATGCAGACACATTGAGGCAGGCTTGGGTGATGGTCAGGAAAATTGGAGATAATGGTGGTGGAAAGGTGCGATGGTGGTGGCATTGGTGTTGGGATACTGAGTGGAACAAATGAAGGGAAGTGGACACTCTGGTGGAGGGTGTTGAGCACTGTATGCGTGAAACCCTGTCCTGAGTGTCTCATTATAAATCACAAGGCTTCAAACTTTTTTTTTTGTCTTACAAACTTTTTTTTTTTAATTGAAACTCCAGGAGAGGGTCAGAGAGCTAGTACAACGTACGGTGTTTGTCTTGCATGCAGCTGACTCAGGTTCGATCCCTGGTGCTGCATATGGTAACCCTGAGCTCTGCCAGAACTGATCCTTAAGCATAGAACCAGGTGGTAGTCAGGAAAAACTGGAAATAATGGTGGTAGGAAGGTGTAATGGTGGTGGGGTTGGTGTTGGAATACTGAATGGAATAAATCATCTTAAATAACTTTAGAACACTAAAATTAAATTAAAAACAAACAGAAAAACAAACTTTTGCAGAACCTAAACAAATGAATGATCGAAATAACACTAAGATACAGATTTAGACTCTAAGATCACTTTAGCGGGAAATAGGAGGAGGGATGAGGGGAACATAAATCAGTTGCATGACAGAGGATAAATTTTTAATTTTAGCCATAAATTTGATGCACAAGACGCAGATGTTGACTTAGAATTATGACACCTTCAGTTATAACACAGTGTTATTTCAAAAATAAGTCATTCTGGCCTTAATAGAGTAGCCTTAAACGCAGCAGACCTGAACTCAATCCCCAGCACAGCATGGTCCCCCAAGCCCTGAGTGCAACCCTGAGTAAGTGTGCTCCTGCGCCCCTCTCACAAAAAAAAAAAAAAGGTTTTTTTACTGACACCCCAAAACAGTGGACACAGGAGCCAGGAATATTGCTCCATAGTTGGAAGCCCGTCTCATGAGCTGGGGGAGAAGGCAGCTGGAATAGAGAAGGGATCACTAAGACAATGATGGTTGGAGGGACCTTTCGGGATGGGAGATGTGTGCTGAAAGCAGATAAAGGACCAAACGTGATAGCCTCTCAGTATCTGTACTGCAAACCATAATGTCCAAAAGCAGAGAGAGACTAGAGGGGAAACAGTCTGCCACAGAGACAGGGGGAAGGTTGGGATTGGGGGACAGGGGATATTGGGGACATTGGTGGTGGAAAATGCACTGGTGGAGGGATGGGTGTTCGATCACTGTATGACTGAAACTCAAACATGAAAACTTTGTAACTGTATCTAATGCACCATTTTTCAATAGAAAAAAAGATAGCCAAAAAAAATTTTAAATAACAAAAAGTGTGTGTGTGTGTGTGTGTGTGTGTGTGTGTGTGTGTGTGTTCTCCTAAATGAATGACGTGGTTCCTAAGCCTTCATAATTCTTCCTGAGTCTAAAGGGCTCAGGATTTGCTCCCATGGCCACCTGAGGTGCAGCTTCCTAAGCCTTTTGCCCTCACCTAGGGCATCTGCAGGAAAGGAGCCCTGCCTCCAATGGGAAGGCGGCCCCCTGAGGTGGCGAGCCAGCAGGGGCTGGGCTGAACATCCTGTCCTTTCACCTGCACGCAGGGAGCAGCTATGGTAACAGCACGAAGCAGCACGCAGCCTCGGAAATACCGAGCATCAAAGATGCTGCTGCTACTACAGGATCCACGTCTGCCTGGCGCCCCCTGGTCCAGAACCTGCTTCCCACCCCTTCCAGCTGGGCAAGCCTCGCTTCTGGTAAGTTCCACCTCAGAACCCCGTGACTCCCCAGCGACCACCCGGGGCATAAAGAAACGTCTCTGCTCAGCTCACTGGGTCCGGGAAGCCAGGTCGGTGAGCGCTCTGTTCCCTCTGTACCTATAAGCAGGGTTTCTCGCGAGCGGAGAGCGGGGGTTCCGGGCTCGGCACCTACCAGGTAAACAGGATGCCCATGTGGCGGCTGGGTGGGCAGAAGCGGCTCTCGATGAAGCCCAGCTGGATGAAGTAACCCATCAGCATCTCCACCCCGGCCTCATCCCGGCTGGGGGTCCTGCAGGCCTATGAGGAAAGCAAACCCCCCAAGGGTTAGGGGGGGCAAGCGGCAGAGACGCAGCCACAAGCTGGGTCTGCAGATCGTGGGGCTCACTGTGCACTGAGCACTCGGGAGGGGCAGAAGAGCTGATGGGCAGGTGCAGGAGGACCAGGGTCAAGCCCTGGGGTACCTCCCCGGACCTGCCCCGCTCTCTGCCTTTCTCAGATGCTCATGTACAAGGGAATGGAAAACTCCCGCCAGCCCCCGGGGAAATTCCGCCGGATGCCCAGTGCGACGGGGATATTCTGCCAGCGCTACCTGTCTGAGATCCATGAGATCTGCGATCTCATCGTCATAGTCCGAGCTGTCTTCACTGTAATGCTCCAGGATGAAGTCCTGGAAGAAAAAGGAGGCGAGCAGTTGTAGGGTGCGATTCAAAATCAAATAGGCAAAACAGTTACGTCCATTCTGCCTCTCCCACTTGAAAAGGGGCCGAACAGATAGGACAGAGTTAAGGCGCTTACCTTGCACATGGGCAACCCTGATTCGGGTTCCCAGAGCAAAGCCAGGAGTGACCCCGGAGCCGAGAATCAAGAATAAGTCTTGAGCCCTGTGACCACAAACCCCCAAGCCAAACCAAAACACACATAAAATATCCCGAGATGGCATACACTAGAGAATTTCTGAGTGGTGGGGCTTGTTTTCCTGATGGAAAATTAATTTTTCATTTAAAAATGTGTTTGGGGCCAGGCATCAGGCTCAGCTGGCAGCACATGTCTTGCGTGTGTGGGACCCCAGAACTGATTCTCAGATTCTCAAACAAACAAACAAAATGGCTTGGGGGGGGACCTAGGGAGGGCTCGGTGGCACAGTTCAAGGGGAAGGCACATGAAGGCCACTGTTCAATCCTGGAACTTCTCAGGCCTGGGTGGCTCGGCTGCTGGGGATCCCCAGCACCCCAACAAAGCGAGTGGCATCCAGTAAGCACCCCAACCACTGCGGGGAGCACCACAACCAATTATGAGTCCACACCCACCCATCATCACAGAAACAACAAAGGGAAGGGGGACGGTCTTTGCAACACCTTTCTCTGGCTGACAACACATGGATATCGTAGATACTCTGGGGCTCAACCTTCACTCTCTGAAATACCCTCAGTTTCCGGCACGGGCATGACTGGCTAAGCAACTCCAGTCTGGGGACAGGCTCTTTGCCCCACCAGCCTGAGGCCTCTCCACAGCCAACGGACCAGCCGATGAGGACTTTGAGCATGGCCACAGGACCCTCCCTGAGGTGCACTACTCATGGCTCTCAGGCCACGTTAATGCAAAACAACGATCCTTCCCTGTGGGGCTTTCAGAGTATAGGAGTGTGTGTGTTTGGGTAGGGGGAAGGGGCGGGGAGGAGTGTGTATGTGTGTGTGTGTGTGTGCAAGTATATATGTGTGCGTGTGTGACCAAATGTGTGGGTGTGAATATGGATGTGAGTATGAGTGTTTATATGTGTGAGAGTGTGGGGTATGTGTGTGTATGTGGGTGTGTGTGGGGGGGAGTGTGAGTGTGAGAGGGTTATGGAAGTGTGGGTGTGTGAGGGTGTAGGTGTGTGTGTGTGGGTGTGAGTGTGGGAGGGTATGTGAGTGTGTGTGGAAATGTGGGTGTGTGTGAAGGGGAGTGTGTGAGTTTGTGGAAGTATTTGTGTGTGAGCGTGGGAGAGTATGTGGGTGTACATGGAAATGTGTGTGTGTGTGAGTGTGAGGGAGTGTGTGAGTGTGCGTGGAAGTGCGGGAGAATATGGGAGTGTATGTGGAAGTGTGTGAGAGTGTGGGTGGCTGTGTGAGTATAGGAGTGTGTGTGTAAGTGTGGGGGTGTGTGGGAGTGTGGGAGAATATGGGAGTGTATATGGAAGTGTGGGTGGGTGTGTGAGCATGGGAGTGTGGGAGTGTGGGAGTGTGGGTGGGAATGTGTGTGTATCCGGGCCACACCTGGCAGCGTTGATGGCTCATCCCTGGTTCTGCGCTCCACTGGGATATTGAATATAGTACAGGAGATTTGCTGACTGTAAGGAAAATGCCTCAGCCCTTGTACTATCTCTCCGCCCCTCCTCCTTCTTTGTGTGAACTCAGTGAAAACACACACACACACACACACACACCTTCATCTTACAAAATCAGGATTGTTCTGAATGGCGACACAACTTTGCTTTGTTTCTTTTTTGTAAACTGGCAATCGACCAAACGTTTTCATGTGCCATGAAACATTCTAGGACACGCGCCTTAACGGTTATGCAATCCTCCAGTCATGAATGTGCCATTCATCCATCCAGGTGCCAGCCGGTGTGCCCTGTGACATTCTCTACCCCCTTCAACTGCGCTTGTGAGTCACTTCTAGACTTTTGCAACGAAAGAGAACGCTGGGCCGGCATCTCTGACTGGCTCTAGCCATCATCCCGGGATGTCCTGCTGGGTCCAAACACATGTGGCAGGTACCTTTGGCCTTTGAATGAGGTGACAGTTACCCAGCCTTTCCTTGCATTTTGTGATGCTGTCTCAGATTTTCCTCCCCTTGTAGAGTAGCATTTGTGAAGTCTGAAATGGTTTTCAAAGGCGATGAACAGTGACAAGAGTTAAGGTGACAGGGCTGAAGAGACAGTACAGTGGGTAGGGTTCTTGCCTTGCACATAAGCCACCCGGCTTTGATCCCTGGCACCACAGATGGTGCCCTGAGCACTGTCAAGAGTGATCCCTGAACACTGGCCCCAACCACAAACAAGCCAAAAAATAAGAGTTAAAGTGAGGACAACCTGGAGGAAAGCCCACCCAGGGCTCCTCCATTGGCATCCGGAGAACAGGGAGAAAGCCCACGACTGGGACACGCCCAAGGAGCAGTGAATATGCTGAGCAGACTGGCACATTGTTCTAGAAACTTCTACTGCCACCCAGCAAACAATTCTGTAACAGCAAATAATACTGAAAATAATCTAGGAGAAACTTTACAATAACCTCATAAGGCCAAAAGGGTTTTGATAAATTCTAAACATATTCCTGACTTGGACTGGAGCGATAGCACAGCGGGTAGGGCATTTGCCTTGCATGCAGCCAACATGGCCGACCCGAGTTCGATTCCTCCACCCCTCTCAGAGAGCCCGGCAAGCTACTGAGAGTATCTCGCCCGCACGGCAAAGCCTGGTAAGCTACCTGTGGCGTATTTGATCTGCCAAACACAGTAGCAACAAAGTCTCATGATGGGGACATTACTGGGCCCGCTCCAGAAAACAGATGAACAACGGGAGGACAGGATAGTGATTCCTGACTTAAGACTTAGTAAACTAGATCAAAACAGATTTAGAAGGATAAAAGATGTCTAGCAGAAGCAGAGGAAGTGGCTCAGTATTAAAGCTCATGCCTCGAAGGGGTGAGGCCCTGGGTTCCATCCTCCTCCTCCCACACTACCCCAAAGGAGCAGAACACGAAAATCTACCTGAAGCCCATTGTACTTCATGGTAATCAGCAGGAAAAAGACGGGGCTTTCACTTCTTGGCTAATAGTGCGGACATTCCCAAAGTATCTAAGAATTGAGCTTCCATTTGACTCAGCAACTCCACTTCTTGAAATAAACAAAAGGGCCCCAAAACAATATGGAGTAAAGCCATCTGCCCTCCTATGTTCACTGCAGCACTAGTCACCACAGCCAAAATCTGGAAACAACCCAGTGTGCAAGAAAAAAAACTATGGTCCATCCACACCATGGAATATTACTTGGCCATAAGAAAAAATAAAGACACATAGTTTGCTGCAACCTGGATGGGCTTGGAGAGTCTCATGCTGAGTGAAGCTAGTCAGAGGGAGAGAGGCTGACACAGAATGATCCCTCTCAGATGAGGGACATAAAGAAACAGAATGGTGGAATGATGGGTACTCAAAGGCAAAGGGAAACAGAGAACATGAAAACTGGTATCCAGCAGGACCAGTCTGGGGCCTGGACAGGGAGGGCCCTGTCCAGGGTGGAGGGAAGAGCTCAACCCGGAGGGGAGGAGGTGCTGAAAGGTGGCCAAGTGTTCCTTATGGAGCCCCATCAGCCACAGGACTGGAAACCACAGTGCAGAAGTGTGAATACACAAACAAATACATAACGCGCCCCTCCTAGAGGCAGGCAGGCGGGTGGGAGGCAAGTGGGGCTGAGGGGGCACTGGTGAAGGGATTGGTGTTGAAATACTGAAGTCTGAAGCCCAATCATGAATAAAGGTAAAGGTAAAAGGTAAAGGCCCTCCCGTTGATCGTCGATTTGCTCGAGCGGGCCCAGTAACGTCTCCATTGGAGACTTTGTTGTTACTGTGTCTGGCATATCGAATACTCTCGGTAGCTTGCCGGGCTCTCCGAGAGGGGCGGAGGAATCGAACTCGGGTCGGCCATGTTGGCCGCTTGTAAGGCGAACGCCCTACCCGCTAATCATGAATAACTTTGTAATTTTAGGATGACTTAAAAAAAAAAAGACAGGATTTTCCAGTTCACTGCTTACACTAGGCATAATTCTAAAAGTTGACGGCCCTCCCGTTGATCATCGATTTGCTCGAGCAGGCCCAGTAACGTCTCCATCATGAGACTTGTTGTTACTGTGTTTGGCATATCGAATATGTCACGGGTAGCTTGCCAGGCTCTGCTATGCGGGCCAGATACTCTCGGTAGCTTGCCGGGCTCTCCGAGAGGAGAGGAGGAATCGAACCCAGATCGGCCATGTTGGCCGCGTGCAAGGCAAACGCCCTACCGCTGTGCTATCGCTCCAGCCCTCTAAAAGTTCACCCACCAACAAATTAAGAAACAAATATGGACACACCACAAAGGAACAAAATTCTAAATTTAAGCATAGATTTGGGCAGATATTTGCACAATAATGGCTCACCTACAAAGCTGAGAGCTTCAAAGAGAAACTATTAAGTAACAGTGGGGGGAGGGGAGGGGAGGGAGGGAGGGGGGAGGGAGGGGGAGAGAGAGAGAGAGAGAGAGAGAGAGAAGAACACCGGATTTAGGTGCCTGCAGTCGACCCGGGTTCAACCCCCAACACCACAGATGGTCTCCTGAGCACCACCAAGAGTGATCCCTAAGCCCCGCCAGGAGTGGCCCCTAAATAAAACAAACAAACAAGAAAACACAATTCTGTAAGTGGCAAAAGAAAGTTCTAAGTCGACAGCCCTTTCTCCTTTTCTCCTCTGTTGTTATTGTTGCAGTGCAGGGAAGGGGAACATAGCAAACCCCGGGAGGCTCCAGGGCTATGGTGGTCCCAGGCATCAAAATGAAGCCTCACAGGGCTGGAAGATAACGCACTTACGCTGCACATGGCCAAACCAAGTTCAATCCCTGGCACCCTATATAGTCCCCCAAGACTGCTGAAGTGATCCCTGAG